CTCAAGGACAGCTTTATACAATACAGATACGTGTTCAACCCTCTGACTCTTCGTCTAACGATCCCACCCCAAGGCTCTCTGACAAGGCACTTGTGGAAGTCATAGCGTTCCGTGTGATGGATATTAGTTGGTCGTCCAACGGACCTTTCTGGTAGGTATCCGGCAGCTCCTGGCTTACGGGCTGCCATATCGAGAAAGAGTAGACACGGCTCGTGTTTGTTGGACCTTGCGACCCGTCCGGACGCTGACCCAACAAGACAGATAGCAATAGCGATGAAGGAATAGCCTCGAGACGAGCGGCTATTGCTGTCCGTACTGGCCTTGTGTACCTGTCGCTGGGCATGATTGAAGAAATCGCAGAGTGCGTCTGAGTTGCGGCAAGGCAAGCGTGCAAGGCCATCCAGTTTTTCCACAGCAATCCACGAAGCCACCCTGTCACGAAGCAAGAGTCTGCTGTGCATCCGTAGGCAGTCGACAAAGCAGCCATGGTGAATCTGCCGATAGCATCAACAAAGGCTTCTGGTGGCATTGAGGTCATTCCTGCTCCACCGTTTTGGTACACGCGGTAGATACTCGACCGTATACAACATTCCTCGCGGGTAAAAGTCAAACACCAAACAAATCTTTCCTTTTCTTCTATCATCTCCCATCAACGCGGTGAAAGGATTGTGCAACTCGCTTCACAGGATGGATCCGCGCTCAGACATCACACTGGAGCCTGGTGCTCCTGGCCAGTCACCCAGCTCGCTTTTGTTTTTTGATGGTAACACTGCCTGCGTGTCGCAGCCATCACCACAAAATATCCCTGACTCCCGTCCCAATCTGCCCACCTCCACGGACGAGACCCTCGATTCTGTCTCAACAATCACACCGCCCCAAGTTAATGATACGCCTCTACAGCATACTGTACTCCTGAACCAAGCAGACAGAGTTCGGGCAGATCTAAGAGCGTACTTGACCGGCAAGTTCCTTGAATTCGCAGACAAGCCCCGCGAGTATATCCTACCTACGTCGGACTTTCACGAACTACTCAAGAATCCTAACTTTGAGTCTGACAGAAAAGAGTATGCTCTCCTTGTGTGGTCTCTCCCAAACCAGATACTAACATTACTCGCAGGGCTGGAGTCAAATTCTCATATAACTCCCACACGTCAACCCTCACACTCTTCACTATACAAGGCGCGAGATACGCTTTCATTATCCAATGGCTTACTACTATAGCCCTAGCGAAATTAGATCCGTCGACCGAGGATAAATTTTACCTTACAGGTAGCGGCGACGAAGCCTTCGAAGGCGAATGGAAATGGTCTATAAAGCAGCCAGACTTAGCTATTGTATGGAACGAGGACGATACCTCATTCGAACTACACACTGTTGTCGAGATCGGTATTTCACAGTCATACGACAGTTTACTTAACGTTCGGGATCTATACTTGAGAGGCACATCCACAGTCTCTAGGTTCGTCTTGGTCAATATTGTCACGGACCCCGAGTATAGAAGCCCAGAGGGTTTGAATATCGACGAACTGAAGAATATCCGGAAAGCGGATTTTCAACTGGATTCAAATCAAGGGCCACTTTGGTATAAGGGTGTCCAATGGATGGGGAAAAGTACGCTTTTGTGGGAAGTCTGGGAACGAGGTCCGAATAATGGAAAGCCGAAACGGGTTTTCTCCGCGACTATCGATCCCGACGACAGCAGAACAGAACTCCCATTCTTCGAAATACCGGCCACAATCACAACTGGTATTAACACTGTGACAATTACGCCGACGGATATTAACAAGCTTTACGCTCGTCGGTTCAAATATCTGATTATTCAAGAAGCCTACATACGGATTTTAAGATATGTCAAGAGTGTGGAAGGAAGCCGACAGTATACGGCGGATTTGGCTGGGCGGAAGGACGAAATAGACGAGAACAGATCGAAAGCCAGCGAGGAGCGTACAGAGCGCTGTAGAATTCCAGCGGAACGTCGAGAGAAGGCGGCGGATTTGGAGGAGTAGAAGGACGATCTTACGGTCTGTCAAGGCCTGCGCCTGCGCCTGCGCCGTCGGTGGTGAAGCTACCATACATAAGTCTGGGCACCCTCAACAGCCATTCCTCCTGTTCTAGCTTGCGCCGTAATAGTTTCTGAAGCCGTTCAACTGGAACTTGCATACGATCGCATTGAACTAACAGCCACCCTGCTCTACCTGAAACGAATCTGAGCTAATAACAACAACAATCCTGACCATTCTTGAGGCACCGGAGTCCGATCACATCAAGCTCAGTGATTCAATACCAGTTCAGATTTCATCTTTTCGTCTTGATCGACTTTTTCAATCGCGAATGAGTCCGCACGCGGTCGTTCCAAGTCGGCTTTCTTTTGCTTGTCGATCAGGGATCCCACTGGGAATCCTTGGTGCACCCAGACAACCCAAGGCGGAGGCTGCTGTGCATCCGTGTGCAGTCAACAGAGACCCTGGTGGTGTTCACTTGCAATTATCAGCAAAACCACCCTGTGACCAAGGCGGGAACTACTGTGCATCTGTGCGCAGTCAACAAGGCGCAGGTGAAGTCTGTTTGCGGATATCGCAGTACCATCAACAAACACCCCCTGTCATCAAGACTGGGACTGCCGTGCATCCGTATGTAGTCGACAAAGCAGTTTTGGTGGATTTGCAGCCCGAACAAAGACGCCCTGTCGCCAAGGCAGTGACGGCTGCACATCCGTGTCCGATCAACAAAGCCCTGGTGGTGTTTGTTTGCCGCTGGCGATCAACAAAGAATTCTGGTCCATCATGCACTAAGGTGTTCCTGCTCCACCGTTGTTGTACATGAAAATGCAAATACTCGACCGGAGACAGCATTCACTGCATATAAAAGACGCGCCCGCCCACGCACTGCCTTGCTATCTTCACCATCTCAAATGGCGACATATATATAAATCACTTCACAGGATGGATTCACGCTCAGATAACGCGTCGAAGCCTCGCCCTCCTGGCCGGGCCCCCGGCTCGCTTTCCCTAACCGATGGCGACACCGCCTCTGCCTCTGCGTCCGCGTCCGCGTCCGCATCTACGTCTGCCCCTGTCTCTGCCTCTGCCTGCACGAGTCAGCTACCGACACACAAATCTCTTCTCACAGTAGAGGACAAGCTAGACAAACTGCAACAGCCTGCGGACTCCTCTCCCGACCTCTCATCCTCTAAATATCCATTCGAACTGCAACAGGTTGCGAGCTTCCTCCATAATCAAACAGATTGCGAAGATCAAATTATCGATTTCTTCCTCCCCGTAGAGCAATACCGGCAACTTACGGAGGAATTAGAGCGGTGCGACAGGTTTGCGGGATCGTACGTCAAGTAGGTTTCCGCGACTGAGAGTCAAATAGCCCCCTTCGAGACTTCACTAACTGTCGACGACAGAGTTGACTATTCCTACACTACCGAGACGTTATCTCTTAGAATCCCTAGTGTAAGACACGAAAGCGTCGTTCGATATTTTAATCATCGTCTGGATTCTTTTATCTATGGACCCGCTATGATTGAGTATGCCGCATCGCTTAGAGATTCCGGCTCCGGAAAATGCGAATATCTATCAAAAGATGGTAAGGGTCTTATCGAGCGTCACCCTGATATCTCAATCACAAACAGAAAGAAACCCGCATGGCCAGTCCTAGTTTGTGAAGTCGCGGACTCGCAGAAAACAAAAGATCTACACAGACTTGCACGAGAGTATATCGAGCAGACTAAGGGTAATATTCGGACTGTGATTACTATCGACTTCGACTATCCAACTGGTAAGGGAGCATATATAATAGTTTGGAGAGCAAATTTTGATGAAGACGGGAGGTTTAAGGAGGTAGCTTGCGGCGACATCGTGGTAAGTCAATATCTATCCTCCCCGTCCGTAATATCAATAACTAATTATATCCACTAGGAAATTCGAAATAAGGAGGGTACTAAGAACCCCGATCCCGAGGCCGGAGTCTCCCTATCGCTCGACGACTTTGGCCTTACTCGAGAAGTGGAAACAGGCGCGGTTAATCAGGTCTTCACCGTCTCCGTCGACGATCTGTACGCGAATTTGGAATTTACGGAGAGGGAGATCGAACGGGAGAAGGCCGCGAGGGACGATACCATAGCGCGCTGGAAGGCAGGTGCGAAGGAGTGAGCGAAGACATCATAGCCGCCCTGTGATCAAGGCGGAGACTGCTATGCATCCGTGTGCAATTAACAAAGCCCTGGTGGTGTTTGTTTGCAGCGATTAACAAAGGTTTCTGGTGCATTATGCACTTGAGGTGATTCCTGCTCCACCGTTGTTGTATATGAAGATGCCAAAGACTCGACCGGATACCACCCTCACCGCCTACAAAAGACACGCCCCACCCACGCACTGCCTTACTGTCGTCACCCTCTGATATGAAATATATGCCACAGGCTTCACAGGATGAATTCACCCTCAAATAACGCGTGAGAGCCTGACGATCCTGGTTAGGCGTCCGGCTCGCTTTCCTCTTCTGACGGTGATCACGAACTGCGCGCCGTAGCCATCATCACCATAACAGTCGAATCTTCAGCCACTAAACAATCAGTTGCGTCTCCAACCACCCACTCACTGTGATCAATTGCAGAAGGTGCTGAGATGTACAGAAGGCGTTACCACATATAAACGTCTTCTCACGCCGGTCGACGAACCTGTCAAGTTCACTATTTCTCGAGAGTCGTAGTTGAAACTTTGTAAGAAGACTCCAACTTTGACCTGTCGCCACTCTGTCCGTCAGCGAATGACCATGGCACTTCCGTTCTCGTCGTGGATCAACGAGAGGAGGACGGTGTGCACCACCCCCAAAGCCTGCCCGTTCGCGGCGTCCGGCCGGAAGACGTGGTGAAAGCCACCGTAGTGTTTGCGTTCCTCGATAGCCTTCCGCGTTGCAACGTGCAGTCCGGGGACCACGGCCTCCAGCATATAGGGCTGATTAGGCATCGTGCGGGCCCGGCTTGTATTGACGTTGAGGCCTGGTGGCATTATGAAGACTCGCCAGTGCTCGAAAGCTTGCCATGGCCGAAGCATCTTTGGTGCTCAAGGCCGCGGTGCGATCTTTGTTCTCGACCCTCTCCAGATTCGCACGTAGTCTGTTGTCCTTGACCTCGCTCACGCGAAGAGGGCGCCCTCAGCTGTAGTCCCTAAATGTACCAGCCGCTGGTTTCTAGTTTTCCTTGGTTTGGGCAGCCAAGGGCCCTGTGCTGGTGGATTTTCCTTTGGTACGGGGAAGGCTCGGCTGACCTACCTAGTCAGCACAATGATTAAATAATGGGCATATATTTTTCTTTCTCCGAAATTCCCCCACACCAAGACCCCCTCAAGACGACGAGGGCGAATCATATCGACTCCCGGTCCTGTCAGGTCAAGACTACCACCGGGGTCAGTCGGCAGCAGGACCTGGGGTTCGAATCCGACCGACCTCAACCTTATAAAGTAGCGAGTTCGTAGTATAACCGGCCGAGAAAAACCAACCCGCAAGGGCGAGTTTCGCTTATCACAAACCAGGTTAGGTTGACCTGCTTTGTGATAAGTTTTTGCCATTTTGATCGATGTTTTTTTGACCGTTTGCATGAGCTGTGGTATGTTGTGCTTGTTCCTACTGCCGCAGAGACGCTTCAGCTCACGGATTGATCTGGCGGGTTTTTGGGGTCTTGCCTGCCTATCTCCCCCGACCCGACCTATGTCAGAGCCCCCTATGAGTGTAGTCCTCATGCGGCCTTAAGTCAATGCAGGAATCGTGAACGAGGAGGAGAGCTGCCAGCCACGGCGTAACGGAACCTAACTTGAATCACCTTCCCAATACCCTGTGTTCTGGGAGATCAGAAGATGACCAAAAACGTAATGACCATGGCATTCATAGCCGATAGGATAAACAACTCTGACTATAAGAATTGAGGTTGCGTGTGTCGATAATACGGTATCGGCGGCTGACTGTGAGCGACGGTTTCCCCAAACTTGCACGATCAAGTCATGCCCGCCGGCCATGCAGCACGACGGGAATGGAGCTCAGGCCCCTTCCAGCACACTCAGATCACACTGGCTCACCCGGACCAGGGGAAGGACTTCTCATTGTGCTCAATGCCCTGGTCAACACTGCCTCTGCTCGACTATCCACACCGGCTGCGAGTGAAAGAAACGGCGACACAACATAACTGGACACGCGTCTCGGCCAATCCACCATCTTTCCACAGATTTTTTCTCCATCCAATAATACTCCCTTCCCCCAACTGGAACTCCGTGTCCATCACGTTGAGACTTTGCTCGAAGCGGTTGAGGGTTTTCGCTTGCTGTTCCCGGCGCGCCCTCGACCACTGTGCTTCTCCGACAACTTCCCTTCCTCGAAGTCGAAGATGAAGGTGTTCCACCGTGGATATCAAGTCTTCCAGCTGACCCAGCTCCTCTCGTCCGTCTGGACCTCCTGGTCCATCTAGTGCTTTTTGTAGTGGCCGCTGCGCTCGCTATGTGTGATGCTTTGAGTCCGCCGACCAAAGTTTGCCATGGACGTGTCCGAGGCGTCGTCGAGCATCTGCCCAACTGGTATTTAACGGATCGGTGAGAGGCAGACTGGAATGGCGGGCCATAAATCCCAGCTGCCGCCACTGATACTGGTGAGCGTTCCCAGCGTGAGGCAGATAGGCCAGGCGAAGCGGGGGTGTTGAATATACGTCGTCGACTGGTTACGATGGTTGGCCATCCTGATCCGCCTGTGCTTCCGCCTGTGCTTTGGAGCTGGTCCGGAGTATCTCTATGTGATCTGCATCTGCCAGCACGTGTACTGATTCGGAAATCACTTGCTGCGCAGCGGTGAAAGCCAATGAGTATCATTGCGTCAACAGTGTCTTGGTATTGTGTATGCTAGGACTAAATGTCGTTGCAAATCATTTCCTCCCTTCGTACTTCATTCCGCGTTGTCTTGTGGCTCCACTTCTTGAATACGTGGTATTACTCGTATTCTAGTCAGGCCAGCACGACCGACACGTCTCAGTAATGGAACGCCTGCTTGTGCCACGTCGGACTTGCCCCGGCCCTGGACAGCGTCCTTGGTCAAGGTCCCGTTCTTGACCATAATGGTCATGATCGCGTAGAGCACGTGAGCCAGAAGCCTTCACGGATAGGCATACTGATGGAGCTCGCGTCAATGTGATCAGTTGACAATGTGGAAAGCTGTCAATGGGGATGGCTTCGCTTGGAGGGGTACAGAGGTAGGGGAAGTGGCGGCGCTCGATGCCAGTCGCTGAGCGGTTGCTGGACAGGGGGTCCAGGATGCTGGTAGTGGAGGTGGAACATGCGAGTATAGGTGAGAGGTCTAGGCGGCGGGGGACGGAGGTGTTGTGGGCGGCGGAGGAATGCGCTTCGAGTTCAGAGGACGTGGGAAGGCCGGTAGCGGTGCTGTAGCTCGCGAGTCCAACCCGGTACAAGCCGGGTGTACTGTGGCTCCTCTCTTGATAGACGAAAGGCGAGTGGATGGATATATCGAGAGCTTTGCCGATGGTCCTGGGTGAAATGCCCGAGACAAGCTGATCTGTCTTCTGTTCTGGTTTCGCCCGAGATGGCTTGGATGCGGTCCCCGACTGCTGATGATGAGCCGCGTCGGTCATATGATGGTCCTCGTCTTGGGAATTGTGTCCAGGTGCGAATCGATGTGGATCACGCTGATCGGTCCGTAGGCCTTGTTGCTCGATCGCAGCAGCGGCTGTGTGATCGTGTGGTCGCCAACGAGCGTGATGATGCGCGGGAGCGTCTTACCGGCCGTGAAGATGCCCGGATCGTTCGCGGCGGTGTATCGCCTGCGCATGAGCAGCGTGGTGTGCCCGTCGTCGATCTGATGCAGGGTGTAGTGGTTGTTGTACCGTAACGTTCTCGTCGCCAGAACATGCACAGAACCCAGAGCCTGGCTCTCATCTTGAAGTGTTAGGGTTAAGGTGGTAGCTACTCACGAGGTGACTGGGATGCCGCCGCAGTCAATGACGTGGCCTCAAAACCTGAAGAGGTTGTATTTCATGGTTCTGTTTGTATGTATCATCTCCCAATGCGTTGGTCTCTGTTTCCTTCTACCACAGTTGTTGCTGGAGTGTTTGTTCTTCTTCTTCCTCTTCGTGGCCTTCAAAATCTCCAGCATTTCAATGTTGAGCGTGTACAGGAGACGACGGATGTGTCGATTCAAGTCCCGTTAGACGAACAGCAGAGAAATATGGAGGAGGACGAGTAAGGCGCAGATATATCTGGTGTAGACGAAGCCGAGTCGTGGCTTCATCAAGTCAAAGTCCCCTCCCGTCCCTTCTGGGGGATGATCTGGTGGGCGACCTTGTCAGTCAGTTAGTGCATATACTGCGCGGGAAAGTCTGGCATACTCACTCTACGGTCATGCGATGGTGTTGCTTTGGCGATGACGTTACTCTTGGCTCTGTTGTTCATTTCGAGTGCCTCCGCTACCTGTTGGTCGTCATGCCGGATGGTGCGCCGGATGCTGATGCTTCCTCCCTGACGTCATCGAGGTTCTGCTCCAGTGAGCGCAATGCGTAGCTCATGGTTGCGATCTGGTCCTGTGAATTGTGGGAAGTACTAGTGTCCTGCACCTGGCTGAAGTTGAAACGATGAGAGAGCTTCAGGGCACCGCTGCTCCTCCTTGCGTGGTGATCTGGAGGATGTCGGTGCCAACGAACATTTCTGGCGTAACGGGGAGTGCAGCTCCACGTTGTCACTGACGGACGGATTTGTCTCCTATATGGTGGCGAATTTTTTAGTCTTGGCTCCGTCGTGGCGATGGCTCACTCGGCTGCACGCCCCTGAGATGGTGGTAATAGCTCCCGACAATGACGTTCGAGACGGGTAGCTGAATATGAGACATTGTCAGATCGGTACGAAATTTGCATACTCTGGGAACTTCAGCTGCATCATCGGGTTTGCCGGCGGTGGTAACACCAGCAAGTTTCGCAGGCGCATTCAAATCGCTGAAACAGGCTGCGAGGTGTGAGCGCGTCGGGGACTCCTGAAGGCACCAGTGAAGCAAGTAGGGGTCTCCCAAGGGTTCAATGGCCTTGAGGGTCGTCCTGGAGGTGGCCCTGGAGCTGATCCTGGAGATGACCGTGTACATGGTATTGCGGGCAGTCCTGGGGATTGCCTGCTGGGCGCCATAGATATCGCCATCGCCGCCAACAAGGTGTATAGGTATTATAGCCACATAGGTATGTTTTCCTGGCAATTACAGAGACCAGTCCTCAAGCTCGGCTTTGACTGCGAGTCTAACCAGGGTTTATAATGCCACAGTTTCACCTTTGTAATCAACACCAGCAGAGACTTCAAGGGCTGGGAATTGCTTCGTGTAGAGAGCTTCGAGGAGAGAAGAAGAGCTTGAGCTGACCAGCTGCGGTTCGAGAGGCCTGTGAATCAGTTATTTTTGCAGTTCCTCAACTGAGCTCACAGGCAGCTTTTTGGGAGAGAGTTGCCACAGACGAACTGCAGATACTAACCGAGCAGATTGAGACTGTTTAACACAGATTTCATGTCGTGGTGATGAAGTTATTGTGGATGACAGGTGGTTTGGTTGCTGTAGTAGCCGCCATGAGGTGCAATAATGCTGAGGCGGAAAAACTAGATTGGGGAAAAGTGACGTCATCTGTGTTCTAGTCTACTCGCGTCCCTGCGCAGCCATGAACATGCTTGGAGTACGACCGCCAGGCAGGACAGAGCCATCAAGTATATTCCTCAAACTGCGATACCTGATTCGTCGCGCCGACCAAGATCTCCTTATCATGATGGCGGCCCTAAATCCAGACGTTGGAAATGTGTCTACAAGCGAAATCATGGCTTCAATTCGGACAGCTCGGTGGTCCCGTAGGCACGAACAATGCAGGGACTCGGCTCAAGAGAGGGGGGAAATCGAAGGCGAGATCTGAAAATGAGACGTCTTTCCATTCCAGGTGCTTCGACCTTACGATGAGTAGCGCATGAGGATGAAATAAGCCCCCATCAAAGGCCGTTCGGCGGAAACGCTGAGACCGGCGGCGAACGTCGAGCTTCCAGATCTCATCGACGACCTCCCCCGAGAGCCGGACGAGTATCGCTCCTTGGGGGTGACCAGAATGCAGATCTTTCGACGTGCACGACCGAGCTCAAGGAACTCTGGGACTGGGAATACTCAAAGGCAGGATTCGCAATCAGCGCAAGATATAACACCATCGGCAGCGTCTTCTACCGTTCGCATTAGCAGTAGCGCTAGTAGCAGTGGCAAGCGAGTCCGCGGATAGACGGCTAGGCTAGTGGAATTGAAGCAACATGGCTTTCTACCTCAGCTGAAATGAATACTAAAGTTTGCTATATAGAACAGGCGGCGACGAGGTCAATGATAATCGAATAGATAGATTTCACCTTGGAGAGAATTCATTTCCAAACAAATTCAGATTCTACCGAATATCAAGCAAGAATGAAGTTGTACAAAAACGCTGTCGAATACGAGGGCGAAAGACATTCCCAGGTTCGCGGAACAGATGTGACGACAGAAGGAAGGCGAGAGAGGTCCACCCGCCTATTTCGTATCTGGTCGCTGCCGTGCTCTCACCAGTAATGCTGTCGACACATCCAAAAGTTGCGACCTCGGTTCCAAGCCGGGCGTCCGCACCCTTGATAACAGATCCTAACAATCTTCCGTTCACCACGACCCCGATGATATGCAGACTGAGAGTTGTAACCGTAATTCGTGGTCATGAGTGTCAATATTGAGGCGTTGTAACACCACTCCTGTGCCCACCGCCAATCTGCTCTTCTTGGACTTCGATCATATCTCCGTCTTCCATATCAAGCTGCACGCATTGGTCAGCAAGGATCTGATTTGAGTGCTGCGCTCTTTCGTCGACCCATCACTCTCACCTGATCCGGTGTATCCCCGGGATTCAGCTTCTGTCCATCGAACAAGAATCTTGCCGACTTGGAGTCTTTACCCTGTCTCTCACAGAAGGCTTGCATCAGTTTGTTGAGTTTCGTGTTCCCCCTGATCTTGAAGTAAATTTGATTGTCGCCGTCGGTGACCCTGAGGTTCAAAAAGCGCTTGCCGGGGATAGCGGCAGGGGGGGCATCGGCGGCGCCGTTTGGCGATCCTTGGCCATTTTCCGTCATGCTTTTAGCTGTGGATGGTGTTGAATCAAGAGAGGGAGGGCGAACGATGGCAATTACCTGCCAGAAGCGCGTCTCCGAGTTAGCGACTGTTTCAAGGAGCGGAGGCTGGAGTGTGGGAACAAACAAACCTGGTCGTATATCTCCAACGAGTCTTTATGTTAGGGGCAAGTAGTTGCGGAGAGTAGTGATGGGAATAGAAGTGTCAGTGGAGAAATGTGAATCAAAGAGAAGAGAAGGGCGAAGTCTTGAGACGGGAGGGAAATTATATATTGTTTGCAAAAGTCACGGGACACTAGCCCCTTGGCACGCTTGGCACGCTTGGCACGCTCCCGACCACAACACCCCTATGCACTCCATCTAGCGAAGCGTCAGCTGAGCTCGTATTATCGGCCTTTATATACAACGGCCACGCGGCTGATCGGCCACGTCTTACCGGCGGTAATTGACTGGCTGTTGAAAGCAGACGTGACGTGGCTTCGGTTATTTCCGCCTCGTCTTGCACCTCATCGCCGCAGCCGGTGCTCCCAACTCGCCCATCACCAATAGCTTCACCACCACGACAACATCAAATCTTCATCGAACAGTCTCGATCCGTTCGTTGATCATCATCCAATTCGTCTGTGGCAACCATCACTCCAAAAACCCCCTGTGTACAGAATTGTGGAAACGTGAAATTAACTGTTTCGCAAGCCTCTCAAATTGCTCCCAGTCAGTCAGCGAACCTCTTCTTCACTCCGATCGATCCCTGGCCCTTGAAGCCCCCGCTAGCGTTGGATAGAAAAGGTGGAACTGTGGCAGCACAGACTCTTGTCAGACTCGCAGTCAGAGTCAAGCTTGAGCACAGGTCTCTGTAGTTGCCAGCAAAAGTTAGCTATTGGGCTACAATACGCATACATTTGAGGGCAGCGATGGCGACGTTCCCGGCTCCCCGCGAGCTATCCTCGAGGCCGCCCCCAGGCTCGTGGGACCTTTTGGAAGACCCCACTCCCTTCGCTGGCGCCTTGGGGATGCCCCAAGGTATGCACGCCTCACAGTTCGTTTTCACTATGTTGATGAGAGTGTGTGCGGATCAGCTGCAAACGGGTAGTGCAGTGAATCGTGACAGGGAAGAGGCAAGTCAGCAGAGGGAGGTCTGTTTGATTTTGGCCCGTTCAGAGGCTGCAGGTCTGAATGTGAGAAAGAAGTTGAGACCTCAGGCAGCCAACCAGTTGCAAACTAGCAGGGCAAAGCATCGAGCTCCGCAAATTACGGAGCTTGCCATTCCCACAGAACTCCCCAGAAGCAGCCGTCTTCGCCATTGACCTTTTTGTGATTCTCGCACCGCTCGCGGTTTTCTCGAAATCTGCTGCACAAGAGAGTCTTCTTACCCCACCCCACCCCTCTCTCTCGCCATCGCTCAATTTATAAGATATAAAGACCATCCCCGCTATAGGGCGATCGGGAAATACAGATTGAAGGTTGAGGAGGGAGACGATGGTTAGCACGAGCCCGCATCGTCGACGAAAGGCCCTCCACCGCTGAGACCGGCTTGGAGGTTGTTGAAGCCGTCGACGTCTCTCTACGTGTTCTGCGTCCTCACTGTGCTCGGGCCCTCTCCATCGTAGGCCTCTCGTTTCGCCGACTCCCGAACGGTCTCCCGGCGAGTCCGTACGACCCGGTGGTCTCGTTTCCCGTCCGCGTTCCACTCTCATCAAACCACCTTCGTCCGGCAAGCTGCGTGATGGCCACGGTCCTCGAGACCTGCCAGTCTTACATCCTGTTGCCAGAGCTGTAATTTCTCGGCCTACTCCGGCTTTCGGACCGGGAGCCGAGTGCGGCACTAGGATAGCACGCTGAATAACCCTCATCGACTCCTGGTTCAGGCCAAGAGAAGTGTGGCAAGGGGAAACGTCTGCTCGATACATCAGGAGATAACGCAACTTGGATCTATCTATTCCTCCAGCCCCCCCCAAGGTGCAGACGCTTGACGAGCTTGTGTCACCCGGGAAACAGGGCTGTTACAATGACTGTTACAATACGCTTCCCGGCCGACAACACCCCATGGGGCGAATGGCCCCCATCAGGCGCTTGGCCCCCATGGGGCCAACGGCCCCCAATACCAAGTCGGCCCCCAATTCTACTATCGAGCTAGAGCTATAATTATAAGATCTAACTAGAAGAGAACTCTAATATCGAATATAGTTCGCTATAATACTAGAGTCTTATAGAACTTTAGGCTACTAAGAAAAATCTAACTGAAAATCTAATAAAAGGATTTCCCGAAGCGAGTTAATCTCTTTTTATATAACTAGTTCTACTTATTAAGAAACCTAACGGAAGTCTCTATCCCTATATAAACTATTGAAAATTAAATATAATAACTCAAAAGGAATAATATCTACCATCGCATATCGATAAGATATAATTAAAATTAGATGAAGTGAAGATTTTTATAAAGCTAGATATTTAATAAGTCTTCTATTATATTTAAATATACCTACAGTCCGAAGAACTAACTACTCTCTGTATATAATACGTAGGCTTTGACGTGGGTCGAGTCGGCCCGTCCTGGGTCGAGTTAAGTAAGGTTCCGGGTGGGGTTAGGCTGGCTCTTATCTAGCCTAATAATATAGTTAGTTAGGCTAGTTAACCCTCTAGCTCGACCCGAAGGCCCGTAGGCGACCTGCAGTTTAATTTTTAAGGCTATACCTTCCTCGTAGAGTAACTCGACCTTTAAAAAGGACTATAATCGCGGGGTAACGACGATATTAACTGTCACCCGGGAAGCAGGGCTGTTACAATGACTGTTACAATACGCTTCCCGGCCGACAACACCCCATGGGGTGAACGGCCCCTAATGCCAAGGCGGACCCCAATGCCAAGACGGACCCCAATGCCAAGTCTACCCCCAACAGGTATACACAGAAAGAGATAAATAGGACCTCTATTCTCGCACTGCTGGAGAGACCCTCAACAGTGCGAGAAGTCGATGTCTCAAGGACAGCTTTATAGATACGTGTTCAACCCTCTGACTCTTCGTCTAACGATCCCACCTCAAGGCTCTCTGACAATTCTTCTCGCACTGTTTCGAGGATCCTGACGACGGATACAGTCTCTCGGTTGAAGCACTAATGGCACCAACAACACGCCACCGCAGTGGAGGCGGACCAACCGTGCCTAGCTCACGAGACGCGTCCCACGCTACTATTAGCGATGAGGAACATACCGAACCTCCTGCGGCAAGCACGCGTCAAGCGCACTACTCGCCACCTGACCGCGAGAGTAGTGAGACCACTCAATCAAGCGGAACCCCAGAACTAACTCAAGACCTCAACGCGATAAGGCTCGCGGCGCGTCACGCAGAACTAAAGCGCAGAGTACTTGAGAAAAGACGACTTGAAGAGATTGAGAATATGGAAAGAGAACTGGCTGGTGAGACACCAAACAATCCGGTGCAGATAGAAGACACCACGCCACCAAGCCGCAAGCGCAACGCGGAAGACCCTACGGACCGCGCGGCTAAGTATCTCAAGCCGAACCCTCCTAAGGAGTTCAAGGGACAAAGTCTCGGCGAGCTCCGTGCCTACCTCGACGCATGGCAACTGCGATTCGGTATTTACCCAAGCCTCTCAGACAAAGAGCGCATTGCCCAGGCAGCCACTTCACTAGGCGATATTGCGGCATCTCGATGGCTAAGAGAACCAGAGTCGCTCCGACCTACCACTTGGATAGGGTTCTCAGAATTCCTACGAGATATCGTACAAGACCCTACGAACCGCATAGCATCCGCACTCAGGAAGCTATGGCGCTACCATCAAAGCGATAACCAAAGCGCAAGAGAAGTCCTGGAGGACCTGGCGCGCCTACGAGAAGACGTGGCCACTCTCAAAGAGGAAGAAAGACATGCATGGGAATTCCTCCTGGCCCTCCGACCAGAGACTCAACTCGCTGTGCTCCGGGAGCTACCAAAGATTACTAGTCAGGAACTTGTCCTACGCTACGCAGAACGACACGAGGAACTCGCGCGGACGTACGAGGGCCAAAGGGGAGGTCGACGGTCACAGGCGAATCGCAAGCGCCTCGATACGCCTACGGATACCACTATCACCACCAGTCAACCACAAGCCGATACGGAGACAAAGAAAGACCGCCGACCAAGATCCTCCTATAAGAGAGAAAAGCGCCTTGCAGGCCCAGACGATGAATGTCACCTTTGCCACGAGAAGGGGCATTTCCAACGAGACTGTCCTAAGAGGAACCAAGAGGATAGTCAACTATCCGCACCCTTATCGCAGGCAAATAGTAAGCGAAAGGAAAAGGATGAAAAGACAAAAAAATGAGGCCCAGTGGCCTCAGCGCCGCTATGACATCCTGAGCAGACCTGGATCAGATGTTGGCGAGCAAGCAGTTTGGGCATTGGGCAACATTGCAAGCGACTCTCCTGCTTTCCGTGACTGTGTCCTCACCCAGGGTACCCAGGTTGTTGATGTGAATGTCTCTCAGGAGTGCCATACTGCACACAACTCCCTTTTCTGCATCTCTTTTCGCTGCGACCGAGCCAATCAAGCCGAAGAGAGGACAAGTTGGAGATTGCTGCCAATTGCTGGATGAGGCTGTGGTGGTGGGGTTTTTTACATTGCGTTCGAAGACAGGAGTGGCTGAGACGGCAAAGACACTTTCCTCTCGAGATGGAGACCAGGAGGCAGGCACTGTTGGGCAGGTCAATGTGTTACAAAGCGAGGGTGCTCTATCGTATTCCAGAAGTTTTCATCATGCGCTCGCTACCGGATTGCATGTCGTCGACAAAGGGAGTTAAGTGACTAGGGTCACGCTCAGCGTATGCTCCTCAAATCAACCTTCTCTCGAGCACCACCCCCTCCTCCCTGCGAGCCTTCGACCACCTCTCTGTTCAACACGACGTGCCCTGTATCGTCCCAATGTCGTGATCGTTCGTCAGAAGCGCCATGAGTCTGACCTCCACGTCAGAAGTAGATACGGAGCTAGATGTGGTCGTCGGCTTCGATAAGCGTGTAGCCTGGGTAGGAATATTCGGGGCTTGCCCAACCTGCAGGTTATCCCAATCGATCTCTTGGTTGGTGACATTCAAGGCATTCCAAGAACAACCCAGCCAGCTCGTAATCGCCCGACCAAATTCGCCTGCAACCACCACGGAAGACGTTTTGGACGAGTTCAAGAAATTCGATCTGCTCCTCTACAGCGGTATGCGTTTCGAGCCTGACCTGGCCGCTCGCAAGTAGCTTTGGTAAGCCAAGGGCTTACGGGAAACCTCTATGTGAGCCGGGAGCAAAAAAGTTCTAATCCCACCGCGGTCCGATGTCACCTCTCCCCTCCTCTCGATGATGTGGCGAGACCCCCTGCTACCGGAGATTTATTTACTAGGTGTTCATTTGTTGTGTCCGTCCCCATGATGGGTTGGACAACCTGAACTCTTCTAGTAATCTCCTTTGGCAACAGTAAGCCACATCATCGATAGAAGGAGGGGGGGCCCCTCCCACCAACCTGATAAAACATGAACTCTTGTCCCAAATCTCAACTTCGAAGGGTAGCTTCGGGGTCTCGAACTGTTGCACTTGCTTTCGAATTGAGAAATGTTGAAAGAAATTCCGGAGTTCCTAAATATATGTATCCCGCCCAGCGGGGCGGGCTACCCCTGCACGAGGCTGGCTACCTTATCTTTCTTGCTGCCGCAGCCACACTAGTTGGACTCTCTCGTCTCACAATTCATATTACAAATTGCACCATGACACTGATTCCTCCGGTTCCAGGTTGAGCCGTGATCCTTCCTGAGACTGTCCCTTTCAATTGGCATCGTCACGGTCAGTAGAGCCCTGTGGAAGTTGCATACGATCGCATCAAACCAAGAACCACTGCGCTGTGCCTGAAACGCGCTCAAGCCAACAACATCAATCTGACTGCCCTGAAGCACCGGCATGCGATCGTATAAGACCCAGTGGCTTAAGACCAAGCTGGATTCATGTTTTCATCTTGATCGAGCTTCTGAATTATCAGTGAGTCCGCATGCGATCATTTTGGACCAGTTTTCACTGAACGATACGGTACATGATCATCCATCAACATCACTTCATCCCTTTCATCCATCATCCATCAATTCATTATCACTCATTGCCGAGCCGTTCATTTGTAATTCCATCAGCTCTGCGTTCCGCAGACTGCGCATGATTAGTTCACCACTTCGCTTTCTTCCCTCGAGCAACACGAACTATAATCGTTCATCCGATTATCCATCTTGTCTCCAAATCTACAAGGCACCGGAACGAGCCTTCGAATCTTACACCGTAATCGACAACAATCTCGGCAAGAGTCAAGGGATGAAAGAGAACAAGACCTCTCTCTCCCCGTCGCCCTCGTCTCCTCTAAGCTCGATCCGGTGGAGAAATTACACGAGTAGAGGAATCTCAAGCGCCTCATGCATAAAATGTCTTTGAATAGGGATACGAGTATACTATTATACCTGAAAATGGGCAGGGCAGCGGCGTGTGGGCGATCGGATGGGGACGCAGAAAGAGATGACTTTCTCTTGCTTGTTGCTCCATTGTGCACTCAAGGGAGCCCTGGAAGACGTGCGGCCCACATTGCACCTATCTGGGTCCGGAAGCTTTTGTTCTTTAGGCAGATTTGCGGGATATACCTTAGAGAGCATCCATGGTGCGGTTCAGCGGCTGCAGGTACTATGACTGCTCCCAAAGCCGTGCTGCCGGTCTCTGTGGTCTCCTGTGTCTCGCCCTGATATCCGGCCGATAACCCGTCTCTTGGGTTCCACTGCCATGGCTGCAAGTGGATCTGCCGGTTCCAAGATTTTACGAGTGATCGAACCTCAATGACACGAATTGATAGACTGCGCGCGTGGTGCTCAAGCCCGTAGGGCGAATCAGGCCCATCAAGAGATATCTTCATATAGGCAAAGACAGCCTTGTCAGGCATAAAGCAATGAAGTGTATGTTGGTGTCAACCAAACCATCCTGGTCGCATGGAGGAAGGGCAAAGAGAGCGGTTGAGCTTGTCAAACCCCAGAAACCGTAGATTCATACAGGAACCGCGTTCTTTGTTTCGCGCTCCCACTTGTGTACAAAGTCACGGATGTTGTGCGGGAGGGAGAGTGCTGGACAGTTGGTGGAAGTGGAGTGACATCCCGACCGCTTATGCACTTCACCATCGATAGTGCTGCGAGGGACGTCTGCAAAGCGCATCTCTATCTGTCAGACAGGGGAGAGGGAGGAAAGCTCTTGATTATTGAAACTCATCGGGACGATCCTGGTGGGGTGGCATGATAGGGGGAAGATAGTTCTATTGGTGTGATTTGAAGCCACCCTACTCGCTCAGTGCGAGGCTTGGTAGTGGCGAGAGTAGATAATCATCTACAGCAGCATCCGTTCCTCTTTCACAGTCGATTACGGGTGCATGGCCTCTGAGATGCTGAAGCTTGGGGAGATAGTCCGGGGCCAGGGACGATCCCAGGAACAGGCATCCTTCGACGTGAAAAAGAAGACCAGAAAAGAGTCAGTCGGGGTGGTCACGATCTGGGGGCGACATGACCAGCGGTTTTATTCCCAGCATGTCGATTTGAGACTCAAATTTGGACCTCAAGTCAACCGCCTATTGTGCGCAGCGGCCGAGCGCGGACTAGACAAGACGGGAGCGTTGATGAGCGAGGCACATATCTCGAACCGCTTGGAAAAACGCCTCCGTGGTCGTTCAATTGCCTCACTTTCCTCCCGCTCTTCGCTGCTTATCGCTGCCTTCTCCAGCACCCAGGCTAGAATATCGTGTGGCCTCGCAATGCTGATCGACTTCTCTCCAGTCTCGCTTGCACAGCTCGCGCCTTTCGTGACTATCGGCGACTCTTCGACGAATGTCCCTCACCCTCAGTTGGTTCCTGATGGACGGACATCCGTCCACAGTGATATATGTAGAGATGCCTCGCTAGGAATGCCCCGGGCTTCCCAAAGGCGTGACGATCCGGGATACCCATTTCCCCTCTGTCAATGTATCTTCCCTTTAACGTCACCGGGCCTTTGGCACACTTGCCAGGGTGGTGCAGGAGGCCATTGATGACTAGCCATTGCAAATCGTTGGAGTGGCATTCCGAAAGAGTAGCGTCTTCCCTGTGCGCAATTTCTAGTCATTGGGCTGTGCTCGACTCGCCCCGCAGGTCCAAAGCGAGATGAGTGATCCAACACTTCGCGGGCTTTACTGTGTGCAATGCGGATTCGTTGGAAAAGAGGCGATTAACAGAGAGTCCCTCGAGCATGCATGCCTATTCATCCAAAGTTGCAAGAAGCTGCCTGTCACCCACAATGCCAACATCGGCTTTCACCAAGAGGATAAGATAAGGCAGTCTTTACTGCCACCCAATAGGTGTGTCGTTGTGTCTGGATGCACGAATAGATGAAGCAAATGGTGAAAGGGGATTCTAGGTTTCACCAGAAGGTCCCTGCAAGTCGGTTTACCAGCGCCATCAGCTGCGTGCTGCAGAAGTCTGGGCTAACGCGCAGCCGGCAGCTCAGCAGCACGAGTATGAGAAAAGAGGAGACTTCGCGGCGTGGAAGCGGCCGGAAGACACTCTCCGGGGTGTCAAAGATATGTTCAGAAGGGGCGGTGGTGCGTACGTGGTTATGGAAAGCAAGGATGGATATTACCTGAATTGTTGAGAACCAAGTAGATGATGCCCTGACCTTCGTACTATGATTCATCAATTCAAGCCACCCGGTGTGATAACATAGCCCGAGTCGATTGGTGTCCCCGGTATTCATCAACGCGGGACTTATAGGCTGCTACAAGGGGTCTGGCCAAAAATATTTCTCAGTAGGGTTGGCTGCCAAAGCCTGGTAAAGTCAATCTGGAACTTCTGCCTGCTCTCCACCAGGCCACGGCCAGAGACAGCTCTCATTAGAGCCAGGTGAGTACTGCAGGAAGGAACGACATTCTTTACGAGCTATACAACACTACATCTAGCAATGGCCATCACGATAACCAATCCAGCACCATACTGAGCGTAGAAGGAGACCTCGCACCGATGAGAGCACCCCCTCTGTCGGCACAATTCAACCGTATGGCCATGACCTCAACAGAGCCGTCCTCTTCTGAATCAAGCCACAAATGGAAATAAGTCACGATGCCATGGAGAACATTATATCCACAGCAGAGGAGGATAGTTTCCTGTCTGGACTTCGACAGGGCACATGTAAACTGTGGCAGCATATTAAAGACACTGACTTCCGAAGCCAGGCGAGTGAGCCAGGCAAGCACAGCACGGAAAGTGGCGGACGTACGAGGGTGAATCGCGTAAAAAGAAGCGTGGAAAATTCGAGTTCGCAGGATTTTACCGAGCCATTGATTGCCTCAACCCAAGGCCTCATCGTCATCGCCACATACAGTGTGCGTAGGTAGATTGAAAAGTGCACGGCCACTCTGATTTTGGCAGCCCTGAATGCCGGAATATTTACAAAATCCTCCCCGTCTGGAAATGCTCGATTTGCGACCCACTGCTCTACCGGCTCCTCCACTGATTTTGTGGTGAGACATGTCTTGTTGCGCGCGGTTTGCAGCAGAGCAAGCACGTTGCTTCTCTCGCGTGACGCAGTACGAATTGAGGTCTCAGCTGATGTCGGTGAGTTATCACGGACTAGAAGAATGGAGTGGATGCTACAACTGCTCAGATGTATCGGGCATACACTGTCAAGCTAGGGCAATAGTGTTTTTATCTTCAGGATCCACTATTATCCTCTTGTGTTGATAATCTCGTTCTTGTTCTCAAGGTCTGCTGCCAGGTACGTCGCACCTGGTGCAGCCTCTGTTTAATGCCCGCTTGGATCATGGCTCGTCCGGTGGTGAAAGGGAACAGGTTGGATTTGGTGCACAGATTATACATCAAATAGATGGCGTCGAATTTCTCTCGATCGGGCACGGCGGCCCAGACGCAAGCGGTTTCATTATTCCTTTCTTTATTCTTGTCTCTCCCCCTTACCTCCTTGTCGCAATATGTTTCTCTCCCTTGCATACGTATCCCTTGTCCTGTTTCTCTCCCTTATGTATACTCCGTGGGTCCAGCGCGGGCTCCTGGAGTCCGTGCCCTCCTCCATTGGTCTATATCTCTCGTATAGTGACGTGACTGTGCACGGTCTTGAACGGCGGAAGGTCTCCTCGGCGCTGGTTCTCGGGAACCGAGGCTTCTTCTACGTTCAACCCATCACAATCAGAGGGCGAACACAAACGTTAACCTAACTGCCTGGGCTCTGGGTGCCCCAGTGATAGAGTCGAGGTGTCCATGTCACTACCTATTTAGTAGCTTTCTCGCCAGTGCCTTTTGTCACGGCCTGGGAAGCGGCCAGACACGATCAGATGTCACCAGTGTAACTAGACGCGGTTACATATGGCTAGCTGCGTAGTGACGTACCGCATAACTGAGAAAAGCGATCCGATTGGTCCACACGACAAAAGGCAGCTTAGCGCGCATTCCGGTTCGCCGTCACCGAAAGGTATGGCTTGGCGCGACTGCGAGGTATTTAACCCAGAGCGTCTACAGTGCACCTTGCTTTTTCTCCCTCCCTCTCTCTCACACATACACACTTCTTTGCTCTCCTCAGCCCTTCTTGTGAATATATATACACAGGCAATACGCAACTTTGGAGCTTTCTCCTTACCTGTGTGCAGTCCCGCCCCGTCATTTCAAAGAGAAACCACGGCTCTCGTCATCACTTTCCCATTGTGGACGGTTGGGGGCACGAGATACGCCGCTGTTTACCCTGCTGCTTGCCAACAACGTCTAAGAGCTGAGAAAGTAGCCTTGTGTTCCCCCTCTATCGCCCACACCCACCTCGGTGCTTCACGTTTCAGTACGACCGATACTCTCATGGCCCGAACAGCATCCAGCAAGACCAGATGTGACCAGACACGGTCATATATGGCCAGAGGTGATGAGGAGGTTGAGGTTTTGTTTGGCGCCCTCGAGGCCAGAAAGAGCGAGGATGATCACTACAGCCTGCACATTACGGCATTCTGGAGTGAGTGCAGCTCAAGGACTTCATATGTCATGGAGACATGAGTTACGCGCTCAGCCCGTGACTATATATATAGTAACCAGAGGGCACTGTGAGTCAACCACTGCCGATACACAGAGTCAGACTGGTGCATCTGTTACTGGAGCAATGCGACTAACAGTGCTGGGTGATACAGCTACGCCAGTAAAGGAAGCCCATGCCTCGGAAACCTTTGCCTGCCAGCGTGGCCACACCTGGATGAAAGCGGAAGGGCGCGGATGCCGACCAAGGAGAAGACACCGCCGCTTTTCGCGCTCTAGAGGCTCTGAGTGCAAAGGACACCTCTCCCAAGCCAGATGTATCGCGGCATAGAATATGGAGGGACCGGTGATGGAGGCGCACCGAACAAGGGCGCTCCTCCAAGCGCGCCGACGTCCTCTGGTGCGCCACCGCCGTATTCTCTGACGCTCCCGTGTTAGAGACAATCTGGCCGGACGACAATACAGTAACAGGCCTTAGAGCTGGCACCCACGATCAAATATATACACCACCAGCGGTGGGGACGGCGGTCAAGTTTACCGACGTCAACCTTTTGCCGCACTCGCAGTCATCAACTTGCCACGAGCCGGTCTTTGCAGTGTTGGGCTAGACAGAGGTCATCATTGGTCATGTGTCGGTCTGGCTTCGACGACCCGTCACCATCCTGCACCATCTGACCAATTTGTTCGTTGAAGCTCGCGTCCACACAATACGAACCGTGCGTATCGGCCATGAATGGGCAGCTATCCATGTCGTCGTCGTGTATCCTCTCTACCCGAGATATAGATGAGGAAGAGAATGAGAGTGCCGGTCTTAGGTCCGAGGATGCGAAGGCTCCGAGCTGGTGGCGGCGCCAGTTCGGAGGTCGAGAGCCCGACCAGCAACACACATGTTGCCGCGGTCCTGCAACCGCTCCCGCAGTTCATATCGCCCCGGACCCAGGAACGGAACACACCAAGACCTCGCTTCTTCTTCAATATAGTGACAGAGGAGGCAGTGGCTGGGACAGGAGAGACGATATACTACTGATAGTCTCCCCAGCAACACACATCTTCCCCCGGTCGTCAAGCCCTCCACGGGGTTCACACTGCCCGCAGCACAGGAACTGAACACAATCCTTCGAAAACACATTGCCCTGCACGAAGGCACCGAACACATAGTGCCATGGGCACATATTACCTCAAAAGTATATTACCTTGCACACGGGGGGCGAATGCACAGTGCCTGGACACAAGCACCAGACACGCAGTGCCCCTGACGTAGGCACCGAACACATTACCTCGAAACCACATTGCACTGCCCACAGGCACTTGATCTGGGCGCAGGCACGGATCGCACCAAGACCTCGACTCTTCTTCAATACAGTGACGGCGATAGGGGAGACGATAGCCCACCGGCGTCCTCGCCAGCATCAGTGGTCTGACCCAACTGCAGCTGCCGACCGAATCCATCAACCCTCCTAGACGCTGTTGCTATTTTTAGGCGACAAGTGACCCAGCCGGCCTCCAGTCCTTCTTCCTTGATCAAGGCCAAAGTGACGTTTTCCTCTTCGGCTTCGACCCCCGAACTAAATCGCTAGTCTTGTGAAACCCCAACCCACCAGCGGGGCCCGTACACCAGCGCCTAGGACAAATTTCGACTCCGTGTCGGCAAGTCACTGAGCCCTCGGCGAATGCAAAACGAGAGTCGAGACCGCCCCGACCACACCGCGCGGAAACATCCAAACAGCATGGACTTTCTAGACGAGATGCTCTCTTAGGCGACTTTGAGTCCAGCAATACATATGAATATCAGCTTTGAAGCCCGTGATAGCCTTCAGGGACAAACGCCACACAGAAGAGGCTGCTGTGGAAAAGATACGGGAAAATGCATGGGATGCGACAAAGAAACGAGTGTAAGAGGTGAATCCTGCTGCTACGGCTCCTCCAACAGTAAGGCAAAATAGACAGAGCGCTGTGTCGGCCTATTGAATATTACCGAAAAACGATCCAACGCCAAACTCTCAAGGACTCCTGACGTAAAGACTGAGTGTGATGTGGTGGGGATTGTCAAGGAAGGTTTCGAGAACATCGTGTTTGGTAGGGGGGATGAAAACGCCGTCAATAACGGGCAGCCTGGTCCGACGGCACGGGGAGGATGGAGCTCCAGACCAAACACGTCTGGCTGCTGAATCTGCACAGAACCGCCTTCACAACGAGTCTCATGCGGCACGCCAACCAGATGCTGTGGACAGTGAAGCGGACATGGCGGCTGAACTTAAGGCTACGATCGAGCTTCGTAACAAGGATCTGTCCAACAAATGCTCGTCCAAGGCAAGATCGCGTTGGACGTCAGGATCTTGAGAGCAACTAAGGCCTGCTACAAGTACCCTGACCTGTGGATGATGGAAGAAAACCCCTCCCCGAGTTCGACCTCCTTTCTCAATCTCAAGTGAGCGTCCTGGCCAACCATGATGGTCGAACCAGTGTGGAATGCTCAAAAGCGGCGCTGTCGCTGTGCCTCCTGACTTTAACGATGCCTTCAGAGGTCTTACCAATGGCGACGAAGTGAACGGTGACGACGAGCGCAAGATGGGGGCGTGGACGTGGCCGCCATGAATATCGACACCGTGTACTCCGAGTTCAATACCGTGGCGTTCTGCACCAATCTCGGCAACAAAGAGTTTCAGGGAACAATCCCGTTTTCGATCCTCAACGTCTTCGAGCGAAAGGAGAGGCACCACGATCTTCCAGGGACAAGGTCGCTCGGTCTTCGTATTCAAGAGAGGGGACCGACACCACGTCTTCGAGAGCAAGGGCAGACACGACGGTCTACATCAGCTCATCTCCGATAGCGAAAAGAAATATCCCTGTCGGGTGCACAAGCCGCTCCATGGCGTTCATATTGCCCTGGACACAGGCACGGAACACACCAAGGCTTCAACTCTTCTTCGGTACAGGGACAGGGAAGACGATGTCACCGTCACCAGTATCGGTAGTCTGGCCTAACTACGCTAGTTCTGTTCTCAGCCAGGTCACAGTTGCGCGTGGCGGCCAATGTAGGTAGCTCCTAGAACCGAGACTGGATAAAGACACAATATTATCCAGCAACGTCGACCACATAACCTTCCAGTTGCCTGTTTTCGCTCTCATTTCCCCTTTTCGGGCATCCGGACAGGACGTAGTTATTATCCCTGTAACAACTCTTCCACGTCACATATCTCCTCCTGCAATCTTACCTATGCGTGAATCGCCACAGGCTTCGTTCTCGAAGCAAGTTCTTTCTTTGTTTCGTTTGTAGTCCGATTCATAGCTCTCTCCCTCCGACAATCGTCACGTCATATCTATCGATACCAGTTAACGCGGAGGTATTCAACCACCGCGATAACTGGCTGCCGTACCAACATACCCCGCTTCTCCTAACGAGTACCCAATGAGACTTCGGAAGCGTCTCGCGGAAGACCGAAGCCGCTTCGGGCCTGAATAGTAGCTCGCTGCCGGCTCAGCTTTCTACGATTTTTATGTCGACACGATCCTGGGATATCGCCAATGCAGGTGTATAGCACTTCTGACACATTGCCGGAGAGTGTTTCACGCGGCAAGAGACTCTCAAGCTACCAACAGCTACTCGAGGAGCACTACAGCCGCTCCAGGGGCGAGGAGCAACTCGCTATCGAACGCGGTTTTTTCCCTTTTTGGCGTCAACACTGCCCCTAGTACATCGCCAATCCAAGTTCGCACCGCTCTTGACGCACTCTCCGAAGATATTTACTACAGATTGAGACGCGGAGGCAACTGGTGGAAGATTGAAGACGCTTCAGAAAAGACTGGAAGCTCGCCGTCTACCGGACTGGTGGCCATATCTACGTCGAGACGACCCTGGCATATTGCCAATTCAGGCCCACAGCTTATCTGCTGCATTACCTCAGTACATCTCACATGGCATGAGCCTCGGTCGCACTATCTTCATCATAGGCCCCGGTGCGCGCGTCGGGGCCACTGTGCATTCAGCACCCGTGTTCAAGGCAATGTGCTCGGACAATGCATGAATGTGATATGAACCTAAATTGGCAATGGCCCAAACTTAGGGTCATGTTGACTCAAACAATCCCACTAAACCCGGCGCCGAATCTTGACTTCTGGAACTCCCTCGCCTCCGAGTCCCCGTCGCACTCATTATCCTTCTCGTCCCCATCGTTCCCCTTCTGCTTCGTCCTCCCCTTCTTCTTCCTCCTCTACTCGTTCCCATAGCCTTCCTCTTCTTCCTCCTCCCCCTCTCCTCCCTCCTCCCCTTCTTCTTCCTTCCCCCCTTCTTTATCATTCCGCGACCTTATTGCCACCGCAATGTAGTCAGCGACCAATCGATCCTTCGGGCCCTCCATGACGGGATGAGCATGCGGGCGAACGCGGTACATGAGCTCGATAGCCTCTGTGGTCGTCATATTGCCGACGCGTTTGGCTATTGCCATAAAAACACTGGCTCGGAGATAATCCCCCGCCCTCGCAAAGATCTCGTGGTTGGCGAGAATCGTTCGCCACCACCCGGGAGCTTGGTGTCTTTGGAGGCGGAGCAGAGACACGAGGAAGGTGAAGTGTAGGTACCGCTTCGTTGGGCGGAACTCGTTCCGGAATTGAAGTACCTTCCCATCGATCTTCTTCAGTAGGGGTTCGTCGCGTGGATCTCCAAGGACGACGACTTTCAACTCATCAGGTCCCTGACCGGGGACAATAGCGAAGAGACCGTCGTTAAAAGCGACTCCCAAATCGTGATGCATAAGTAGGCCGTTTCCCGGGGCCATAATATGTCCCGGTGGACTTGTTTTCTCGCTAAATATATAGGAGGCCTGGGTCTCCCTAATAGTATGCGGGAAAATATGCCCCGCCACCACAGTCCAGCTCGACATAAACTCGCCGGTGATACAGCACCAGGTCCCATTGGAGCTGGGGGATTCGGCTCCGTAGGCCTCGATAGCTGCCATTCTGAATCGTTGCTGTTCGTTAGTGTCTCTTGGCTTAAAAAGAGATAGAGCCGCGCGAGATGGAGTCCTTGATCGAGTTAGAAGACCGTCAATATACGCCCAGTCGGCTGTATTTTCGTGCTCGAGACGCACTTTCGCATCCATCCAGGATCCGACGATATTACCGAACTCTTCCTGTAGAATAACTATCTTCTGTTGTAGATCTAGGATCTTCCGGTCAAACCGGTTGATCTCATTCTTGACGTCGACCTGCGAGACATCCGCCTCCGAGACGTTGAGAACTCCGCGATAGTGGAGGACGTTCAGCAATTTCATATACCGACTTGCAGACTCGTAGTCGGCCTTTAACAACTCTAGATACGCCGTGACCAGCTTTTTCAGGCCCAGGCGGATATTTTCCGAGTGCTCGTCTCTATCGATGTCGTCGTTTGAATACCATTTAGCTGACTCTGTAAAGATCTGCTGGCTGGAGGCTGACAGTTGTGAGAAGTTTCTTTTCTTCTCGCTCGCTGACTCAAGGAGAGGTTGAATCTCCGTCTTAAATAAGTCCCTACCGTCCACCTTTCTGACCTGGGCCAGGACTCTAGCCGTGAATTGTATCGTGGGGGGTGGTGATCCCTGTCGTGGAGTCGTGAGGGTCTTTCCATCACCTTTAGGAGTAGAAGGCATTGTGAGGATGCAATGCTGCGAGTAGGAAGATCTGTCGGGATACAGAGCTGTGAGCGGACAGGGGCGTCAGGCTGCAGTTTTATCGGGGTGTAGAGCCGAAAGCACCAGGTAGGATGTGGTGCTGTCGGTATGCAGTGCTGTGACGATGGAGTGTTATGAGCAGGAACAGCTGTCAGAATGCAGTGCTGTGAGAACGCAGACCCAGAATGATTTCTGGAAAATGAGAAGTATATGATGCAGAAGAATTCGAAATTTCGGGTGAAGATATGTTGAGTTATTCAGTGAAGCGTCAGATTTCTGCACTAACAGTTACGCCGCTGATTGGCTGTTGAAAGCAGTAGTAACGTGACTTGCCGGGATTTTAGTTATCCCGCTCCTGATTGCCATGTCCACCTTGTCGTCACCGACGCTACGAACCCAGCTTCACCAGCAGCTTCATGACCACGACGTCGGATCCTTATCAAACAATCACAATCTGTTTGGTTGGCAACATCCAAATCGTCTATGGTAACTTTCCCTTGAAAGGGCCCCTGTGAGTCGATTTGTGGAACCGCGAAACTGACTAATTATAGGTCTCTCAGACCATTCCCAGGCGATCCAAACTCTTCTCCTCTCCTCGAAGCTCTCTACTCGAAGCAATCCTCAGCTGTTGAAGGTCCCGCTGGTGTTGGACAGAAAAGATGGAACTGTGGCATCACAGACCCAAGTCAGCTCGCAGTCAATGGCGGCATAGGAACACCCAGTAGGCAGTTATTTGTCGCAGTCAGTCGAGCACCAGGTCAGGTTTCCGTGATTGTCAGGAAAATATACGTACTTCGCTATAATACCAATGCACTTTGAGAGCCGCGATGGCGACGCTCTCGGTTGCCAGTGAGCCATCCCTGGGACCGCCCCAAGGACCTCCTCGTCCTTCCTCTTCTTTCCATTTCGCAGGCTCCCTACTGCAATGAGCTCCCTGACCTTCCTTCACAACACCGGGTTGCATGTTGCTCGAGGCCGCGAGAAGAAATAACATCACATCGACATGGTTGATACCGACCGAATTCGCAATACCCGTCAGAACGACGGGGCCGGCACACCTGGTCACTTACAGAGCTCGCAGGCTTTGTGTTGTCCGCTGGCAGCACCAGAAGGGACAATGGCGCGGTGCAGACCGGTCTCAGTCACGACGTAGAGCTCGATCGTCGGGTTACCCTGGGAGTAGTAGACGGAGCGGGGGTGGACCTTGACAATAGGCATGGCTGTGGGTGGTGCAGTGAATGGAAGATATGGGAACGATGGCAAAGAGACGAGTTGGGGGGGACCAAGGACTCGAGGATTGAACTAGAGTCAAGGCAGTGAAATGCGACGTGGGCGGAGGACCTTTACGAAAACGGGTTGACCTCCTTCTAGTTCGGTGTGTTGTGGCTTCAGCAACCCGTGAAGGAAACTTTACTCTGCGATTGACAACCACGATCCTTTCTCAATACGGGCTCATCATCTTTTGAAATATCATATCATATCAATCAAGTCAGCTGTGAATCGATCTGAGGGGGAGAGCCGAAGGTGAAGGACTATATTACCTGGGAGACTGCGAGGCCATGAGTACTGGTGGACAGACGGCACCTCAAGCGTGAGAACTACGGCCTGTCTCTCTCTGCACTGTACAAAGGTCAGCCCATCAGAATATCATGTGTCTCGTCTTTATCGATTTTCTCTCTTCCTCATATTTAGGGTACAAGGGGGGCCGTCGCCGCCGTCATCATACCTTCCACCTTACCAGTCTCCTTGATGATAGTGATTGTGGTCATTATCAGCTCCAGTTGCCCAATCCTTCTCCAGAAGCCCGTGCCAATCTTCGCCGGTTGCCTCAACGGCGATAAGATGCTCGGAGCAGATAATATGTTCCTCGAATACAGGGTCGATGTGACGGACCTTCTCCTACCATTATCCTCCGAGAACGCCCCCGGTAAACCGAACGTGCTGGAAATGATCTTTGACACTGTCCTCCGTGGCCGTGAGCTTGTTATGGGCACCTACCAACCAGGCTCTTGACAGTGCACCGCCTGCCCTGCCCCAATCGCCCTCTGCTCCACAATGGGATAGAAAATGTGCTTCCACGAAACAAATCGATACATTAGGCCACTGTATGCGCAGTCAACGAGAGGGATGGACTCGATGTGCGAATTCTGTCGCCCAAAGGAAGAAAGGCAAGCTAGATGTTTTCTTTTCCCTTTTCTTTTGATTTGGGATGTCTCTCGGCGCTCAATACGGCCAAGCATAAGCTGGGGGGGTGGGAGGCGGGCGTATTTGAATCATTTCATTCTCCTCTCCGTACTACTGGAGATCTTGTTGCTTCCTTCGTGCTCCTTCCTGTGATCAACTTGTACTCTGTCAGGTTGTGGATGAGCACAGGGTTACATTTGTTGACACATGCAGGCCACGGACAGCATCTCTGAAATGCGAAAGCAATCCAACCGCTGAAAAGGCAGAAGACATCATGGGGGGGGGGCTCCGTTGAGGAGTAGGGCGTAAAGAAATGCAAAAAAGAAATTGACCAGATTGAGACTTGAACTCAAGACCTTCTCCGTTCTATCCGAAGATGTTAAAGAGACTGTACAGATTGTTAGATCGAACTGGTACTGCCAAATGTGATTAGAGATTGAACATACTATGATAACCAACTACACCATCCGGCCGATTTGTGGTGATTGTTAATGAGAAATAAGCTTCGAAAATTGATATATCCCAAAGTCGACTGTGAGGCGTGAACTCGTTGGGGATGCCCGAAGGGGCCAGCGGAGCAAGTGGGGTCTTCCGGGGGGTCTAATGGGCCTGGGGGTAGTGGTCCCAGCCAACAGAATTATTCTGAAGGCTGCGGCTGGCGGGAGAGGTGGGCGCGGTATCCGTATTACTGATGACAACACAGACGAACTTGTCAGCGAGAGGCATAGGTATCTGCCAGTAATGGAAACTCATTCGCAGAGCGACATCTACTCGGCGCTCGACACATTCACGTCCAGTTTCTCCGAGATGGCATCGGGCAAGTTTGCCCCTTCTAGGAAAGGGAATGTCTCGTTTCAGTGTAGAATCCAGAGAACTGATAAAGGTCAGTACAAAGGACTGTCTGAAGTGATTGAGGTAGCGGTCCGCGAAACAAACTACTATATAAGTAAAAAAAGGGGAAGATCGATTGCTCAACATGGGAATCGAACATCCATCCTAAAATGACCCAAAAAAAGTTTGGTGGATCCTATATTACCTTTCCCACTCGAACCGGGTACTCGTAGGTGTTGCGGCTCCTGTCCTCACCCCGGTGGTGAGCGTTCTCGAGCAATCTTACAACAGCTACTTTCCCTGTCGGTTCTATGACCTACTGGCTGAGATTTTCGTGATCTCAGTCTTCGGTTTTTTGGTCGTTGGCGAGACCATTACTGCGTGAGCAGCGAAGCCAACGTCCTTGGAAAGGCCCCTCCCACCAAACCCTTGTATATCCCGTGACGCTCGAAGTTCGCAGTTTTTAATTTGGTCTCTTTTTCGCTGTCTTTTGTCACTTCTTTCGATTTGGGATATGTTGCAAGGATTTTCGGGTCTTAAAAATATATGTGAACTATTTTTTGACCGAGTAGTGAACTGTGAATAGTGAGTGGAGACGGGTGAGGCAGAAAAAAACACATGTGGATGGAAAGTGAATGCCATGTAGATGTTTATTTACATTACGGGTCATCATTCTTGCCAGTGATACAGAAAGGGTGCCCGCAGCTCGTCGCGGGACATGGGATCTCCTCCTGGGTCTGTAATTGAGCGAGTGCAGTCCCTTCGAGCGCGAAACACTCCTGATGTCCAGTCACTCCTCGCTGGGTTTATCTTCTGCAAAGCTATCCCGACTTCCCTACAGCGACCATCTCGACTTCGCAGTCTTCTCACCTTCAGATCTCGAGGATATTACTGTGCACTATGTTCCCCGCGCGTGGTGAGCATAACATCGTCCTCGAGAACCCTTCGAAGGCTCAAATACGCTCGAAGCAGCATATGCGTACAGCGGCATTCAGCTCTATTCCCTCCTCGGGACGAACATGCACTCACGAAGTTGGGCCATGGGCCGTGGCATCGGTACTCTGGTCTGGAATGGGGTTGCAAGAATGCTCTTGCACTCGGTCTGCAAGTCAATCTGGTAAGTCCGAACGGTCGTACTCACGCCACTCTGGTTTTACCAACCGCTGGGTTATCGAGAGTTGACTCGGCAGCTGCGAAACCTATGGAATCCGACCTTGGAGACTTTAAACTGGGATCCATGGCGAAGCTCTCTGCAGACAACGCCGCTGGTGGCGAGCGGATATCAAGGTTACTTCTCTGGACGACGACCTCTTCCTCGCCCGGATGGGCGATGATGGACGGCATCTCCGCGGGGTATCAGTGGCCGAGAACAACAATACAGCGGGACAGGCGGAGTTTGAGAGCATGAAAGCAAGCTTCTATATATGCAGAAGACCAGGTCACCTGCTTGGTTATTGTTCTGACTGGGCTGGGGGAGAGCAGAGAACGAGGGTCTTTTCCCCCTTTTCTCTCCACAGTGAGCTTGACATATACGAAGATACAATCCAAGCATTCAACCATTCAAGTATCTGCCGTCTGGGTGGTGTTATGGTGTGTTGTGGCGGGTTGCGCACCGGGTCGTGGCTTGGCAGGGCCGGTCACGTGTTTAGCGCAGGTTCGTTTTTCCGTCTTTGCGGTGAGGGTGTTTCGCAGATCCTGGACTCCCAAATTCTGAAACTCCCAAAGTCCCAGTGTCGCGGGTTTTGTTTCAGCTTGAATTTGTTTTTATGTATTGTCCACCTAGCATCCGGGACCTGGCGTTGCTCAATTGCCGAGGCTGGCGGCAACAACCTAGATGCGTCGACGGAACTCATATATGAGGTTAACCGATGACGAAACCGGCGGCAGAACACACACCGCCGACGAAACACCAGAACGTATGCGGAGGAGATACACTTCGAGAGTCTAAAAGCAAACAAGGGCAAAGAGAGTCTACCAATTGCGCTGCGAATGCACCTTGTGAGACTGGAATGGGATCGTCGTTCATTACGGGCAGCGAGGCGTGCCAAACCAAAGAATTTCCGTGTCTTCATGGTGTGCAACCGAGGGACATACCGGCGTCATGGGCCTGCACGACAGACGCAACGTGAGACAGAGTTCCCAATACCCCACTACAGAAACAAATGCAATGGGCCCCCTCCTGGCTCCCACAAACCCAATAGCGCACTGATCCCCCCACCCTCCAACCCACTCTTTTTTCACTCCGCTCTTGGCTCTCTGACTCCAGAGGCAGCCAGGGAAGTCATCGCGCAGCTGAGGGGCGCATGGCACAGGAACGATCGCATCTTTTGGCATTTAGCGGTCGCAAGGACCTACCAAGATGACCGCCAGGTTCCTTAGGTCAGGCAGCTGGCTTACCCACCCAGGGCCGAGAGAGGATCGAGAATGAAGAGATCCCATCCATTCATCAACATCCACAACCTGCTTGCATACATATGTATTGCACATATTGTATTGGTTCATGGGATCCCGGTTAGGCCACGCTTTTTCGAAAAGAGGAGAGGACACTAAAAAAAAGGGGGCGGGTAGGCGATGTATGTGCACAACATATTTTGATATTTTTCTCGTCTGTCCTGTCTTGTCCTGCAGCCAGCCTCCCTCTGTCACGGTTCAACGCAGCGGAACAGGTGGAAGTGGGTAGACGGATCCTGACAACTGGAAGTGTGGCGTCACGTGACTGGACCAGCGCCGCAAACGGCGCAACCTGATTGGCGGAATCGCCGGAGGCACAACCATTGACGGATCCAGAAACTTCAACCTGGACCACGGAGAATTCACATTATATTTCAGCAGTTCATAGGTGCTCGATCAGCTCGTTCGACGCACTGGGATACCCTCCTGCCGGGCCTTGTGTTGATATCATCATATCAACCCGGGCCGTTAGTGGGCAGGCAGGGAGGTAGGGAATCAAGTCAGATTAAAAAAAGAGTAGAGCTTAATCAAACCTTCCATTCTGGTGTCATTCTACCCAAGCGGCCCTACCCTCTTCGTTCACTCCTCCGCACTTGCCTTCCAGCGCGCTATGATCTCAAATCTCGCGTCTGTCTTTCCACTCCGTCCGGACGTGCGATCTCGTGCCTTTGTCGTCTTTACATTCCCTCCGCACCTGCCTGCAGGCTCTTCAACCAATCAGCATTCGCGGCTTTCACCAGGGCATCGTTTTCCTCCATCGATTTCATTGCCGCGTATAGATCGTCCAGGGACACGGTGAAGATATGACGATCCGCGCTTATTTCCACTCCTCGCGTAAACCCAAAGTCTTCGGGTGACAGAAAGAGTCCGGCCGCGCGATCGGGGCTCTTTACGCCGTGTCGGTTTCGAATCTCCTATTTGATATAATTAGTAATATCATAGACGAAAAGGATATTGACTTACCACGATGCCGCCGCGAACTACCTCCTTGAACCTCCCATCGTCACCAAAGCTTGCCCTCCAAACTATGAGATGTGCTCTCTTACCTCTCGGATAGGCAAGATCGAGTGTGATCACAGTTCGGATACGGCCTCCAGTCTGCTCGATATACTCTCGTGCAAGATCGTGGAGCTTCTTTATTGGCTGCGCGTAACCGACTTCACAAACTAGGACTGGAAGTTCGGGGTTCTTCATGTTTGTGATTTGGATATCAGGTTGACGGGTGATCAGTTTCGTAACATCCTTGGACGGATATGGAGTATCAGAACAGCCGAAATGACGGAGCGTCGCGGTGTATTCAACCATGGCGGGGTCCCTGAGGAAACAAAGCAGACGGTCATTGATAAATTGAATGATGTATTCGTGTTTCCTACTAGGCATTCTGAGAGCTAGCGTTTCAGTAGCGGAGGAATAGTCGTATCTATCGTTGACATTTAGCAAAGTCTTGAAGTGGGTTATTTGGCCCTCGAAGTCGCGGACACCTACCTGAGACGCGATCCCGCAAATCTACCGTCAGGTGATAACTCCGCAAGTTGTCGGTATTGCTCTGCGGGGAGGAAGAATTCGATGATTTGATCGTCGGAAGGTGGTTGGTTTCGGAGGAAGTTCGCAAGCTGTTGCAGTTCGGATGGGTATTCAGGTGACGGGAGATCAGGAGAGGAGACGTTGTCGCCGCCTGAAACAGAAAGCGAGCCGGGAGTCTGGCCAGGAGCATCAGGCTCCTGACCATTGTCAGAGCATGAGTCCATCATGTGAAACGAGTTATATATATTCACCATCTCACACCTTGTTGATGAGAGATGGTGAAAACAGTAAGGCAGCGAGCGTATGGGCGGGCGCGCCTTTTATTTGCGGTGAGGGTTGAGTCCGGTTGAGTATTTGCACTTTCATGTCCAATAACGGTGGAGCAGGAATCACTTCACCAGAAGCCTTTGTTGATGCTGTAAGCAGATCCACCAAGGCTGCTTTGTCGACTGGCTAAAAATGTACAGTAGTCTCTGCTTTGGCGACAGGGGGTCTTTGTTGATGGCACTGCCATGTCTGCAAACAGACCCCACCAGGGCTTTGTTAATTGCACTGCGCAATCTCTGCTTTGGTCGCACGACGGCTTTGTTGGCTGCAAACAGACCCCACCAGGGCTTTGGCGACTGCACTGCCACATATACCATACTGTGGCTTGATAACAGCGTGGCTTTGTCGACTGTACATGTCACCCGGGCTCCCCGGCCGACAACACCCCATGGGGCGATTAGGGCGAGTGGCCCCCACGAGGCACACACAGAAAGAGATAAATAGGACCTCTATTCTCGCACTGCTGGAGAAGCCCTCAACAGTGCGAGAAGTCGATGTCTCAAGGATAGCTTTATACAATACAGATACGTGTTCAACCCTCTGGCTCTCCGTCTAACGATCCCACCCCAAGGCTCTCTGTCACATGTAGTTTAAACCGGCGAAACGTCGGCTGAACTGCACCAGCAACCACGCCGCTGATTGGCTGGTGAGAACACAGGTGACGTAACGTTGCAGAAATTTTTATCTGCAACCCGGCGCCGCCGCCGAGGCTACCAACTCGGCTTTGTTCAACAACTTCATCATCACCACACCATAGAATCTTCATTAAACAGTCTCGATCTGTTCTTTTGGTAATTTTCGATTAGTCTGTCGCAACTCGCCCTTGAAAACCCCCTGTAAGGCGAGTTGTGGAACCGCGAAACTAACTGATTCATAGGCCTGTTAAATCACCCTAAGTTGGTCCAAACCCTTCTCCTGTCCTCGAAGCTCTCTACTCGAAGCAATCCTCAGCCCCTGAAGACCCTTCTGACGTTGATCAGAAAAGGTTCTAATATGCCAGCACAGACTCGCAGTCAAACTCGCGGTCAGTCCCAGGTCAGACTGCCAGTCAAAGTTGAAATAAGGAAAAGAGTGAAAGACAAGCGCAACAACCCTAAGATGCAAAGTCAAAGAGGTGGAATGGTAATGCGTGAACGGGAGTGTGGGCGTGACACTCAAGAAAGGGATCAAATGGAGCGCATTCACCAAGAGCAACAACAGCAACAGCATGAAGCGCAGAGACCATCACAATATATTCAGCAACCACTGCCAGCGGCACCTCCACAACCAGGCCAGCCTTTTATGCCAGGACCGTCTTCAACGCCCGCTCCACCGCAATCAACACACGCCCAACAACCCCTTTTGAATGATGCTCTGAGCTACCTTAACCAAGTCAAAGTACGATTCAGCGATCGTCCAGATGTGTATGACAGGTTTCTGGACACCGTGAAGGACTTCAAGAGGCAAGTGATCGATACACCAGGAGTTCTTAAGCGTATCTCAAATCTCTTCAACGGCCATCCTACCCTAATCCGAAGGTTTAACATCTTCCTCCCACCTGGATACTTTATGGAATGTGGGACCGAAGGGAACCCAGACGCCATCAAGGTCACAACTCCCAGTGGGACGATGACCCATTTCCTCTAGGGTAGAGGATACGCACAATTCGAGCCTGCCCTACAAACTGCAGGGCTTCGATAACAACACAGATTTGTAAGTAATCGTGACTGAGGAAAGGTATGCCTACAGAGTGTGGAGAGGGTGAAAGGGGTTGAACACACTGATCGCGGAAGGTTGTATCGAGATAGTGTCTAGACTAGGTAATCGGTAAATCTTAATAAGTAAAAATGGCATACATAGCATACTGAAGTAAATTTCCACCTTCAAATTTTCCCATCGACCCGGAGCCTCTTCGACATATTCCCCTCGGCGGCCTGTGCGAACAGGCGGATCGTACAGATTTTCCACTTCTGCCGGCATGTGAGTGCGGAGGAGCTGCGATCGATCATACTCAGGTAGATGCTGTGGAGGCAAAGAGATTGTACAGGTCCACGGCCGCTGAATCCATCAGTATCAGTGTAGCGCACGCGAAGCTCTTGCTCCACAGGTTGCACGGAGCCTCTCCCGCCAGGCGAACACGCAGGCAGGCAGGGTCGATCACGATGTATTCTTCCAAGCAGCTCATACGGCGCCTACCAGGAAGGCTCACCTGGCCTTTTCAATTCTGTGGCTTCTTGGAACACGGTTGCGGGTGGCGTGGTCTCATCTGCCTCTCCCGTTACGGATGTCGGCGAAGCGGGGGAGGAGACCCCTGATCCTTTCCCGAAACTCCGCCCTCAGCGTCTTGGATCCTTATCGGGAACCTGGGTCTGACTCTGCGATGGATGAAGGAGAGGACGAGGCGTATGGGGATGAAATGAAGCACGACGCTTCTTGGTGGAGGCGGAAACGCTGATGAAGCAGTCAGCAATGAAAATGGATATGGGGCCAGATGGTGGAATAGAGGGCTTTCCGGGCGATTTAGCGATGGATATTGAATCCATAGCCAGTGATCCTCCCACGAATGTCGATTCTGATATTGATTAAGACGACGAAGACAGCTAAGGCTTCGTGATTGGCGAAGAGGAGGACGGTGGTGAAATCAATGGAGACGACGAGAACAAAGGCCCTGAACGAAATGCTCGACTTCTGCTTCCGGCGGTTCTCCATGCACACTGAGAGTGACTGTATTATAATGGATGCCACAATATACAAATAAAACAATGGGTTGGTGCATCTTCGTTGTAACTGTCCACTCGCAAGCTCTGCACGTCGATGCTGTTTTATAACAACCTTCCCATCGGAGTCGCGGTCGTTGCCTTGGGCATGTTCTTCCTGCGCATCCCCCACCCGAAGCTTGGTGCACCAGCTCCAGGGGTGATTTAGAAGCCGAAGAAGCTCGGCCTAGTAGGGAACGCGATGTTCTTCTCCGGTTGTCAGAGAGCCTTGGGGTGGGATCGTTAGACAGAGAGTCAGAGGGTTGAACACGTATCTGTATTGTATAAAGCTATCCTTGAGACATCGACTTCTCGCACTGTTGAGGGTCTCTCCAGCAGTGCGGGAATAGAGGTCCTATTTATCTCTTTCTGTGTATACCTGTTGGGGGTAGACTTGGCATTGGGGTCCGTCTTGGCGTTGGGGTCCGCCTTGGCATTGGGGTCCGCCTTGGCATTGGGGGCCGTTCACCCCATGGGGTGTTGTCGGCCGGGAAGCGTATTGTAACAGTCATTGTAACAGCCCTGCTTCCCGGGTGACACCGGTATCGTGTGTCCGATTTTAGCTCTCCAGTGGGGAGGAACCAAATATGCTTTGCATAACGCTCGAGTCATCGTTCTCCCGATGCTCTCCTTCGTTAGGTGCGGCGACCATGGCCACAGTGTAATATTTCCCCATCTAGTTCCAGGCCATCATGGACGTCGACATCGCTACATCCAGCATCATGCTGGCCCCGTTCTTAATCCGTAGGGTGGTTGGCCAATCATTGTTCTTCGCCATCTCTTCGATCCGTGGCTAAGGGAAGCGATTGCGTGGGTTTGCTGCGAAGTGGAGGAAAAAAGGTTGAAAACCCGGGAGAAATGAGAAACGAGGACGTGGAGAAGAAGCAAAGCAGCACCAGCAGAAGAGAGAGAAGAAAAACTGGATCTTTATTGCCAAGTAAATGCTTGCGTGACCGCGAATTCTTCGTTCGACATGGTAAAGAAATCGGGGTTGAATTTGGCCACGTAAGGGCGATAGGCGCCTTGGACCCGCCACCTTCCACCTCTCAACTCCATCGTCGCCTAATGGCTGTGCTCTGGTTGTTTCATTATCAGACTCCGAAACCGTACATCAAAACTTAATCCGAGGGCTGCGTGTGTGAATAATATCAAGTCGCTTATGGTAGAGGCAGTGCCCAGGGACGGGTCTGCAACAGGCATCTTGTCAGATCTATGATAGCTTGGCAATATTAGTTCAAAGGAAACACAAACACCAACAGCAAAAATGGCAAAAACTTATCGCAAAGCAGGTTAACGGGTTATTAACCTGGTTTGTGATAAGCGAAACTCTGCCCTTGCGGGTTGGTTTTTCTCGTCCGTGGGAAATTGGGTCAAGGTCGGCGTGAGCAGGGTACGGGATTCGAACCCTAGGTCTTGCGGCTTCGCCCTCGTTGTATTGAGGGGGTCTTGGTGTGGGAGAAATTTAGACCGATAAAAATATATGTTTACCATTTAATATGGGTCCTTTGTGTCGAGCCCTTCTGGACCGGGCAACACATGTTTCTCACCAAAGTAGGTGGTTTTGGACAGTAGATGCTTCGACAACAATGTGCAATCTGAATGAGAACCAATTCAATATTATCTGTCCTTCCGATACTACGAATCTCGTCGCCAGATCGACAAAAAACTCTCGCTGTTGAACTCAGAAGGGCGGAAACCTACGCAATCGATGCGGCCATGTCTTCTGTTGTATACTGCGGTCCGACGTCTTGTCCTAAGTTGAGATACGGAAAGATTACCTATACATGCTCCTCCTTCTACTCTCCGAATGCGTCATGAACCGTTCCCATGGGCTTTATTATCAGATGCAGTTGGACGGTACCCTCCTTTGAAATCGGGGCTTCAGTCGCTGGGATGTATCATGACCCCGGAGTCGGACAGGCACCTCGTGGAGATGAGTTCCGAATGTTTGGCCTCGGCCAGGAAGAAAAGACGTCGTTGCGAACGACAAAGGTATGTCGATATTTGTTGGTGTCGCAAATTCCTTTGAAATCTTTGCCACTCTGGTGGATGTCGAGATCAATGGGACTGCACGAGGGCTACCGCATCAGCTCGCCCTCCTAGCCTCATCCTCGTCAATGTACCGCAGCCGGTGACCTAAAAGCCTCACTTCTTCCGCTTCCAATCCCGGCAGCTCGGGGTCAACAAATTCACAAAAAATGCAGAAGGGGAAAGGCCAATCCAACAGGTGGGTGATGTAAATATGTCTAAGGGAACATCTGCAAATCTGGTGTTTCAGAGTAATGCCTTCCAGCCTGAACCTGCGACCGTTGCGCCACCAGGTGATTCGTCCTAGGATAAGGCACACTGCTGTGACCTAGTTTTCCTGTTTTCCGGGTGTCACTCACCGGTTTATTACTCGCATCCTCCTCGGTGACTCGGTTGTCTGTCTTCTGCCTCTTCTAGCTAGGAGCGGTGACGATAAATTGTCTGCTTGCTTTCGCGCATCTCTTACAAGATCCCGTGGGATGGCTTTCGTCGGGCTCGGATTTCACTTTCCGCTGTCGGCACGAGAACATGCAATTCCGCACGTTCTACGAGTGCGATGGCAAGAGTCGGAAAAACAGAAACTCTGGAGAGCTCAGTTCAGGTCGAGGCTGCGGCTGCGATGGACTGAGCGAGGACTGAAGATCAGAGATCGCATTGAGCTCGGGAACGCGTCGGGGGGCTCCGGGCGGTGATCTCCTAAGTGCCTGCTTCCTTTCTTTGGGTTTCTTCCTGCGTTTCTGTGATCTCATCCGTCCACACTATTTGGGGCACTATTACGCGGCTGCTGCACGAGACGTTGTCCCGAGTCTAACAGGCTGACCAGTGTCCCGTGCGCTCTGCCCTGGTGCCGTGCTGTCTACCACGTCGCATCTCTGCTGGGTGTAAGGTCAGCGATCGACAGCCCTGTTGCACAGCCTTGCAAAAGAGGACACCACTTACTTCAGATGCCATGTACCAGGAGAGGGCTTGCACATTATGGCGTATTATTCGCAAGGAGTGCTGGGAGGGGAAAAGATCCACAGGAGCATCATCACAGTACAGCAAATTCGATCGGTTCAGAGTTTGTTGGGGCAGCCACCGACACGGCGTGTCGCAAAAGGATTCTGATATTTTTGCCGAACCTCACGAGCGCCTCATAAGCAGCATCTTCTGCTCGCAAGCAGAACTGGAAGCCAGGCGGAGCAAATACGAGAACGACGTGGATGATATGCTCGCCAAAGATTCACCGTCTCCCACCACCACCGATAGAGGGATGATGGTTTTGAGAAGTCTTGCCGTTCACCAACGTCTCCGCCTCGGGCTTCGACAAGATCTGGTGCCGCGGAAACCATGTCCCCTCTGGCAGCCCACAGGACGATCGTTACGTACTATGCAGGTCCAGGAAGCGAGAGGCGGCGGCCCGAAAATCCTGATGTCAATTGTCCGTGGGAATTGTGTTCAGCTTGTCGACGGTCCGCGCAATGAATTCTGCACCTTCTCCGTGGGCCGAGTACCAATCGATGCGATCAAAGACGCTGATTGTATTGTTGCCGCCTGGTCTCGGCGGGAGAGAACGAAGCCAAGGGATGCATGAGCCCTCGTCATCAGCCTGAGAAATTGTTGTAACTAGGAGTGAATATAGAGCCGGGAAGAGATATCATACCCTGAGCTCAGGTCGCGAAGCCATTTTCGCTGGGCCTCATGAATGATGGCGTGGGGTGTTGGCTGTTGTACCATCGTCCCCGCCCCAGTGTCAATAATACTACTTGTACGGGCCATGAGAGGGAGAATCGAAGCACTCCTCCTCTTACGGATGTCCAGCATGGGCTATGCTACGGTTTCGGATGATCCGCTCCGCAAGAATAAGTCATACATGGTATATCAACTTTGCTCGACGACCCTAACAACCGGATACTGGTCGAGATGGCGAACTGGGAGAAAGGCCACTACATCAACTACAAGTGAGTTCCCACCGCAATGAGTCCGCTGCTGTTGTTGTTGTCATCGAGTATGGATGGGGGGATGACACTATGATATGGAAACTTACAAGTGTTTACTACTGGGGGTAAGACTCATTCTGTTCGATCGTCTGGTGTGTTTCTCTTTCTCGAGCCTAACGCCGTTCCATCAGGTAGGCTGTGTTGATACCTGATGGTCCGACGCCTTGGATGGACGAAGATTGAGGGTTCGTTTGGATATCTCTAATAAAAGCTGACAGATCACGTCGAATTGAAGTGGAGGGAGAGGACAATGCCAGACTCAACGAGCAGCATTTCCCCGGATCACGACATTAACAATTGGCACAGGCCATGCCCAAATGGTCTGGAAAGCGGCGGGAGGAGGGGAAACAGCGCGCGGCTGTGATTTCTGCAGCATAGAACCGGGCATTTTCTTCTTTGTTCGGACGGGTTTGTAATGCTGTAAAAGACTCACCCCGGCTGCAACTCCATTCACAGATAAAGATGATCCTCTGACCGAAAAGAATGATATAAAGTAACAACAAACGGATGATTGCTTGTGGCCAAGATCTCTTGTGCGGCCAGTGCCATCTTGCTCCTGGTGCGCCTGATCACCGCCGAGGCTCCTTTCCCAGTTCTTTTGTCGACGGGCGCTCCGGAGTCGACTTGTTTCCGCTGATTAGACCTTGTGCATTTAGGTCCGACGCCACTCTTCTCAGTTTCTAGGCCAGTTCTTCTTTGCCAGCCGTGACTGACTTCTCTTCCACCACCGCAACCCTCCCCAACACTAAGTCTGGGCCTCGCACCCACGATTTAAGAGACATATCCTCCTGCCCTCAATATACAGAGCCTGCAGCCCCAATTGATGGGCTTCTTCATCCTGTATCTTGGGTTCACCCCATGACCGAAGTCGGCCTCGAACCGGACACTTCCCTCTTCAAACAATCCCTCTGCCTCAGGCAGGTCTCTGAGGGATCCTCACCCTAACTGAGTCCTGCCGAGTTGGTGTCGGTCGCTCGCTCGCTCAGCAATGTCCTGTGGACAAAAGTGGTGTGGTGTGTCATGGATTTGTGCAAGGCCAATGATTTGTCAACTTGATTCATTCACGTCGAAGGCAAGGTGGTCAGCGATAATAGGTGCCATCTGTGGGTGCCATCGCCTCAGATTCTCCATTATGCAATCAACTGATTGAGCCGTGCCATTTTCTCTCTTCGATGACAACAAGCATTTGTGATGAGTTTCCTGCAAGATTGCGGATGAAAGCCAGGCTCCAGCAAGACTTCTATTTGACATCGGGCGTGTCGGCGAGGGTATACCCTCGGTTGATGAGCTCATCCGCAGCAATTCCGGCGCGCCAGTTCTTCATCGCTCCTTCGACCGCAGCGTATCTGAAAAAGCCTAACACATTACCGTTCGCGTCCCACATGGCACTACCGCACATTCCTTCAGGCAATTTGGCTGCCGCGTCTTCACCCATATAGCTCCAGGTTGTATACGCCCAGTGCTGGGTTGGCGAGCCATCATCGGCGGACATTTTTGCGAATGCCGGAGCCATGAAGTAACCATCGAGAAAGCCTGAATCGGGTGAATCTAGGCAGATAGGACTGAGTTGGCCATAATGTTCCGTTGGACATAATCTCCTAAGCTGGGTAGACTCAGGCATTTGGTCATTCTGGAACGTGACGTTGGAAAACTTCTCCGTCGCTGCCAACTTGACGAGGGCAATGTCTGTGTGTGTAATTTCCATAATAAGTTCGCCAATCACACGGCCGGTTTCGCCTGGTGATACATGAAAGACCGTCGTCCCAGCTTCGCTAGGGAATCCATGTGCGGCGACAGTCATGAATTCGTTACCAACACTGTCCTTTAAAAGAACGCCAGTTGTTGTCTCGAGATACGCGTCGGAACTGTCTGGAAGGTAGTTTGAAGTCACACGCAATCCTGGCTGCAGAGTGTCGTACATACTAATATCTGGGTTCCCTTGCGTAAGGTCATGCTGGCGGCGAGCATGTAGCTTCGACGGTCTTCCCATCTCATCGTCGTATAGGTAGACACACGTAGCTTTGCCGATCAACCACGGCACTTTGGTCATGTCAGTCTGACGGTGCTCCAAGACGATATATACCACGTTGCCTAGGTAAATAACTTCTGTTATCGAGATATTGATATTTTCTTCAAAGTGTTTCTGAATAACTTTGAAAAGGGGCTCCCAGTTCTTCATATTTCGGTAATCCTGATCTTCGGCGAGATAACCGTTCTTTCGAGTAACAAGTTTTCCTTGTGGTAGAGGACCTTGACCAAGAGTAGTAGGCGTATGGAAATAGAGTGGTAATCCGGCAATCGTAAGTGGCCAAGGCTTCGGAGGGAGCGTGCGTACTAGAAGATATATAAACCACCCGTCGCAACTGATACCAGTCGTTCCAGGGACGACGCTACGTAGGAGAGGCATTTTTTTGGGATCCGCCCAGCCACTCTTATCATTTCGAAGGTCAAAGGAGAAGATGAGGTGGCGTGCCAGTGGTGGTGACTGTTGTAAATCTTGTTCTGGCGTGTCCATCTTGAGCGGGTTCGGGGTGAATTCTTGTCCTGACGTGTTCATTTTGAGCGGGTTTGGGGTGAATTCTTGTCCTGATGTGTCCATTTTGAGCGGGTTCCGAGTGAATTCGTAGAGAGACGACCGCTCATCTAGAGAACTAGGTTATCATTGGTATTTGCAGGAGTTTATGTCAGGTTCTTACCGATATGAGCCAGTTCGGCGTGACCTGGCCATCTCAGGGGATTCGGTAGTATTGTACGAGGGATACTATTGGCGAAGGGACTCACGGCTCCAAGGCTAGTGATGACTGCGAGTTTCTTTGGTGATGTTGCTTCCGCTGTGGGCGTGATTTTGCGCTTTCTGGGAGAGACGCTCAGCTGACCGGCGGATATTGGTGACACGAGCAGGAGGTCTGCGATAGGCTTGCGCTGGGGAGTGGACGCGGACGACATCTTGCGAAGTTGGTAGAAACCGAGAAGGGTGATGGTGATGTGAAAGAAAGAAAGAAACAAGGGTTCCTGCGAAAGTCTTCAGTCCCGGATCGGAAAGCTTTGCACCAGCTGTGTCTGGAATGTTTCGAAGCCAGAAGAACTTCAAGCGTTGCCGTTGGCGAAGTCGAGGATTTGTAGTGCTGTCGAGATGCAGGGCTGTGAGGAGCAGACAGAGCTGTCGTGACGCAGTGAGTACTGTGAGCAGTAGGCAGACCTGTGATGAGGCAGACCCAGAAAGGTGTGGGAAACTGAGAAGTGGATGACGTATGTAGAGAGAAAACAGACTGTGGGGCGTGAACCCTCCGGGACTCCTCAGGAGGCCAGCGGAGTGAGTAACTATGTTCCAGCGGTCAGCCACCCTACAACGAACAACGCGATTACTTTGGTAATATCCCCCCTCCGCCGCTGGTCGCATCCCAATCTGTGACTGGGATGTGCAGACTCTGCTTAGATGACTCATGAGTTGCCGCCCGAAACCTTTCAAATAAAGGTCCTCTCCCCGAACTTTCGCCTACGTGCTCACCTATAACTCCACCTCCACCTCACTTTCATTTAATTTCCCTGTATTTCATCTTGTCCTGTTATTGTCTCTCGCTCCGAATTGCAGTGTGGTCCTGGCGCCCGTGCCATACAAGATTACGTCGGCGCACAAGCAACCGCACAGCTACCGCGTTCTGATACTTTGTCACTCTAGCAGTTGGCATTCCGCAGCTCGTCCAGGCCAATTCGGCTTTTCTGCTTCTTCCATCAAACAAACACCTTCACACATACACTGCTGCACCACTACCGGCCCATCGCAACTCTCACATTTTTGCTCCAGTAAGATGGCTGACTCAGACATGTGCGCCGACAAACGCTCGAACATGCGACAGAGTTTGAGTCCAGCCTTCGACGATCCACGGCAAGACTCTCACACACCATCAGCAATCCGAAAGCGCAGTGAGTCTGTCGATAATGAGCCCGCAGAGCTCGAAATTTCGGACTTCTCAGACGAGCCTGTCGGCGATGACCCAAGGACAACATCTTTCTACATTGATCCGCTGCAAGACTTTCAGACACCACTGGCAATCCGTAAGATCAGCGAGTACATCGACAATAAGTCCACAGAGCTCGAAGGCCGAATTCGAAAAATTTCGGACTTCTCAGACCAGCCGATCGGCGATGAACCAGAGATGGTATCTCTCTATATTGATCAACGGCAAGCACTAGTCGACGAGGTAGAGGCGCATTACAAGGAATCCAGGAAGATCGCCCGCGAAGCCTATACGGGACAATCACAAGGCATTGAGGAGCTTCAGAGGGCCTTGACACAGCTCGACGATACTCATATCATCTTGAAAGAGAGGACTGCGCTAGCTGCCAACAGAATGCGAGTTCAATATAGCGTACTTGGTCGCCGAAGCAGTGGCAAAATCGGCAAAGCGTATATGATGGCGATTAAAAGAAATCTCCCCGAACCCACACACCCCGACCCTGCATGTTTGTTATACGAAAAGCAGCCCGGAAGGTCAGAGGCCGATCAAATATCATTCAGAAATAGACTTATCAAAGCCTACAACCCCGAAGGTTCTAAGCTACTTACAGAGCCTCAAGAATCCCAACTAGCTTGGTGTCCAATTTCCGGGAAGGAATTTCCAGCAGAATATATCAAAGCAGTTCATATTATTCCTTCCCCTATTGGCGAGACGAACGCTGCTACATACCTATTCGGGGCCAAGCCGCGCGAAGGGTACGATATAATCTGTTCAGAGAAAAATGGTCTTATGATGGAACTACACTTGGAGAAGATATTCGACGATGGACGAATGCTCATCATGCCCGATCCAACGGACGACAATGAGTTCATCAGTATCGTATTGTGTCAACATCTGAAGAAGGTTCATTGTTGGGCGATCGATGCGCCGTACGGCGCTCTCCATCGGCGACGGCTTCAGTTTCGGACGGCCGCCAGGCCCGGAAAACGATACCTCTATATGCACGCATTACTCACGCTGTTCCGCCGGCGTCGATATAATATGCCTGGATGGGAGACGGACCGAGAAGAAGTGTTTTTGGAAATGTGGGCGACACCGACGAAATGGGCGCGTAAGAGTATGATGGAAGTGCTGGCTGTGGAAATGGGAGATGATTGGGGAAGTATGGAGGGATTGGGCCTTGGAGAGTTCCCTCATGTAGAGCCACCCGAGGAGGAAAAGAGGATGGCTAAGTTGGTGAAGTATGCGTGGGAGGCTAGAGCTAGTAATATGGACGATGAAGACGACGATGACGATGACGATGATGAATAAAAGGCTTGAAAAGGTTGAGGTGGGAGTCACGAGGCTCTGAGGTATTTCGTTGTGGTTAGATAGGATAGATTTCCCGGCAGAGAACTCGTCGCCGCCTGACCTCCCGCGCCTTGCTTGACCGTGCCCGTAACGCATGGGCTTCCGGCTGCCGACGACCTCCAGGCCTAGAACCAGCACCAGGACCAGAACCAGAAGCAGCAAGCTTGTGTCGCTCGCTCGCCCACGCACGACTCGGACAGGACAGGACAGCACAGAACAGATCTGGCTGGTGCGCTATGGACATCATCGTCCATGGTCCATCGCCCATCGTCCGTCGCTCGCCCGACTTGACTGTATGTATCACCATCAGCATCGTTATCACCATGGATTATGCATCACGGGCCACATCTCCCGGCGAGGCGATCCTAGCTGGCGGAGACGAGCAGCACACCATAAAGCTAGCGAAGGAGTCCTCGCGGTTGTATTGTTATCTGTCCCAGGGCCTGAGATAGCTTGGGCGATTTTGTACGGGGGCGACACCTCCCGTGAAGGTTCGAAGCCAGGATCGAGAGTTCCTCCCCTACGCGTATTCTCCTTCACGACCTCCCATCGAGCAGAGTCGACTCGACACCTAGCTCGAATTTCAGAAACATCGTGTTGCTGATGACCATGCCATTCTTCGAGAAAATAACACTCCTCTCCATAGGTCTTATAGTCCTGTCCCGCCTTTGGATCTTGGTAGACGAAAGAGCGGTCTATCAATCATACAATGTTCAGACCTCTGGAGTTGGCCTTTTCGTGATATATGGCGATCACAGTCTATGGTATGGTCGGTTCTCACTGAGCGCTCGCGATCGACAAGTCGATGATGTCTATTGCCGTCCTCACTTATCACACTCACCCACCCCCCTCTATATCCCGTAGGATGTGAACAGAAAGAGAGAAAAGAGCTCAAGACCGCTACAATGGACGGGTTCGGCTCCTTCTCTCGCAAGGCTCACGTCGAATTTCGAGCAGAGGAATGCCTGGATTGACTATCGTCTTCGCAATGCCGGCCTCCAATTCCTGTCGGACGCATGATATGGAAAAGTGAAAAAATAACCTGCTTCAAATAAGTAAAAGTCGTGTATCTCGTCAATCATTACATCTTTGGTGTCCTTTCCCCGTTGACACTTGTTAACCTTTTCTGCTGCTCTTCTCTGGTTGTGTTTCTTTGGTCTTCACATGTTCAAAGACTCCGAGCCAGTTTTCCAGCCTCCTCCACCATTACAACGCCGAGCCTAATTCAAGATCGGCAGCTCCGTTGAGCCCCGTCCCACAAGTCAAAGCACGCAGTCGACTTTGATCATCGAACGATCCTTGGCAACTCCCTGTTCTCCATCATTGTTCTGCTAGCCGGTGGCCAGAGTGGTTCGGCCCCAATGTCACAAGCCTTTCGCATCCGCTGAAGCTCAAACGTCGGTCATCTGCACATTACATTCAGTGGTGGTGGGTGTTTGAACGCGCATCGATGTATTTTCCGCAAGCTGCGAAGCGAGTTTGGTGCAGCCAAATTGCTTTGTCGAAGTGTCATATGTCATATAGCGATTCAACTGGAAATGGTCAGAGGGAGAATCAAGAGTCAGGTCAGGATACCTAGATTTACCGATGCAAGTCTAACTCCAAGCCAGAGACACCGTGCAGTCCGTGGTGCTGTGTAGCTTGGCAGCTCGAGTGCGCGATCATCTTGGTCGACAACCTCTCCCTCGAAAAAGTTCGATGGGAAATAGTACGGCGCCCAGACTAGGCCCCGAATGGGAAAGTCTTCGGGTAGCTGCTTGAACGACGACCGAGGGAACTCCTTGGATTCGACGAGCGCATCAGTTACACCGGATCTGCTCAAGCTGTTCAAGAAAAGGACCAATACTGTCCACGGAACATGATTTTCGACATAGATTAGGGCGCCTGGGACGTGTGATAGTGACCAAAGGAATGCCAACGTCAGATGCAGAAAAGGTAGGACATTGCGATCTCCGATCTTACCAGCTACAATGGTTATAGCTTGGGACCACACTTGAAGGCCATATGAGGTTACTTCATCCGCCGACGTGAATTTGTCTTTGACACGGTGCTGGGGAGGCGGAGAGGCATGGCGGCAATCCTCGGCATCGATGGACGCCTCTTGCTGGGAGACTTCACTTCGATCGTGATTGGCACGGAATGCTTTCCAGAGGTAATTGTCGTCCGAGCCAAAGCCAAGAATGAATGCAATAAGCACAGAAGCCACCTGTGGTCCCTGTGTCTTCCAATTGCAGCCGGATCGTGCTATGTGTCTCTCCAATTCTGATGTAAATTGCTCAGCCTGGATGCAATACTGGTCGACGGAACCCTTAGTGAATAGAAAGCCGGCCGCAGTGACTAGAGAACTCTCCAGCTTGGAATATCTGGAAGGGGGGGGCTCGGATGACTCCAGGAGGGGAGTCAACAAAAGCATAATTGAGCACCGGGCTGGAAGAAAAGGGTCGACGGCGATGAGAGCCTTGGAATAGTAAAATAATTGGCAAACGATGTCAGGAGCGGCCTTGGCGGTAACTGCAATGTGATGCTGAATTCTTCCGGTATCGGGCGAGTTGTCGGCGGCCTTTTCGTACCACATTCGAGAGATATTGGACCAATGCTTTCGATCTCGTAGGTCAACCTGTTCAATGGCCATACGATAACGAGCTAAGTCGCCTAAACATTCTATCCAGGTGTTATAGAAGGGCGGCACTGACTCCATAAGAAGTCCCATCATTTGGTAGGCGAGATACGCGAAGCTGAGCATGTGTTCCAGAGAATATGGGAGGCGATGGCGGAGAAGCTCCAGGAAAGAATGAATACCATGTCGCCACATGCGTGCCGGCATTGCATATTTTGTCGGGAGGCGTTGTAACGCTGCCGATGCCTTTGGGTGTTGAGACGCCAGGAAAAAGTCATGATGCTCATGAAGTAAAGTGCGATGTAGGGCGATTAATGCCTGCCACTGCTCGTTGTTGAGTCTGTCGGTTGTTTGAGCTAGTTCGGCATCTATCTCCACGCACTTCTTCTCAACCATAACGACTCCAGCATAGATGCCTTTGACTTCCGTTTCGAGTTGTTCCTGGGTGATAGGCCTCGTCTCGGGTTGGAGGAGCGGCCGTACTTCTTCTTCGTGGTCACGGCCGGCAGGCGGACTTGCTTGCAACCGCGAGAGTCGCCTTTCTCCTCGTCTGTCTCTGGGGTTCGAGGAAGCCATAGCGTCGAAGTCCTAGAAGCACGACAAAAAGGCTCTTTAGCGTCAGCCCCAGTCGCACAAACAGGGGGGGGGAACTCGGAGAGAATGGCCCTCACTCACCTTGGGCTGTTGGTTTGAAGGAGAGGAGAAAAACGTTGAGGTGCATGTGTTGGTAACCACGACGCCAGGATCTGCGTTGGTATCTCCCAAAGGTAGCCGTATCTTTACGACACGAATATGGGAGAGGAGAATGTTGCGAGAAGACTCTCTAGGTCGTCGACGGGAGCTGGCTCTTTATACATTTGATACGCTCCTCCCCTGAATTATTTGCCTCATACTATGTCGTATCACTCCGGGAACGATGGCAAAGCTTTGGCCAAAAGGAGAGACGTGAGAGACGTGAGAGACTGCCACGTACAGCCCGTGGAGGCATTGGTCCGGGGGCGACGGATGCAAAACAGATAAACCAGTTTGGGGTTAGCTAGTTGCCTTTTAATGCAAGGGGGGTAGCAGAGCCGCACGCTCGACACGTGTCCTCTCGTGCCTCATGACCTGAAATGATGACGCCGTGTTTCGGGCAAGTAGGCAATTCAAATCTCATCGCCCTGATACTGTCAGGAAGGACCCCGTCACACTGCATTGTTAGCCTCTCCAAGAGAGCCACATTTACGCATCGAGGTTGGCCGCTGCCTTGATGCAGGGGTGGCTGCAGGTTTGAGTCGGTGAATGGCTTGGGTAGAGGTCCGTGTGTAACACGGTAGTGTATCTGGTGGTTCCCGTGGAGATATCTATGAATCGGTGTCTAGTAAGCCCATGTACCATATGAGTGGTAGAAGTGGCAAGGCACTGGGGCGCCTGACACCATCTCCCGCTGGACAAGGAGCGTGAGGAAGAAGGCCCAGGTTCCTATTCGTGCGAGCTTTGGATTCCAACGCATCATGACATCATTTTGATTGCCTTTTATCACAGCCTCGTGTTTGTCTCTAGATGCAGTCGCCGGCAAGGCAGATTTCTGTAACAACGCAAAGTGAGGCCACCTGGGCCAGGCAGTTGGAGACACGGGTAGCACGCATTCCCACAGAGCGCCTTGAGTGGACCCAATATTCCCAAGCGAGGCATGACCAGGCCCCGTGTTGGTGGGCGTGGCACCTGAAGCAGATCTGAGAGCTCATACTCGACTGGCTGGCTGGGGCCTATCTCCTGGGTTAGTTGGTCGCTTTCGTCGGGTTGGAGGGATGGATCGATGGATCGGTTAATGCTCGATGGGAGAGAGAAATCATTGATTCATTCATAAATTATCATCCATCAATCAGGAGTAATTCACTCGGTCGGTCGGCCGGCCGGTGGCTGAAGCTGAAGCTGCCACCAATCCATCACATCAAATCAACTGCCTGCCTGACTGTGGCGTCGATAGTTTAGTCTCCAGAGATCCCCAATACCAAACACCTGGAAAACCATGTCCCGTTGCCATTCTAGTTCAACTTCCAATTTCATTTCCGCTTTCGCAACTGCCACTGACAATTGCTTTATTTCTTTTCCATCTATCTATCAATCTATCTATCTCCCCCTTGTGCGTGAGTCGCAATGCACGTAGCGCACGCAACTTGAATGAACCACCGGACCAGGCTTCAGAACTGACTTCATGGACTTGGTGGACTTGCCTTCCCTGCTTGTGCTCATCTCAGCTCACATCCTCCTCCTCCTGCTTGCTTCCTATCCATCCACACACCTACCCGAGCACACAAGTCATTCATGTATTCATTCATTCCTCTTCCCTTCTCTTCTCTCTTCTCTCTCTCTGTGGGTGTGTCCCTCTCTTCTCGGTGACTATGTACCAGAACAGAAATAGAACAGATGTCGAGCTGCCTCCCCGCCCGCCCTCACCCGTCACCATAGCTGCGCCCCTCTTATCACGTAACTAAGCAGGGCGAGACAGACTACTGCCGCCGACGATCAATCAGATCAGAACAGATTCGCGCCGACAGACTGCGGACGGACGGATGGGTGGATGGTTTCCCCCAACCACCAAGTGGGCAGAAAAGACAGAAAGAGACAGGCAGATAGACAGCGGATGGATATCCGGATGGATGCCCTCCCTCCCACTGCGCAGAATGAGACTGTAATGCGACCGCCGTGCCCATGCCTCCTCTCTCCTCTCCTCCCCACCAACCAACCGCCGTCTATACAACACGAGCCGGCCAGCCAGCGCCACGCAATCCCTCCCGCAGGCAACATGACGCACGCACGGAGTACATGAGTGACCACTACCGGCTTCCGGCGTCCCGTCCCTTCAAATTCAAACGCAGCGGCGATGCGATGGATAATTGATTGATTGATTCTCCGTCCGCAGCAGCAGGGCAGGACGGACGACGGATGGATGGATTACTGCTGTGGATGGACGAACAAACAAACAAATATACTCTTCTTTCGGAGAGGGAGTTGATGATGATGACGGTGGGGCGTGCGTACGCTCTCTGTGTATGTGTGTGTGTGGTGCGGGGGGGCAGCTGGGTCGGGGTGAGGATGAGCATGAGCATGAGCTATAACCATCCATCCCACGCTTGCTTGCTTGTTTGCAGGCTTATTTGCATGCCATGTGGACACACAAGCACACACACATACACACCAGAGCAGCCAGCGTGTAACAAACAAACATCGGGTGACACGGATGCAGAAGAAAGAAGGAGCCTTGGTCTTTGATCTTCGGTCCCCTCAGGTCCATCCCCCTCCCTCCTTGGCTGGCTGGTTAGCTAGCAACATTTCGCCGCTTCTCTCCAGATCCTTCCAGATGGAATCTCGAGACACTTTTTGTTACCCCGGTCGCCCCTCGCAGCGTCTTTGGCTGTCGTCGCAGTTCAAATTTGGAACACCTTGGTCAAATTTATAACGTACCAAAGGCCCACTTCGACATCGAGTTCGACTTGGTCCGCATCACCACCACTGCGGAGCACCCCGATCGGCCACGGGATTGTCCACGGCCACGCCGCTGTCCTTTATGACCCGGAGACACACGCGCTGCAGATCAGGGCTAGGTTGGACCTCACTCGGCGAGGCGCCTGATCAACCGCGTAGTGTCTGTTTCCCACCTTCTACCATAATGATAAGCGGGTTCAAGGTCGATGATTGGTGGAGACGAAAGAGATACGGCCTCAATTAGATGCACGAAGAGAAGATTAGAAGAATAGACTATTCGATTGGCATTAAACGTACTAAAGAGTATGCTCCGGAGTCTATCAACTTGCCTGACAATCCACAGTTGCCACTTCAGCCAGCAATGCCCCTGAGAACTCCTCCGAGAACATGTTCTTTATCTCCTCCTCTTCAACTATCTTATGGAGTCCCCATTGCCGTGGAGCCTGGTCAGACGCAGGTCGCCTTCGCCGTTGCACATGGCAGTCAAATGTCGTGTAAAACCATTTCCTCGATATGAAACGTGCGTGAGGGCTCATTATCAAGTTGACGGAGAAGCTGAGGCCAGGTGCAAAGAGTTCCAAGACATATTAAGAGGACCTAGAACATGACCTTGCGAAGGACTCGAAAGTAAACCTCGAGGAGGGCGTCATAGATGACATCAGAAGGGCTGATGCCTTGACACACCAAGTATCCGGACACGATGAGGAGTCCCGATGGTGTCACTACAGTTTGGCCGAGTCCGATAGCCTTGATGTGTCGCTCATTTCTGGTCGGGCAGCCACACGACACTGTCCCTGTGCTTCTGCAAGGAATGGGTCTCGATGGAATTTTCGCTGACTTGGTCCGCGGAGATCTCCTCCAGGGACATGATCAGGCTTAGGCGGGGGAGGTTGGCCAGGGTCCAGGACTGCTGGCCCGTCAGGTGGATGTATTCGTCCCAGCAGCTAAGGGTCAACGACACATCGGAGCTGGCCACTCGAGGAATGGTCCGATGATCAATCTGGTGGGCGGTTCGCCATCGCTCTCGTTCTCAGATTGCTGCTTCGACTCCGAGTGCGGTATCTTGAGAGGCTTGATAGACGCAAACACAGCCTTGAGAGCTTTTTGGAGGGCTGACCGCTCTGAACTGCTCTGCGAGTCGACGGCAAGCTTGTTGCCATACTTCCCTCTCTTCCGCTTGGTTACTGGTATCCCCTCAATCTCCTCCCCTTTCTTACCATCCCCATGGCAATTGACTATCGCTGTCGAAAGTGGTTTTGCCCGTGTCGGAAGAGCGATCCCCGGCCCCAGAGTGACCCAGGGTTCCTAACGCATCCATGTACCTCCTCTCTCGCTCGCTCGCTCCCTTCCTTCTCCATCTGTCACCGCCCGGCATTGGCCCCTCAGCAACTGTTTCCCATCACTCGTGGTACTTTCAATGGGGAGATTGTGTGTTTTCGTAACAATCCGACTTCTTGGAATCAAGGGTTGCCGGCACCAAATTCTCACTTCCAGCCCACCTCCCGCAGTCCATCCATCTGAAGCCGTTCTCCCACGTTGTGAATCGCGGCGATTCGACTACCCATCAGCCCGCTGGCGATGCAAGCCGTGATGCGCTTCTTGAATGCCACCCCCTGCGGTCTGAAGTAACCTCCCCTGCTAAGAGTCCCGCTGATACCTGGAGTTTGGGATCTAGTGCCTCCAACTCAGTCAATGGCAAGGCCACAATGCATCCGTGATCATCGCCAGCTTGCTCTCTTCATTTAAAAATGCGTTCCCTCAGCAAGGAGAAGCGATCCTGCACCAGTTCTTGTAACTGCGCTCGGAGGACAGGTCTGGTTGGCAGCCCTGGACACCGGAGGGAATGAATGAACAGGATAGAGACCGCCGTTCGAGATAAGAATATGGCCTATTTCTAGTTCATTCTAAATGTTGTGTTCTCCATTCACCTTCGATTGTCGGAGAAGCTAGGCAATCTCTCCCAGTCTCGGTTGTCTAGCAGGCACACCTGTCGAGTCGTCAGCCAGCAAGAGATGTGGTGGAAGTGACAGGCGAACTGAATGCGACAGTCAGTGGCTTGAGAAAATGGTCACGGCTGCTCCCCTCACGTTGTAGATTCCCCATGGCGTGGTTTCTGTAGATGGCGCAGCTGTCGACCACAATGTCCCAAGCCCCCAGAGGTCACCGCATTTCACTACAATATGTAATGAGCACAAGGTCAAGCGCAATCGCTTTGATCGAACCCACCTTCTTGAATTCAAACTTCTTCTTGGTGTTTGGCCCAAATCGATTTCTCATAGCTGGAACCCCTCGTGCGTTAGCATGAAGAATACATGCCCTGAGTGCCAGAGCTCAGATTTGTGATTGTGTTGCAGAGAATCTCTCACCCCCTCCCCCCCCCCTCTTTGTATGACGTCCGAACTCACCTGATGACAGAGGATTGCTTGGATGGGCGAGAAAAGGCAAGTTGAGAATCAGGTGAATGAGGTGGATGAAGACGATGTATAGAGATGAGGGAGATGTTAATGGAAGCGCTGCGAGGACTTTGGGCAGTGGTAAATGTCGCACGAATTGGTTGAGTGTTACAGAAATACCAAACACCAAAGTTGTAATTCCCCATCAACTTCCAATTTCCATCTTCACATTGACTTGGGCCTCAGACTTGACTTGCCTTGACATCCTCCGTCCTGCCCACCCAAATCATTCATTCATTCATTCATTCATCCCCCTGCTATTCCTGTTTCTGCTGCTGGTCCTGGTTCTGATTCTGTCGCAGCCCGGCCGCCAACCCATGCTGAGTCCCCCTGTAACGCGTCGGCGTCCTAGTGGCACAGAGGAATACCCAGCAAAAGCTGGACCAGGACGAAAGCACGAAGGCAGCAAAGCAAGCTAGCTCTATCTGTCTGTCTGTCTGTCTACACCCGCGTCACCGATGGCTGGTTAGTTGGTTGGTTGCATATCATATCGGATCGGATCGCATCGTGAGCGGATAACGACGTCCGTCAGGCCACAGTCTCGTCTCGCCTCGTCCTGCGTGATGAGACGGGAAGGGAAAGGAAGGGAAGGGGCAGGTAAGGAGACGGATGGATGGAGAAGAGAAGGGCAGGGAGAGAATATAAAGTGTAGAGAGGTGACGGTTGAGGATAGAGAACCCACGAATTCTGATATCTACTGAGACTAACTTAGACTCGCTTACCTTTCATCCACGAACCTTTTTCACTTTCCTCTTTTTCCACCTTCAGTTTCTTCGCCACGCTCCTTCAAGATACCGTCCCAGCACCTTTGTCTCAGAAAGACGGTGATAAAATGGCGAACAACAGTGCCAATACCAAAAAGCGTGGTCCCCAGCAGACCTTGGAGCAATGCGGGAAGAGACGTCGTTCTGAGCCGGCAAAGTTGTCAGGTAACAAAGACACCGGTGGAGCTACCAATCCAGAGCCCAACCAAGCTACCGATCCAGTATCATCTTTATCACAAACAGACGGTGATGAAATGGCAAAAAGCAGTACCAATGCTACCAAGCGTGAGTCCCCAGGGTCCTCGCTGAGGAAAGCAGTGAAAGGTAACAGCCATCCAAGCAACCGGTGGTAAAAAGCCTCGAAAGTACTTGAGATCAAAGGGATTCCATCGCAAGGTCATACTTCCGAAAAGGTCAGGTGGCGGCAGAGCAGTATCCGGTCAGACACACGGTCGCAAACGGAAGAAGAGAGCTGAGCCTGGGAGTAAGTCATGACTGCTATATCGACTGCCGGCGTGCTAACCGGGTTCCAAGCTGCGGCTCTACGCCAAATTTGGGGTATCCAAATCGAACGAGTTGCTCATCCCGAAGAGTGGCTTCGCAAACCTCGTGCGGGAAATCGCCTACGATCTGAATTCTAAGATCCGCTTCCAAGCATCCGCTCTCGAAGGCCTCTCATAAAGTCGCGGAGGGATACATGGTTGGGGTGATGGAGAGTATGTGTTCTTACCCGTTACATTACCTGTTACACTACTGAGTCAGTCGACAGGTGCGAATCTGTGCGCAACCCACGCAAAACGCAACACTTTGCAGAAGAAGGATATGCATCTGGCTTTCCGAACCATAACTGGGCGTTTCATAACCGACTGACTGTTGACGACCTGCTATGACGGTGCTGGAGGCGAGGAACAGAATTATGGAGTCTCTACCACTGAGACAGTGGTCGATGAAATGCCTTGAATTCCTTGATTTTGGTTCCACTCTTTACCTCCCGATCCTTCTTGTTGATGTCTGGTTTCCGTGCTTGCCGGCCTTTCTACCTGCCGTGCCTCGCCTCGCCTCGCTGGCCGTTTACATGGATGGACGCACGCACACTGACCTCGACCTGATCTGACCTACCTCCTCTTTCTCCTCCGCCCCTGGAGCCAGAACTGGAACTAGCAAGTAAGCAAGCAAGCAAGCAAGCAAGCAAGCAAACAAGCTTATGTCCCTTGCACGCGCACGCATGCACGTACTACGACCCGGATAGAATGGGGCAGATCTGGCTGGTGTGGTGTGGTGTGGCCATCATCGTCCCTCGTCCGTCGCCCAATCGACTGTATGTATCACCATTTTACAACCACCTGAATAGCCCTCTCCATTCAGCAACTTCGTGACCTGGTGTCTGATATGGGATCCAAGGAACCGTCCGACAATCGATCAGGCTACGGAGCATGAATTCTTCCTTGACGCCGTTGGTCCTCTCCAACCGAAGTCCTCGTCACTACTGCTCCACAACCCGGCAAATGTCTCCTCGCTCCCTCCTCCCTTTGGCGGTGAGCTCACTCTGATGACCAGTGGCAGGAATGAATGCCTTCAACTTACGCTGTCAAAACCACGAGGAATTCGTGACATTGGTGAGGCGGAATTGGTGATGCGACAGTGGGTGGTTTTGCAGCAACCAAGGCGAGCGCCAAAAACACGCGGGGAGGGCTGTCGATCGACCCAAAGCTCTGCTGTACCTGTATGAGGTCTGGAAGCGTATCGTGGAGATTTCAACGAAAATGAAAGAGACCGCCTTAACGTCCTGTCCGATATTGCCAGGACGATGACGCGAATCTTGTGGCTAGATGGGCTCGACGACCAATACTAACCTCGCGGGCGTATGGCACAATTACCTCGCCAGCAAGTTACTATAGTATGTTATCTCAAACGACGGTGAGGATAGAGGGCTCTTTCTCTTCACTTCTTCTTTGATCCTCCTGTCCACTTACTTCCCCTGACGTTCCCGAATCCTCCGTCGTCGTCGTTGGGCTGTTCTTCACACTGAGCAAGGTCGGCACGTCGGAGAAGTCACATCATATTTCAGGCGTGGAATGGCCTGGATGCAGATCCGTGTATAATACAGCTTCATCAAGTGGTATTGTGTATTTATGAATGAGTGCCTGGTAAGCCTGAGCATGAGTGACGGAAGTGCCAAGGCGCTACAGGACCTGACACCGTTCCACTCCAGTTCCAGTTCCAATTCATTCAATCCTCTCCTCTTCTCTTCACTTTCTTCCCTTCCCGCTGACTGTGCAACAGAACAGAACAGAACCGACGTCAAGCTGCCACACCGCCCGCCGTCACCCGTCACATCATTGCCACCACCGTGCTTACCTGCCTGCGTGCCTTCCACTGCCTCCCTCCCATCAGGCAAGCAGGTAGGACGAGACGGGACGAGACTATTGCGGCCGACGCCGTGCCTGCCGCCGACGATCGATCTGATCTGATTAGACCCACGCCGAGCCGACAGATGGACTACAGACGGACGGACGGACGAAATGCCTACCTCCCCCCGAGCGAACAGAAAGAGACACAAAGACAGACAGACTACGGATGGATAGATAGATGGAGGAATACTATCCCTCCCTTCCTCCCACCCACCCCGGCCGCCTGCGCCGAACGAGACTACACTACAGCCGCTGCACCCGTGCCTCCTCTCTTCTTCTCTACTCCTGATCGGTCGACTAACCGCTGTCTATACGATACACATTCGACAAACGTCCATGCAATACATGCCCGACCCCCGTCTATACGATATGCCCAACCACCGTGCATGCAGTACGCCAGACCACCGTCTATAAAGTACGTCCGACCACCGTGCATGCAATACGCTCGACCACCGTCTATACGATACGCCCCAGCTAGCCAGCGCCACGCAATCCCTCCCGCAGACAACATGCACGCACGAGGTAGGTGAATGGCCACCATCGGCGTCCCGTCGAATTCAGACGATGGTGATAGATGGATGAATGAATGATTGATGCCCTGCTAGCCAGCAGCAGGGCGGAGGACGGATGGTTGGACGGACAAATAAACAAACATACATACCCCTCCTTCGGGGAGAGAGCTGGTGATAACAGTGGTACATGAGTGCGTGTGTACGCTGTTTATGTGTGTGTGTGTGTGTGTGTGTGGAAGGCAGGCGTTGTTGGGGCGAGCGGAAGAGGGGTGAGGTGAGGGTGAGGGTGAGCATGCGCATGAGAATGAGCATCTCCCCCCCACACTTGCTTGCTTGCTGGCTTGCTGGCTGGTTTGCTTGCTTACATTGCATGCGGACACACACAAGCGCGCGAGAGAACGGCACGACCAGTATGTGTGCAACAAAAGAACGAACAAGCAGACAATCCATTGGTGACGCGGATGCAGATGCAGAAGAAAGAAAGAGCCGTGGTCTTGGTCCTTGTTCTTTGGTCTTTGGTCTTCCCAGACCAGACCAGATCAGATCCGTCCCCTATGATCTGCTCTACGGTGCTCAGCTCGACCGGCTGCGGGGGGTAATTATCTATCCGCCTGCTGTGCTATGTTGTGTTGTGGTGGATTGGATTGGTTGGGTGGATGGGTTGATACAGGCAGCAGCCAGAGATCAGCAAGCCAGCGAGCGGCGGTGTGCCTAGTCCAGTCCAGCCCAGGACGAGAGAGCAGAAAGCCACTCACTCACTGGCTCAGAAGGTGGAGGAGGAGGTTGTAAGGACATTATGATGATGGCCTTGAGGTACATCCCAGGGATGGCTCACTGGAAACCGGGAACGTCGCCGACCTGTGCTCGCATTGGACTTGGACGGCGAGTCTGACCAAGGTCTAGGATGCCATGGTTCCATCTTTTCTGTCCAACGACAAGAGGACTTTCAAGGCCAAGGATTGGTCAGAGTGAAGGCGAAGGTCGTAGTCTGAGTGCGAGCGATTTAAGCGGCCTGTGAATCAGTCAGTTTGCGGTTCCACAACTCATCTCATAGGGGTTTTCTTTGAGAGACAGTGACCACAGACGGATTGGATGTTGCTCAATGAACAAAATGAGACTGTTCCATAAAGATTTGACTTGTGAAGACGTGGTGGTGATGTGATAATGATGTGGTGGCGACGGAGCTGTGGATGAAAAAGCTGAGTTGGAAGCGGCAGTGACGACGAGATGGAAATGGCATTTAGGAGCAAAATAACCAAGCTCCGGAGCTACCTGCAATGAGTGCGGGCAGGTCTGAGAGTGCGAATCCGTTTTCCTTCCACGGTATCAGTATCAGCGTCAGTATCAAACAATACAAAACTCGGATTCAAGGGATTCAACAATTCAGCAATTCAACAGGCGAATCGAATCGAATCAAATCTGTGTTGAATGAGTGAGTAAGTGCCATTTACAAACGCCGTCACTTGGATGGAAATCCATGGGAATGGAATGGAATGGAATGAGCGGAGGCGGAGAAAAAGACTGAGACTGAGAAAATGTATCGATCTGAAAGGAAGCAATACGGCCAGGTCTGCACTCCAATGCAGGTGCTGAATGAACGTCCTCACATCCTCCTCCCGACCAATTGAGTTGCGATCATTATACTTGTTTCTCACAAACGGAAAAAGAGCCCAGTCCTGCAATTGTCTCATGGAGCCCTTCATAGACTGTGTGCCTCGTAAGAAATATCTTAAACTTATTGAGCTTCAAACCCATTATCAGTCACTCTGGTGAACGCCAAAATCTATTGACGCTGTCCCCCAGTCGGCCACCTGACTCTCCCTGATTGCTCTCTTCGTTGCAAGAGATTTTCCTGACTTCTCTGTCCGAAACCAGTGTTCCTGACCAAGGAACAAGTTGGGAAAGCTATGCATGGGGCTCTGGAATAGCGATTGCAGTTTTTGGAGGCTCATCGTTGTCATGAGGATCAAGGTAGCTGTAGCCGTCGTGGTGAATGCGATGGTGGCACATGTGGTTGTAGCCATTTGTGCCGTCGTTGCTGACCGTGGGTAGGACTGCCACCGTCCCCGAGGCTCTCATTGTACAGTAGCTCAAGATTTCGGGTTGGAGGACCAGAAGGACGCGGTTCCTTCGGCAATTCTAGCGTGTGGTTTGAATTGAACAATTTCAGGACTGATTTGTCTTCCTGATCGATATCACGACCTCCGAAGCATTGCCATGTGATTAATTGCAACACGAACTGGTCACCGTTTGTGTTTGTGGCTAGAAGTTCAAAGCGCAGGTCTGTTGCACATTTGGCGCAATTGATGTAATCGAAACACCGTCTTGTTGATACCAATGGACTGGAGACGTGGCTGAAAACTTCCGAAACAAGAGTAAGAAGGTAGAAATGAGCATGCCTGCAGCCATCGGGTAACTGCTGATCGGGCCGAAATCCTAGAAATTGCTGTTTAGACAGTTCTAGACTTTGTATTGTTCGAACCAGTAGCTTCCCATTGACGACACGCGCCGCCATCTCCTCGGAAGTATACGAGATAGAGCGATCCCATGGTAGTGCTCTATCGTTTTTGTAGTAGAGTTCTTGAAGTTGTGGGCCATAGGTAGGGCCGCGCTCGTATCCCCTCAAGAAGGCAGCGACCGTCTCAAAGGACAGCCGACAGAGACTAAACGGTGACCAGTACTTTGAGCGAGCGGTGTGTTTATTGTCATAGAAATCAAGTTGTTGAGACGAGTCGGAACCGGTTGGAAAACGCCGAGGACACTCATACGTCCGGGACCCAGACGGATCACACCGAAGTGGTGACGGTTGCCATCGATAAAGTATAGTACACGAGTGACAGATGATATATTCGGGCAGATCCACCTCAAGTAGGCGAAGGAAGCGCGCTTTCGCCCTAATACTTTGGATACCAGAGAGGAGCACCTGCTTAAAAGCCAGGTAGTAATATTTCGATGTCAAGGCGAACAGCGCAACTGACTCGGCGGGTAGATACTGTATGATATTCGAAAGTATTTCCAGCGGCAGCCGTGATATACCTCGAGCCGATATCGCTCCCTCTTGTCCGATAGGAGTTACGGTCTCCTCAGAGGGCCGTTGGTCGGATGAAGATGGAGATGTAGATAATGATGGCGAATGGCGCGGCCTAAACCTATCCCGCAGGCGAGCAGAGCGACGGCGCAGTTTGTCAGGCAGCTGCGTGGGCTTGCGGATCCTCATGGTACGAGCAGTGGTAGCCTCTTTTGAGACGCGTATCGTCAATGGTGGAGTGAGGGAGTGTGTTCGAGAGTGTTCTGGTGATATTAGGGTAGAGGTAGGAAGGCCAGAAGGTTTGAAATTCTTTTGAAAATAACAGAATGGATGGAGGGTAGTGAGCGTGTCTGGGAGTGCAAGCAGGTGAAGACTGAGAGAGAGGAGGAGAAAGCTCATTAAAATGTGCGGTGGGTGGCGAGGAGAGGGAAAGAGAGCTACAGGGGGGTGGCCAAAGCCCCCTGGGAATATCTAGGCAGTAGTGTTGCGATGAGGCGTGCCACCTATCGGTAGGGCTAGAATCGGGTGGGGACGAAATGCTGTGATCCACTGGGTGCGTGCTGTCTCCCCTGGAACTCCCAAGGAGCAGCGTTGCTATTAGGCTTTTCGCAGCCCTAATAAGCATGTCCTTCCATTGGTCTAGAGAGAGAGAGCTGGGCCGGAGAATTTCAGGGGGCTGTAAGGGGGGTCACCAAAGCTCCTCTGGAATTTCTAGGCGTCAGTGTTGTTGTTGGGCATGCTGTCTCACTGAAATTTCCAAGCATCAGCGTTGCTGTTAGGCATGCCCCCTCCCGAGTGGTAGCCTGGCCAGTCTAGCCTCTCTCCTCTTCGGGCGCCCTTTCTTACCGAGTGAAAGTTCTTCCCTTCGTTCGTGTTTCCTCTCGCCAGTATCTCTCTTCGACGGAATGATATATTATCAGGTCAGGGAGGATGGAGTGAGTAAGTGCTCCCTTCTCGTGCTGTGCTGGGCATGCCGGTGCTGCTCGCTCTCGGGCCTAATCCATCCGTCCAACCCTGTGATGGGTTGAACCCAGGAGAAAGCTCGGTTCCGGGGAGCCAGCGCCAACGCAGTCTGACACGTGAATGTGCACAGTCACGTAACTCTACAGAGAATACAGACCAAAGCAGACTGTGTTCCCGGGACCAGCACCGAAACCAACTAGTGTACGTAAGGGAGGGAAACATGACAAGAAGTAGCCTCCATCCTCCTTCTCTTCGCTGGCCCCTCTTGGTTCCTGAAAGAAAATCTTCACTTCAGCATATCAGTATATCACCATGGAGCCATAGAGCCACGGGCTGCGTCGTGCGTCGTGCATCGGATATCCGGCATCCTGAACGTCAACGTGAACACGCACCACACAAACACAAATGTATGTGGACGAGTCCCGATGAGGGTCGGGGGAAACCATTCAATCACTCAATCCCACGTCCAATTCCACAACCAGGTCCTCCGCCATCAGTGCGATTCTCCGAGGCCTGCAACCCCGCTAAACTCGAGGCATTGAATTGGCCGACTACGGACGGGCCGCCAATGGCTGGAGGATTCTCGTAGACCGCAGCTCTGCGAAGAATCATAGATCGAGAACCGGTGGCAGCACCTGGCATCTCTCGGCGTATAAAATTTGAAACCTGTGTCGGAGGCACCAGATCGTCACGCCAATCCTGCTCAAAAGCCGCGTGGTTGATGATATGGGAAACACCTTCTGCAACCTGATCCGGGGTCGCGGTAGACACATCCTGCATTGCTGAATCTTCATGTGAAGCCAGCAAAGATCTATAGTAAAACATGAGCATATCATAATAGCCTCTGGCAACGACATCGCCCTCTGCACAGAACTCCAGTGCCTTGAGGCAAGAGAGTGCGCTGGACAGGTCTTCCTCACAATCGGACGGTGGTGCCAGGTGAAGTCGCTTCTGGGCGAGGTGGAAGAGTAACAGAGTGCATGCGCTGAAAGACTGGTAAGTCACCAACCAGCAGCGCTTGAAGAGAGCTTGTTCGGAGAGGAGGAGAGCAAAGATACGCGAAGACTGAGTAGCCGCTTGGACTGCATCCTTGGCATAGTTCAACGCTTCGTCGACGTCTCCATCGAGCTTCCACGAATCATCCCGATGTATTGTGGAAAGGTAGATAGCATGGCGACGATAGAGTAGGAGCAACGCTCCAAGGTAGTTGAGATGAACGAGGAAAATACTCCGTCTTTGTACCAGTGTCAGGCTATGATTGTGGAGCAGTGAGTCGAGCTGCATAACTGCAGGGAGCTCACTAAACCACCCAAGAAGCTTGAGTTTGTATGTCCGAGTCGCGATGAAACTGAGTTCGTTTGGCAAGAAGACGTCTTGAAGGATGCCAGCTGTGAGCACGCCAATGGATGTCATTTGTTCCTGCGCAATAGATTCGACGGACGGACTGTCTTCATGCACGGTAAACGATTCAAACCCTAGTTTAAATTCCCCCAAAATCTCTGGGCTTCTACCGAGAGTCGAGGAAAACCAACTAGCGAAGCCCGTGAATTAGATCCTATACATTGTTGCCTTTGGGGAACAAATTGTGTGCCTACCAGGCCAGAAATATCAAGGTCCGCAAGACTTTTCTTTGCACAATCCAATTCTCGGGCGATGTGGACGGAGGTGGCGTCTCCAGGTGCAGGCCACGAATCCTCGCCAGTTCCAAGCCGGTCACTTCTCAAGGTCAGTCATTTCTGTGCTTCTGTGACTCCAGTTTGGACGGAACTTACAAATCCATGTCCACGCTGCACGGCGCTTGTCCATGGCGCAATATATGGCCAAGCAGCACAGAACGCGCATTCCCAGCACTTCATCCTCTTCAATGCAGTCGTCCAGGTATGCTTTTGCTGTCTCGTAGTACGACTGTCTTAAGGCGATGTCGATTACGGCGTTGTCGTCACACTGGCTGGCTACGGCTGCTAGGCCACATAGTGCACCAAGTAACGCTTTCGTAGCACTATCGTCATCCATATAGACCTGCCGGAGAAGTTCGTTTGCATCGTGAGGAGAGAAGATATAGAACAATGTGCCAGTGCAAGAGAAGAAATGGTCTATTAAGACTTGTATGATGGAGGCATCTGGCAATGTGCGATTGTGGAAGACCTGCACCTCGGACGAAGCGATTTTGTCTTCTCGCCTTTCCTGGCCGACAGGCGGGGTGGAGAGGCTGGCGAGTTGCTGTGGAAAGTGGTTCATCGTCGCTATATGCAATTGCACGAAGTATGAGACAAAACCCAACAAAAAAGGATTGCACGTATACCTTTATATGAGCATAGATTGAAATGTAAATAGACCCCTCCCCTTGCGTCCCAACGCCTCCTCAAACGATCTCGTATCGGCGATCCATTCCGTGGCCTCATAGGCCGGTGTAGAAGGGCCGGGCATCTGACTGGCTGACTGGCTGGAATGATGGCATCTAGAGCAGTCTGAGGTGTGACTCCTTCCAACAGTCTGCATGGACCATGGCGTTCAGGGATCGAGGGCGACATGGATGGGCGGGCAGGAGTGAGAGAATCCCATCCGACTGGCCGAACTGACTGAGGCGTCGATAGGTCCATAGTGAAACACTGCAATTTCCCCTTGTGTGACTGCAATTTCCACCTTTCGCATTCCACATTCCACATTCCACATTCCAATTTGCACGTACACACTGAGACTTGCTTTGACTTTATCCGTCCTACCCACCCAAGTCGTTCATCCCTGCAATCATTCATTCGTCTTCTGTTCTGCTCAGTTCTCGTCCCACCGGGTGAGCCACACCACACCATACACTTCGCACGCCCCCCTGCCGTCCCCGTCCCCGTCTCCGTCACCATAACGCCCTCACATCACGCAAGACGAGGTGAGACGAGACTGCGTACGGACGGACGCCGTGGTTTGCCCACGATCCGTTCCAATCCGAGCCGGTCCGAGCCGGAGGAGCCCAACTGCGGCCGCGATGTGATGCGACGCCTCCCACCTCCCACCCACTGGGGCAGAACGACAACGACAAAGAGAACGAGACTACTGCTGCGACCGCCGTGCCTCCCCTGGCCTCCCCTCCCATCCCATTGACCCAGTATCGTCGTCATCGATGGACTGATGGACGGAGGATGGACGATGACACACGAACCGGCCAGCCACCGAGTCAGATCTGTCTGTCTGTCTGTCTATCTATCCGAGTCCTCGTGCGGGCGTGCGTAGTTGCAAACGGCACGGTGACCGAGGCGAGGCGGGCACGGAAGTGTGGATGAGAAGAGACAAGAAGAGAAGAGCAGAGAAATGAATACAGGTCATCACCAGCGATGCCTTAATCGGCCTGGTCGCCATATTCTGCAAGGAAACTCGCGGCAATATTATTCTCAGTGGCAAGGCAAAGCTACTCAACAAATTGTACGAGAAATTGGACGCTGCAGGACAACTGGGACTGGAAGTCGGAGGTGATCGCATTGGACGACGTAGCTCCTTCGCCATCGTTTCGCTCTCCTGTGGTACCAGCCTGACGGAGCCACTCCCTCGCCCTCTTCTCTCGCCGGCCCGCATCTTGTCTTCTGCTTTCCTCTCCTCCCATCCCGCAGCCAATTTCCGGTAGTAGACCTCTGGTTGTACCGTGATCCTGTAGTACTCGGGAGTCCAGCCGATTTTGTTCTGACCTGATTGGTCTGCGCCAGTTTGCCGGTCAGCCATCTACATCGTTACTCAGGCGTTGTGACTGGGACTGTCATTTTCCTTCAGAGAACTACATCTTCTGTGACGGACGGAGTCTGTCACCCGCCGATCCTTCCTTTCGCACACTGAAGTTCCAGAAACGTCGCAGAATCTGGAGGAGTGGTCAGTCAGGGTCACATCAACCGTTGAGGCTGAGGGAAAACCCGACTTCATTGAACCAGAACTTGGTGTCGAATATCTCCAAACGCCCTTGAACGGTCTCATTGTACTGCACCTCAAATATCAGTTTCCAATTCCCACCCCCTCTTCCTGTTTGTTGTCTTTGCGAAACCGTCGAAACAAATGACCCAAATCCCCGCCACTAAAGTAGCCCAAAGAGTAGAAACGACTGCAAGATTAGAGATTAGACCGAGATCGGGCCGCCAAATGCGACCGGGTCATTGACCCAGCATAAAAGGCAAATTCGCGATTCCTGCAAGTGATCGAAAACATATTGAGAATAAGAAACAGTGCGCATGTCAGGTTTGCCACAGGTGAGATCGTCGCAGTTGTGAAGTAGCATATATTGACGTGGAACCACATGTCTGGATCCGAAGTAGTCGCCGCTCGCCAAAATCTCCTTGAAGGAAAGCACCTGCTGGACAGCGATGCCCAGAGCTCAGTGCTAAGGGCTGTTGCCCCCCACACCGAGATAAATGCCCAGAGCCACGGTGGGCCAGATTTTCCCCTAGAAACGGCTTGTCCATGGCGCTCAGCTCGGTGTATAGTGGACCGAGATCGTCACCGGCTCCGATGGTCGCGTTGTCGAGGTGACAGGAGGAAGAAAGACGGGCCGCGCACGCCGTGGGGGGATGGGTGGGACGGGCTTTTGATGTCGATTGATTGATGGACAGATTGATTTTATCGTTGCTATATAGATTCAGCCATTGCTCCCTGCATCACCTGACATGACCTGAGCTACTGTGCGCGATACCGACATGTAGGCACGCAGACAACCTGATAGACACACCCGGATAGTATCTGCTTTCTTTGGCTTTTCCTGGGCTTTGGCGTTGGCGTTGGCTTGTTCTGTTACTCTTCTTCTTCGTCCTCGTCCTCTGGCGCGCGCGTGTGTGTGTGCTCACATGGCAAGCAAGCATGCAAGCAAGCGTGGGATGGGATGGATGTGCTCATGCTCTCCTCACCCAGCCCGGTCCCACGCACATACATACGCAAACAGCGCACGCACGCCCCACCGTCATCATCATCAGCTCCCTCCCTAAAGGAAGATTATGTTTGTTTGTTTATTCGTCTATCCACTGCAGTAATCAATGACACCATCCTACTGCCTGCCCTGCTGCTGGCTGATGGTGAATCAATCAATCGTCCGTCGCATCGCAGGAGCATCATAGCCTGACGGGCCAAGAAGACGGTCGTGGTCGGCCACGTACTTCGTGCGTGCGTGCGTGATGGCTGCGGGGTTGATTGCGTGGAGTGGGCTGGCGGGCGTGTGTTGCAGGGACGGCGGTCGGTCAGTTGTTGTGGGGAGGGAAGGGGAGAGGCACAGGCCAACTTCAATGGGAAGACTCTGCGGGAAACAGGAGCAACTCGTCTCTGATTTAAGAAGGTTGCTTGGACCAGTCCTGGCCGGCCCATCCAGAACGCTAGCAAGCCTCTATGCTGCCCCTGTCCTCATCGCCATGCTCGAAGAGGGCACGTAGATCTCTCTGCGAAACTGATTCGGTGTCCAGCCGCGGTGCGGGCTCACGGTGAAAGATTTGCTTATTTCCTTGCCTTTTTCCGTATCGTCGTCCATAGTTTCTCCAGACATAAAAGACGATTGTTGAATGTATGTTAGTTCTGTGATTTATTTGTAGTTGCCAGTCACATTCGCAAAAGGAGCACTTGACGATTTCCGTAGGCTTCAAGTGTATTATGTTCGTCGACGTACGCCTAAGTAACGCCGGTATCTTGTCGTGCCATCCATTAGATCGCCAATGCAAACAAGAAGCCCAGAACAAGAGATCGACTTGCTTTGCCCAGTCCTTTCGAAGCTCTGCGTTCAGCTCCCATCGCGAAGCAAGCACAAGTTCTCCATTGATTATGCGTGCATCGTTTCGGACCAAGACGCCGTTACGACGTAGCCCGCTCGATCGCAAGGAAGATACGGGATAGCCGTATCGCTCACCTCGTTCGCGTGCACGGAAAATCAACTCGATAAATGAGCGACTCATCCGGATATCAGGTATTCCTTTTAAGTACCAATAATCGTATGCCGCCAAATTCCAGTCAGACGGGTGCTGACTTTCACGTGGACAGCGGACACACATAAACGGAGAGCGCCATTTGAACATAATTCCACATGATAGGCAAGGAAGATATTCCGGGTAGTCGGGCTCGAGACACTTATAGAACCGTAACTTCGTACTTAGATCACTTAGTGTCGGGTCGAGATCTCCAAGGAGGCGGCGAAGGCGTCGGCAGCAAATGCGAAGTGAGAGTTGATATTCAGCCTCCAGGAAACCGGTGATCCGGAACAGTAACTCATTTGGCAGCTTAAGAAGAGGACTGCGGGGATTCGAGACGTTTATGGTGCTCTCCGTGGTGCCCCTAATTCGCTCGCAGGCTAGGATCATGATTTCGAAGATCTGCTGTGCAAATCTAAAGACGTGAAGCATGGGAAACATCGACCTCGCGATCATCGTGAGAGATATGCACCTTTTCGGGGAGAGATCCAGTTGTGGCTAGGAAGAGTACAGAGTGTGAAGAAGGGTAGAGAGCGTCCAGTCAAGGGAATAAAGCGAAGTAGAGATGAGAGTTGAATAATGGCGGGAGCTGGAGGTGTGAGAGTATTTATTTCGAGCACCAACTTGAAGTCTCTTCTCCTGTGCGTACTATTTTGGAGGGCAGCTGTTGGTACTGAGCCCCTATAGGTGACAGGCTTCTGGGCCACAGTGGGGGTCAAGAGGTGCCCAGCGGATTGTCTAGGCTGTGCTAAGAAGATAGTGGCTGGCAGAGCCCGCAGTTGCATCTGTCTAAATCCTGCCATGATGATCCTGCACTAGTCCGGGTGGTTTGAGGCATCCACCTCACCCGCTTCACTAGTTCCTCGAATGTACCAATGATCGACTCAATTTCTAGCTTTCCTGTGGCCATTCCAGCTGCATTCATACGCTATCTCTTGATCACCAAGACAAAGGAGGAGTAAGAAGAGGAGGATGTCGAGTGCCACGAGAGATTGAGGTTCAGGCTGGCCGAGCGGTTCTTTCAACAGTAAAGATGAGTCTGTATGAAAGTGAGTGAATATCTGTATCGTGGTTCTGGGTATCACACTTATCTTTGTTATGATAAGCGATTGTGGGTAGGCTTGTCTTGGTTTCACTCTTGGGAGAGCTACTCGTCACCAGCACTGCGTAGAAGTGCAAGCCCGGCGCTGGTGCGGCCGAGAGTTGAATCCCGGCCACCACTGGCACAGCCTAGTGGAGGGCCTACACCGCAGTTAGCTAGGGGAGGCGGTGGACTACCGTGGCCTCACCGGCAACGGTGGTCTGGCCAAGTTGCGCCAACTCTGTTCTCCCCTAGATCATAGTTACCACTTATCACATGGAAGAAGGGAGCAAGGAATCCACCGCACTGGTGGAGAGGAATGGCTGCAGTAGCACGATTCTCTAGCTATCTAGCTAACTGTTGTTTTTGTGGGCTGTCTCTGATGGAGTGTTCAAAGGAAGGAAGTGGGATGGCGAGGTAGAAGTAGCCCTCGGCAGACCTTCCCAATCTTAGCCAGTCACGTGTAGGCGCGACGCGTGACACCACTGACGGCCATAGTACGTCGTTCCCGGAGATGAGAGACACCGGGTGGGGTTCTGACAATATAAACTACACAGCCACACAATCTCAACAGCTCGAAACGCCTTCGCATAACCCTCTTCCTTCCCCCTGACAGTGAGTTTGGCTGCTGAAGTCGAAGAACAATGTTGGCCAACAAAGCGCCATCCCCAGAATGAAATCTCTCCTGGCCCAGCGGTGGTATCTGATACTGCTGCTACCCTTAGGCGAGTTCGACCCCAACGACAGTTATATAACCTTTGATGCCTTGAACAGCCTCCAGGGGTATCCCCAGTCTAGAAGAGCTTGACACCAAGGTTGACTCCACCACCATCCTGACCAACCCTTGTAGCATCGATTCTAAACTTGATATCAAAATCCCTTCGACGAATGACTGTCGAAACGTGGATAATGCCGACTTCTGACACCGGCGCAGGATCACGGTCGCAGATCTAATTGATGTCAGCGGCGGCGACTATGCAGACATGGGGATGTCCTACTGCGAGCGGAATTCACTGACGACCTCGATCTATGACACGGAACAGGGGCAACTCAGTGAAACAGTCAACGCAGCAATGGATATGGTTTTGATAACATGTCTTGTCTGACCATTCTGAAAACGGGAATCCGCCAGCGTGGCGAGAGTGGGGGGTGGTGAACTGATAGCGTCGTCACGAGCATTAACAATTCACAGTGAATTGTTGCTGCCTCAGCTATGTTTCAACTGAAACTTGCTCACGACTTGACCTTTCCCCTCGGTCAAGTCAAACCACATCCTCACCTACTTATCTCACTGGTCTGAACGGCGAAGGCTACCCAGAACAACCGAGCTAGAATGTCGAGACCTCAGCAGGATCCCGAAATCAGCTCGATGAGGACCAAAGCCCTTGGGCCAAGGCGCTCGAGACTTCAGCGGCAATTTTGCAAGGTGACCTGGAACCTCAGACACACCCCGGATGCTCTTCCCCTCTGGTCGGGAGCCCTGCAGGCGGCCACATTTATTTCTCCAGGACATGATATTTGCAAGATTGCCTTTGGTCCATCTTCAATCTGCTCTCACTCCGGTACACGCCTCGGAAGGGTTGCAGTCGCTTTGGCCTTTTGATCGACCCCGAGTGACCTGTATCTCACCAAGTCGCCATGATGTGCCTTCTCTTCTTATCTTTCAACGCCTTCTTCAGTGATATTATTGCTCAGCTATACACCCCTATTGTGAGCGAGGGAGATGGCGACATTACAAGTGACGGAGACATCTCCGGACCAGGTGACTACGGAGCCAGACGACCCGGATTGAGATCTGTGGCCCCGAAATCGATGAATGAAACCCACTCTGCCGAGGGAAACAGAGCCTAAACAGGCGATGAATTGATGAACTGCGGTACGGACTATCTGGAAAGTTAAGGCGCCTGTGCGCGGCTGATATTCCGAGTGGTATTGCTACAAGTGATCTGATCCCAAATAGGATAGGTGGCTAAGCGATCAGGTTGATCCTTGACACGCGGGGGGTATAGGGCTGGCCATAGCGGAGAGACTACACGGAACTGCTGCTGTTAAACGGAGCTTCGTCCGGACCAGAGACCATGAGGTATGTGAGAGAAGTCCATAATATCACTAGTTGTGCGTGCCGCTTGCGTGTCACGACCGAGTCGCATGCACCCGTTCAGTACGAGCCGGCTCTCTACACTTTATTTTCCCGTTTGTGTTGTCTTTTTTCCCTTTGTCCTTCTCTTCTGTCCCTACAGACAACAACAACAACAACAACAACAACAACAACAACACTGTGAGCGCTTTTCCCTTCCGCGGCTCGTGCGGTACTCTCTTGTTGACTCTCTGAACAAATCCTGGCTCGCGTGTCCCCCCTGCCTTGTCTCCATCTCCTGCACCACCAACTCTTTTTCTGCTCCTGTTTTAGCAAGCGACGCGGTACCTGTTGCTGTCCCAGTGCCACCGCTGCAGGCACACGTCGCCCGCATGGTGCCTTCTTCAAGGAGCAAGGATAGAAATCAAGTCTTGAAGGGGCAAAGTACCTCGGTCGTCAAGAGAGAAAATAGACGCCACCATCTTCAAGAGCAAGGATAGACACCACGGTCGTCGAGAGACAAGCCACCTCAGTGGAAAGATGACGGGGATCTCACCGACCAAAGGTTTTGCTGGATAACAGGTGGGGTGGTGCGGATCATTCTACTTGCTAAATAAGTCAGAAGCTGTGAGAGGTGCCTCCTCTCCTTGGACGATCGAGTCTCAGGAGTTTCAGCGGTAGCTGTTGCCGCTTGACGATCCTCTCTTCTTTGCCACGTTGGAGGACTACGGGGACGACTTTCTTGACGATGACGACGACGAATGGGAGGACGAGGACCCTTACCTCCCCGAGCTTGAAGGAAGTCGGATGATGACACCAATGACTTTCAACCTTCCGTGAACGAAACCTCATCGACTCTGGTTGTTTGGGGGGACGGGAGGATGCTGACGAGAAATAGACGACATCGGCTTCGGATTTGTGTATACACTAAGACATTTGTCGCGACGGTCAAAGGTTAGGCCAATACCACAGAGGGTAACGTCGGTTATGGTGACATCCATGCACCCGTCGTCTCCATCCGGAATGACCGTCGGCTCTTCCAGCATGAAGGACCACGCCCGCCACAAGGCCAAACATAACCCGTGATCAAATGCGAATGACGCGGGCCCGAAGGGAATGTTTGGTCAGAAAGATTGCTCACATCACTGAGTTGTACGACCAGGTTTTGGGTCTCAACACCTCCATCGACTCTCGTCCAGTCTCACAACCCCCACGACTCCGACCAACCAGGGCCCCTCCGCAGACTGTTTCTCAGCGAGTATCCCGGGGCTCGCTCTCCGATCAATGGCTCGTTGTCCGCCTACAAGACTGCACACTCTTACACTCCAGGCGCAGAGTGGATCGAGAAGTATGTAGTGTACTCAGAATTGTGACCACAACATGACCCTCCCAAAGGAGGGCAGAAGTTAAGATATATCCGGGAAGGAGTGGTCAACTGTTTGCCTATCGCAGGGACGGTGGGCAGTACCGGGTGTTGAAGGTGGTCTGCGCTGGGCTAATGACCGTCTCGGGGAAGCCATTCAGAACCTCGAAACTCTCCTCGAACAGCGGGACTAAGGCATCACTACCGGTGAGACAGCCACACACCATGTCCGTGGCGAACGTGACCCAGACTCATGAAGAAAGAAGACAGGCTGCGCTGACTGCGCGTATCGCAGCCTTAAAAGGCGGCGTCCTGCAAACGCTCAAGCACGTGGTTGGAATCGTCACGAATTACGCGGGCGGCGACGCGCACTACGGCTAAACGCTGACAAGAGTATCGTTGACGATCCGACTCACTTGCGTCATCACAAATCCAGACCCTCTTGGCCCAACACCATGACTCTCCTGTCACTCTTGACGGCTTCAGACCTCAATGCGCCCATAGCATTGGGCAAGTCCTCGAGAGAGTCGATCAGCAGGAGCACCAACACTTACAGCCGGCCCCGGGGGATAGAAAGAAGCGTTCTTGTGACGGGGTTCATACCTTCCGCTTCCCGATCTTGTGGCACACCGTTGATGTAAGCAATACTTTCGGTGTTATACAATGCTTGCAGTTTGCAGGCTCCAAGGGTGGAAGGAAAGTTGACACACAGCAGCGATGCTGTGATGGGTGGCAACCGGGTGACAGATATGCGTAGTTCTCCCATCGGCCAACATGCTCTGGAATACCTCATCGGTAAGTGGAGGTCCTCAATCCTCCGATATTCCCGTGGTCAATGGTCTTGCGTACAGGTGATATACGACCTTGGAGCTTTCTCCGTGCCGGTGTGTCATCCCCTCGCAACCTGCGGCCGAGTACTGATCTAATAACACTTGATCCCAAAGTCGCTCAGTGAGCCATACCATCGTGGCCAATACCTGCTTCTGGAGTCATACAGCAAGTGAGGGCTCCTCCAACAACACTCGTCTCTTTTGTGTCACCGCCACATTCTCCTTTTGTTTTCTCGGGAGACAAAGGACTGTGTTTGCCGACATAGATTTGGTCATGGAACACCTTACTCTAGGTGCCATTTTCCGCTTTATCGAGAGATAAAATGAGATCAAAGACAGGGAGTACAAGTGCGAAGTCTGATGTCCATTACCCTCTGCCTTTGATTATATACTCGCGGCTATATTGTTGTCTGTGAGAAAGTTCCGCTCAGAATCGACACTTTGAAAAACGATTTCCACTGCGTAATGCGTCTTGATCCCGGGCCATTTATCATGTGAGAGCAGTTCCACAGCTGTCGGATGATCCCTCTCCTTCAAGCTGTCATCAAACGGTCATCGGACAAAACCATGTTTGAGAAGGCCTATGCAGGCGTTGGAGAGCGTGAGAAGGAAGAGGGCATGAGAGGCGCTTCGAGCAGGCGAGGCTGAGGAAATCAAGGCATTCTGTGCTGAGGTTAGCTTCGGGAGGAGCGTGGCATTGCATATTGAAGGTCTGTTTCTATGTCCACCGATATCGATGGATGTGAAGTGTTTCCTTGATATCCTACATAGCGAGATCCTTTCCCTACCGAATCAACGTGCCGCTGCCGCCACCACTAGTTAGAGTCCTTTGTTCAGAAAAGTGAGTGTTACCAGCTCATATGGCGTCGCGCCGGATATGTAAGACACCCGTACTCGCTGCCTCTACTCGCCCAGCTGCCTTGGCACTCTACTGCCTTGAAACCACCTGTGAAGGCGTTCTAGTTTGTGACATAAAACTCCGCCAGCTCCTTATAGTCCTCCCATGCTTTTCTCCACACCCATCAAGAACATCTCTGGATAATTCACCATCATGGCACCACGTCACGAGAACAGAACAAACCCTTGTACCAACCATGCCGTCAGCATCACGGACAATCGAATGGAACCAACAAATGCATCTACGCCCATCCTCGATCTTCCTATCGAAATCTTGGACCGGATCATCGGATTTGTGGACACGGACACGCCCCAACACGTTCGCAATCTCCGCCAGACATGCAGGACAATTTCAGAGCTATGTGAGCCAGCTTTCTGCAACGGCCTCTCCAGCTTGAGCAAATTTGAAAAGGATTGTCCGCCAGACAGCTGCAAGAACTACTCCAGCTTGAGGCGATCCAGTGAGTTTATCCTCGCAGCACGTCCGGAACGATATAACCTCGTGAACACCTTCATTGCCCACACTAAAGCGGACCGGAATGATCGCGGTCAGAGGGGACTGGTCAGGTTCGTCCATAAGCTTCCGAAGCTCAGAGTCCTACACGTTTGTGACGTTCGATGCTGCAGAGACCACAAGGGCTTCGGAGAAGACCCGAAAGTGTCATTTTACCCCCGTGTCAACAACATGCTGAGCTCCTTGGCCTTCACCGAGTTACGTGAATGTCGGTTGTGCCCGTTGAGCTACTCTCCGGTTCAGATTGCTCCTGTTCTCAAGGCGCCGAAACTCACAACCTTAGTAGTATCTTACCCTACTCTAGATAGCCTGGACGAAACACTCCCAGCAATCAACTCCATACCGCTCAAACACCTTACACTGCTGGTGAATCCTCGAATGAATCGGCAGGCTGTCCACTCCATCCTCAGCATGCCAAAAGCGCTGGAGACTCTCGCATTTGACGACAGCCGGGCGCCGAGCGTGCAATCAGAAGATGGAATGCTAGAAGAGCTCCTACTCACTCTCGCACGTTATCAGCCTGGCCTCAAGGCTCTGAAGGTGTTTGCAACTGCCCGGAGTGTGCTATCGGACCCGAGTCTCACTGGCCGCTTTGATTTCTCTCAACTAACCGGACTCAAAGAACTCAGTTTCTCTAATCATCGCACTATTCCAATCAATTGTTTCTTCAACTTGCCAACAGGTCTCGAAAGCCTTCGGTTGAATAACAACGTGAACACAATCATGCTTGCCAAGGCACTCATCCAACTTTCTTCCAGACCAAACTTCACGTGTCCTCTTCATCTCGATATTGACGTGGATTACTCACTTCGGGAACACAGCGATGAATTCTCGTACTACCTGCGCGACCCAGATTCGATAGTGGGACGGACGGTCCTCACTGGCCGTCTACGAGGTATTGACATGCTCATGAGAAATCTCTTTTGCAAGCAGCTCACTCTGACCGAGAGAGGCTATACGGCCGAAAGACGGCTGGAAGCAATCAGGACATATCCGGCCAGGGGGATCAAAATGGAAAGACCATACGTGTTGCTGGAAGACACCTACTATGATTCGGAGATCTATGGTGACCCGAGGCCTTACATAATGAAGGGCCGTAAGGGCAACGATCATTCGGTATTTGACGGATGCAGTTTTCCATTGAGACGGTGCAGTCCATACATGGGATCGCGTTGGGATTCGGATTCGCATTCGGATTGACGTCTTGGTCGAGGGGGGAGGACAACTAAGGAAGTTTGACATGGAATGCCGAAGGGAGCCTCGCGGTCTCTTATCATGGACGGTCCGTACCACAGGTTGGAACGTGGCTCAGGCGCAAAGGAACGTGTGTTGAAGATGTCTTTGCGAGCGTGCTAGACGTGGCTATCGGCTTGGGTGGATATGGGACGAGACCGAATGGAGATGGAGAGATTGCCGCCAGGGTCCGTGAGAAGCAGTCCGCTGTAGGAGGGGGTGTCCGAAGGGTTGACGCCTCACATTGAACAAACATACGCCACCGGGGGTTTGTTGATCGGACACGGATGCACAGTTGTCACTCCCTGACAGGGGATCTTTGGGGACGGCACTGCGATTCACAGCCGTCTCTGGCTTGGTCACTGGGTGGCGTTGTGTATTGCACTGCGATGTCTGCAAGTAGACCCTCACCAGGGCTTTGATAATCGGACACGAATGCATAGTAATCTCCACCTTAGTCACACGGCGGCTTGTGTACTTGCTACCAAACTCCAATGTTGCCATAATCGCTTCAATTATTCATTTAGGTCATATCCAGGGCGTTCCCAGCAGGGCGGAGATAGATGTCCTTGTTCGATATCGGCGTTGGGGTCTTTCTCGTTACGTGATGTCACGGCACAGCCTAGAACAAGAGGAATTGCCATTGAGGGCGTGATTGTAATATTAACTATGAGACGAGAAACTACTCCTCCGAGTCCGCTGCCTTCTCTCGACGTTCCGATTGAATTCTGCAGCGTTCCGTACGCTCCTCGGTGGCTTTGGATCTCTTCTTCTCCGCTTCGTCCTTTCGCTCCGCCAAGTCCGCTGCAAGCTTTCGCTTTCCTCTCACATTCTTGATGTATCTTGACATCCGTACCCGAGCCTCATCGATTATCCCATATTTCAATCGAGAAGTGTAGAGCTCATCAAGATCTGTCGACGTAACTGTAACTGGCTTGGTACCGGTTGCGATCGTAGCCGGTATTTCGAAGAATGGGAGTTCCGTTTCCCTATCACTAGGGTCGACAGTTGCAGAGAAGATTTGCTTCGGCTCTCCATCTGCCCCTCGTTCCCAGACTTCCCAGGAAAGCGTGCTCTTCCCCATCCATTGGACACCCTTATAACAAAGTGGTCCTTGGTCTGCATCCAGTTGGAAATCCGCTTTCTGAATGTTATCCGGTTCGTCGATATTGAGATCCTTTGGGCTTCTGTACCTAGGGTCCTCGAGAATATTCACCGAGACGAAACTGGAGACTTCAGGTAACCCTTTCAAGAACATGTCCCGAACGTGAAGTAGACTATTGTAAGTCTGTGAAACGCCGACCTCGATAATAGTGTCCAGCTGGGTCCCGATGTTATTCTCGTTCCACGAAATAGCAAGGTCTGGCTGCTTTTCTGACCATTGCCATTCTCCTTGAAAATCCGTGTCATTAACACCACACGATAGGAAGAGCTTGCGGCGTGTAGGCAAATCTAACTTCGCTTCAGCGATATCGTGAAGCCACTCGATAATATAACCGTGTCTCGGGCTTTGCATGGTGAAGAGGGTGAGCGTTGCCGTGCGGGAGTTGTATGAGAGACGAATTCCAATTTCCAGACTCAAAGTCAGGATCCTCGAGCAGCTGGTGGAAGTCCGACAGAGGTAGTATGTACTCGCGTGGCTTGTCTCGATATTGGAGGAACTTGCCGGCCAAGTACGCTTTGAGATCTGCCCGAACTCTGTGTGCTTGATTCAGGAGTAGACTGTGCTGTAGAGGCGTATCATTGTCTTGCGGTGGTCTGATTGTGGAGTCGAGGGTCTCGTGCGTGGAAGTGGGCAGATCGGGATGGCAGTCTGGGATATTTGGTGATGGCTGCTGCAGCGCGCAGGCCGTGCTGCCATGCTCCAGCGCGTCCCTTGAGCTTGAATCCATGCTTTGGTTGAAACGAGCGGCACAATCCCTTCTGAAAGCCTGGTCGATGAGAGGGAGATGATGGAAGAAGACTAAAGTTTTTGTTTGTTACTCAAGACAGTGCCTGCGGAGGCGTTTCAATGTGCGGAGGAAGTTGTATCCGGTGGAGTATTTGCATCTGCATGTCCAACAATGGTGGATCAGGAACACCTTAGTGCATGATGAACCAGAAGCCTTGGTTGATTGTTGCAAACAAACACCACCCAGGGCTTTGTTGATTGCACACGGTTGCATAGCAGTCTCTGCCTTGACGATAGGGCGTCTTTGTTGATGCAGTAAGTAGATCCACCCGGGCTGCTTTGTTGACTGCACACAGATGCACAGTGGCTTCTACCTGGGGTCTTCCATCATCTTTGTCATCATCGGCTTCGCTTGCAGCCGTCTTCACGAAGGCGGTCTTCTCGCGCTGTACGTCCTCGCCGAGTCTTTTTACAACTTCGCAGTCATCTTGGTCTCCTGGCCGTTGTTGATCAGCCGGATAATTTTCAGCAAGCCTGGCTTTGACTCATGCTACCACCGGATCGCGGGACATGCTCGGAAAGTGGGAGGGTGTCCTTGCGTCCTCGATAAAAACCGTGGAGTCTGTAGAGCAAGGTTAACATCACCGTCGCCAAATAGCTGCTTCCAGCACCGCGTTTATCACTTGGGGAATTCCTCCCACCAGAAGACCTCTCTCCCACCTCGAATTACAGACGTGCCGACAGGAATAGGGCCTTCCTCTGTAATCTCATCGTCGACACCGGGCTCCGACGTTCCGAGAAGACCGCCGGTGCCCGTGGGATTGGGGAACCACCAGAGCGCAAGGATGCTCAAGAGGGCAATCGCGGCGGCGTAGCCATATTTTTTTCTGCTGGGTAGCCATCTCGAGAGCTTCCATTGCCGTCGCCGGAGTTCTCACGATCTCGGGGAATCACCGGGACTAAGCAGGCTGCTGCCCCAGGAATGTTTAGTCCAGTCGCGATGGAGGAAGGAAATGGCGGTCGAGTGGTTGAATTTGTTTGACAGCGACTTGGGCAGCGGGTCAATCATCGGCGCCAAACTCGTATTGCCATCTGGACTGGCAGAAAACCCCATGATGAGATTTTTAGCTGTCGCTGAATATACGACGCCGAACCGGTCCTGAAACTGCGTCTGTCCATATAATGAAGTTATCAACGGACTCGGTCAGATGAGAAAGTCGGTCAGTGTCATCCTGTTCCGGTTCCCGTCGACAGGAGTATATTGATCATGATGAATTCAATTCAAGCGTTCCAGCTCCCTAAATGCAACTATGCGCCGAGAGCCATTATGCCTATTCTACAACCTGGGCAGAGGTTATTAAGCCCCCTGCATTGCTTTCCTCTTTATCTCGTAACGCAACATCGTGTTCCCCTTTGTCCCCCCCCGTTGTGGTGGCGTTGTTGCTGTCTTGTCTGCAGGGCGTTATTGTCTTCTCCGGGAGCGCCGAGACATGAATCCTCTTTTGCCCTGATATTCCGTTTCTACACCTTTCCGCACCTGTCTCGCTCCTTGAGCGCCGGTCGGGAGTAGTAAATTCCTCTTTTTCAATTCCCCTATTTCTTGTTCTCCGTGGTTGTGCTTGAGTTATGGTTCGATTTGGCGGTCTTGCAAGTTGATTCCTTTCATGAATGCCTCCCGTGGGGACTCGTGTCAGCGCATTTCAAACGCTTGGCAATCCAGAGGGCGTTTGGAGGTTGTGAGGCTGCACCGCAGGACGGAGGCTTGCTTGGTTGATTTGAGTCTTTGCTGGATGAGAGGCGGTCAAAACAGCACCAGCGAGCATCCTGGCTTAGCGGTCAGCTTAGTGGATGCCCCTGCAAGCATTCTGCCGACATCTCGCTTCATGTGCTGTTCGGTTGTTCTGAGTAGTGTGGTAAGGTGTCTTTGAGTTGCCGTGATGGCGCGCCAGGCTGAGTTGGCTTTGCGGTGCTTGGTTGGGTAAGTTGATGTCTTGTGCTTAGTATCGCCCATTTGTGCTATCGCGGTGCCGAAACTGCACCGCCCTTGTTGTGGCGATGTTCATTGATGGCGGGTGTGAGGCTGAGCCTTGTCAATGAGTGTTTGCCGAAGGTGAAGCCAGGTACGGACGATCCAGCTGTTCCCTCGCCTTCCCTCTTTTCCGTGTTGTCGGGATCTTCTCCGCCGATGCCGGGCCTTCGGCTGTTGCTGATTCAGTTGGTTATCTCCCCCGTGCGTTCCGCGAGAGGTACGAAGTGAAAGGGTTGCATTTTGCCTGCTTGACGCGCGGCATTAGCGCGTTGCTGTTCGCTGAGCCTATCAGGGCTTCTGCATTCGCTTGACCATGCAGGATGGTGGCCTTCGCACACAGCGCATTTTGGCACGAAGCCTTCTGCCTGGTGGTTGGCGCAATCCTGTGTCTTGTGTTCTTGGGCGCAGTGTCCACAAACTGGGGTGGTTGAGTCACAGATCCGGGCTACGTGTCCGTATCTCTGGCAGTTGTCACAATGTACCATACGATAGCTCTGGTCGTGCCTTTCCGTGACATGACCGGTGTGGTCCAGGAATGTGGCGTATTTGATCAAATAGTTGGCGGTCTTTGCTTTGTCGAAGCTGACCACCAGCGATCCGAGGGTTGTCCGTGGTGTCTTAAGCCACGCGACCGAGCAGACGATGCCTCCGAGTGCTATAGCCGCTGGGTTGTGACGTTTGAGGAGGTCATGTACCTTCTGTGCTGACGATGGGTCGAAGCGCTTTCCCACTGTTTCTACCTTCACCTTGTGAATCACCACCTTGAAGGTTTCCACTGCGAGTCGTGCCTGTTCATCGAGAGCCCGTGGCCAAACACCTCCGTGTTCCTTCAGTAGCTCATATTCCTTTCTGTTGCGTGCAAGGGCCAGGATGTCAAAGCTTCTGAAGCTCCGTGCTGCCTTGACTTTGATGCCTTTGAGTGCTGTAATACTGTTGGATGCTGTTTGTATGGCTGTGTTTATTGCTTTTACCGTCTCTTGCGGGCCCTCCTTTTTCAATGCCTTTGCCTTGTCTGATTGGTTCATCTTGATGGTTATCTCGAGTTCGGCTTGTGTAGGCGGGTAAGGTTGGCTTGAGGTGTCGGAGATGGTGTGTACAGTTGGCGGCCTCAATGGCTTGTTTGGAAACAGCTTTCGGGCCCTGGTGCTTGCGCCCGCGGAGCTGCTGGAAGCATTGCTGGAGAGATTGGTCTGGTTCGCGCCACTCGTAATGATTGTCATATCATTTTGGAGGTTGTTGATGGTAGTAGAGAGGTGTTTGCAGTGGGTATCTATGTTTGTTATGATCTCATTTTCCCCCTCCTGGAACGCTTTGATTGTAGCGATGGCCACTTCGAGGGCTTCCTGAACATTTGGAAGTGCAGTTGCTAGCTTCGCATTCTTCTGGGCTCTTCCATAGCTCTGTAGTTGGTCTACAAAGTCATGGAGGTGTGCCGTTTGCGTGTGCTTGTTGTCATCGCGTCGCAGTTTAGGTACTTTCCTCGGGGCCGAAACCCCCGCCCCGAATTGCTGCGTCTTTTGCGGCATCGGATTGGTGCTCTGTATATCAATCGAAAGCGTGCGATGCGTAGAGTAATGGCAAGCTGGACAGACCTGTTAAATGGATGGGCGCGCGGAGAATAGGGTGTTTGGTGGGTGGCGAGAGGTTTCTAAGGAGTGTAGCACTCATACTTACCAGCAAAAGTGAACGGACAGCCACGCTTGTGATAACGACAGATAACGTGACTTTGGCGGATCATAGTTACTCCGCTCCTGATTCCTGCCTCCGCAAACTGTTCACCAAACTTTGCATTTCCACCTCACCGCCGCCCATTAACTTGAATTTCAACAACTTCATCTCAACACCATCAACTTGTTCGTTAGACGGCCTCAGTCTCGTCTTTCTGTGACGTTGAAGTCATCTGTGAGCAGCCTCTCTCACAAGTTGTGGAATTGTGGAACTGTGAAACTGGCGGATCGCAGGATCCTGAAATGGCGCCTGGTCAGTCGGAAACCGTCTCCTCTCCTCAATCTCTCTGTCTCCCCTCTCTCTTAGCCTCTGAAGGCCTGTCAGCGTTAGACAAGAAAAGGTGGAATCGCGGCCTCACAGACCCTGGTCAGACCGAACCCTTTTACATTCCTCGAACCTCTCTCCTCGAAGCATCCTCCGCCCTTGAAGGCCCTGCTGGCGTTGGACAGAAAAGGTGGAGCTAAATCGTCATAGACCCTATTCACACTGGCAGTTACGTGATAAGTCCCCGTGGGCAGGCATTCTCCCGGTCAGTCGAGCGCATGTCTCTATGAGTGCCAGCAAAATATATCGGGCATCATGCCTCTCCGTACACGAGGTTAGGCCAGAGAAGCCCGCCTGGCGTCTTTCAAAGCCTGACTTATCGGCTCGTGGCAGCACATGTCGGTGCCAGAGATCCGGCTGTTTCAAACCCGCCAGCAGCGCATCCACCTCTCCGCCGCCGGTCCCGGTCCCTGGAAGATTACGCGTGTCCGCCGCGACACGACGCTGCAGATCCTGGCTGTCAAGAGTATGACCTTTGGCCTGCACGTGCCGTCGATTATGGAAGCTCTGGGGAAGACGCCCAGCGGGCGTGACTACAACTCTGGCGACCACCACAAGGTCAACCAGCTGGTTGTCCCGGAGGCCGATCGCATCAGCATGAGGGGGCTTCTTAAATCTCTGCCTAACGCGTCCAAAATCCTTGGTGAATGGATATGCACATTGCTTTCTCCCGCCTCGATGCAGGCCTCTCACCTTCTTTTCCGTGGCCCCGGCTTCTCTGCCTGTTGGGGTCCAAAGTCGTCGGCAGTAATGGAGTTGGAGATGGCGGCACCACCGGCAGTTCAGGACGCGGACTCATGATCGAGGTCGTCGCCAGCAAGGATCCTTGCGCCAGACCGCTTGCCTGAGGGACGCTGATTTCCTGCTCGTCGCATGTGTGCGGCGAAGAGATTGCGTCTTCCCGCTCTGGCCTCAACCCCGCTTCGAGCTCTTGCTTCAACCCAGCTTCGAGCTTCAGCTTCTTCGGAAGATCTGTCAGGGCAGAATCAATCCCCTGGTTCTGGCTCCCACTTCTGCTATGGTCGGACTGTCCTTTCTCGTCAAGCTTGTAGCATTCTATCTTCCTCTTCTTCTCTTCCGATCGCGGCTTAGCAGGACTCCCGTCGAGGTGGTGCATCCCCTGGAACCCAAACGTAGGATCGAAGCAGACAAAGACCAGAGCTCGTTCCGTTGATCCCGGCTCGCGAGGTGGCCCCGCCATATACACGATGCCCTCGTCTCCCAACACGGCCGTGACGTCTCCTGCCCGGCCTTTTGGACAGAGGATCTCGTGCAGGCCTTGGGGCGCGTCGTCTGGTGGCCAGAGAGACACGCTACTCGGGCTGAAGGCGCGCTCGCCGTCCTCCATCTCCTGGCCCTCGCGGTCCCGTCTGCTCTTGCGGAGCACCAAAGCCATGGAACTACCCCTGGCGGTCGTCGTCGTAGTGTCGTCTCCCGCCAGCGGACTGAGTTCCTGTCTACTGGCCACACGTAGCTTGATGCGTTGCTGCGGCTTCGACTCGCCTTCCACCACTACTTCGTCCGTCACGAGATCGACGAAGGCCTGCGCGTTAAACGAGTACCCGTTCCACTTAGTCCGACCGCGGACGTATTCTTTGGTGGCCGCCTGCTGCCCGCCCCCGCCGTCGGCCCGGAACTCGGCGTGAACGTATCGGTCAACCCGCATTAGAGGCTCCTCCCAGCGACTGTTACTATACTCGTCAAGCGTGCGGCTGAGACTGTCGTTAGGCGGATGCCGTAGCCCATCCCTCAAGTCCTTTAAGTCGGCGCGCCGGATGGGTTGCGTATAGTACGTCCGGATCGACTGGCTACCGCCGTTAAGCCACTCCTTTCGACCCTCGACCACTAGTAGCTCGCCCGTCGAGTGGTCGACCTGAAAGCCTAGGTCGTTCCAGGCGTCGTTAATGGGCCCCTCGAGGTGCTGTCGCCGCCAGATGAGCTTGATAGTCAGTTGCGGGTTTGGATCATCCAGCCGGAACCGGATGATCTGGTAGTAGCTCGTCCAGTCCACTTCCTCGCTCTCATAGCTTGTTTGGCTTGTGACGGCGTAGAATTCGTTCTCGTGAATCGTGAAGCACACCGTGGAGCCGATCTCCGAGCCGTAGAAGCCGCGTAGCTGTAGCGGCTGTGTCGTCACCGGCTTACCCGTGTCCAGGTTGTAGACGCCCAGCAGCCACTCGCGGCGGTTATGGGCGTTTCTGGCCGAGTGTGAGCCCAGGACCAAAAACTGGCCGTTGTTCCTGACGAATAGCTTGTTAGTGGCATGGATCCAAGCACGCATTTTGATCCTGATGGGCTGGTCGATCTTTACAGCGAGAAGACACTGGTCGAGGAGCCCTAAATCACACAACAGAACCACCACGCCGTCAGCGTAGCTCTGGACCTGAATGGACCGGATCGTCGCCGTAACACCTCGGACTTGGAGTCTGGCTGGATCGGTGAAGAGGCCGCTGTCAAAAACCTTCTCAGTGTCTCGACGGGCATTGAAGTTCAAAATGCGAAGAGCGTTCGCAGTCATATAGCATAGAATCCCCGAGTTGTACGAGAAGCTGCTCGCATATCCGATAATACAGGCAGAGTACGGCTCCGCCCGTTGCAAAGCTGACTGAGAGTCGAGGATCCGAGCGAGGGTTTGCCTGGGCCCGTACAAGGCGAGTTGTACCCAAAGATTGTGACGCGATGTCGTCTGATATCGGTCAGCTTAGGGGCCAGGGAGAGAAAAAAAGGGAGAAATGAACCTACCTGTAGGATGTGCTTCGCTGTCTGATGACTCTGCAGATGTTTTCGCAGCGATTTGCACGTCTGGGCCAACTTCTCAAAGGAGCTAATGTCGAGCTTGGTCGCGATCTGATGGAGGATGTCGAAGGGAAGCTGGACGATCCGAGAGGACATGGCCGGCGATAATGGCAGGGCCAGCGGTTAACGGTGATACGATACAGTCGAACCGGGCGATGGACGGACGATGATGGCACACCACACCACACCAGCCAGATCTTTTCTATTCTATCGAGGCCGTTGGAGCTGAAGAAGGAGACGGAGGTCAGGTCGGGGCGCGTGCGTAGGTGCGTGCGTGTAAACGGCCAGCGAGGCGAGGCGAGGCACAGCAGGCAGGCACGGAAACGAAATATCACCACCAAATAGTAAGGAATAATCTTGTACTCGGTGAAGAGGCGGCGGTAACGAGGTGCCTGCGCTCCCGGGCATGATTTCACAGACGGAAAAACTTGCATCTGTGAAATCCCTAGAGTGGAGCAAACCGGCAGGGAGCGCGCTTATTATTACACGCCGGATTTAGGTGGTGAAGGCTTCCGAGGCACTGTTAGGGTGGAGTAGACCTATAACGAGTGCAGTTCCGTACAAATTGCTTTTCTATCCATGATTTCAGTATCTGTCATAGTTGGACATGTCTTCCCTGAAGCCGCTAGAGCTCTTGGAAGTTCCAAGGGCGCAACACCCTACTCTACTTGTCGCGCTCTGGGAGCTGAGTCGGAAAGTGCTCCAACGCACTGGATAGTTCTTCTGTGAGCGACAGACCTCTTGTAGCTGCCCCATAGCAGATAGATTGCAGTCTGTGTCGTTATATCTACCGGTGGCCTCTACGGAGCCCTTCACAGTTTCAATACCAAACGATCGATACACGGAGGGAGTCATTTATCTCCTCTGTCCCTTCTTTCTCTTTACTTCGAGACTCGTCGTCCCCAGTCCAACGCCGTATAGGAACCTACTCCCTTGTCACCGCCGACTGGAAATGGCAAACCAATTCTCTTCTCTTGTGAGGGGGTGGTCGTCGTCTTATAGGCCAGCATAAGGATCACCTGGACCAGTGGCGAAATGAGGTGTTCGAACCACTCCAGAAAGACATGATGCGGAGCGTACATAAAGACACCGAGCTTGCCGCATTAAAGGAAGAACTGGAATGTGTCAAGAAGCGCATTCAGGCGGATGAAATCCGCGTTACACAGAATCTGAAAGAACCCCAAGGTCGCTTCGACGCCGAACACGGTGCTCAACAGGGTGAAGCTGACAAGGAGAGACGTAAGAGACAGTCCGCCGAGCCAAAAAAGAACCAGGGCCAAAGGCCGCCGAAGGACGACGACACCACGACCAATTGAAAGCCGAGCTTTGTGAGTTGGTAGAGTCCTCGGAGGAATTGTACAACGACCTCCACCAAGCCCGGTCGACCCTACAAGGACAGTCGAATTTGTTGATGGATCAAGACCGTGAAATCTCCGAACTTGTTCACAAAGCCGAGATCTTGGGAAGGGATCACGCAATGGTGCAGCAAGAAACTCTCCAACGGCTTATGGCAGCCCGCACGCAGTGCCTCAGGGCTGTGAGTAGTCTGCGCGACCTCGTACAACAAAACCTGGATACGGTCCGCGTGTCGATTGCCTCATCACTCGCCAAGGGGAGCGATCTGCTGCCATCTCAGACAGCTGGCGATAGAGCACCGGATGATTTCTGTGATTGAGACATGGTGAATACCGCCATAGAACTCCTGCGGCACAATAGTGTGTTCCGGCTGTTTGAGACAGAAAGCGCGTGGCACCAGCGGGGCGGCTTTGAGGCGGGATCGTCGAGGATCTGGCTGTCCACGGGGCCAGGCGGTTCTACGGACGTGGGTGCCTTTTACAATTCCGTACTCATCGACCTGGATGAAAGAACTGGGTGCGTCACCGATACTATGAAGGGATGGACGCTAGACGGACTTCTGGAGGCATAGTATGTAGGCAGAATCTGAGGCATAGTAACCGGTGCATTTCTTCTCGAACCGTTCCCCAGTGATCAGATCTGTTAGAAGTGCTTTCAATGAGGTTATGTTCTCTACGAGTGAGTCGGTCAATGCTCATGCAGCTGATCTACGCTCGAACACTGTGTAGCGCCAAAATCGGAGAGGAAGAGAGGCTGGGGACGATTCGTAGAGAAGAGTCAAGGGCCGCCTTCGTGGGAACAGCTACGGGAACGTTGACAGCTCGTCCATCCTTCGATGTTACTCTCATATCCTGCTTAAAGTTTCTGGTGGGCAAGAGTTGGAAATTGCCAGCGCTCGGGAATAAGAGGGTTTTCCCACTCGTCTACCCCGCGACCGTGGGCAACTTTGTGCCCCGACGCTCACAAGCTGCTCTGAAAATCCAAAGATAAACTGACAAGCCTCATCTATCCCGGTGTGTGTGCGTGTGGTAAGAGGCAGGGCGCGTTCTTCCGAAGTAGATTCATGGTCAGCGGCGTCAGCGAAGAGATCTCGTCCGGTTCTCTTTCGATGACACCTCGTGGGACAGGGATCCAGGATAATGTTCTTTTGAGGAAGCGTGTGTCTAGGCACGGTAGGCTCGGTGCCTGTGACCGGTACCTGCGTCAGGGGCGCTGTCTGTCCGGTGCCTGTGTCTTGGATAATGTGTGCTCGGGGTGTGTGCTCGGCGCAAGTGTCGAGGACAACATGTCTTCGAGGTAAGGTGTGCTCGGCGCCTATGACCGGTGCCTGCGTCCAGGGTTATGTGAGCGTGAAGTGGCCAGACGACCGGGGGAAGATGTGTGTTCCTGGAGAGACTACAATTAGTCTATCGTCTCTCCTGTTCTCCTGTCCTAACCACCGCCTCCTCTGTCCCTGTATTGTAGAAGAAACGAAGCCTTAGTGTGCTCCGTGCCTGTGTTCTGGGAAAGGTGAACGCCGCGGAGCGGGCTGGAGATCCTGACACTGGAGGGATCTTTCCTCCCGCTATCGGAGATGAACTGATGTAGACCGTTGTGTTCGTCCGTTCTCTTGAAGGCTATGATGCCTTGACCCTCGAAGGCCATTGGAGACTCCCCTTTCTCTTTAAGATGGTGGTGTCTGTCCCTCTCTTGGCGACCGAGGCGCTTTGTTCCTCGAAGACGTGATTTTCATCCTTGCTCTTGAAGAAGACATACAGCGGAGGCCGTGTGACATAAATGAGATCGCCAGAAGCAGCCTTGTATACCCCACGGGCTCTGGTTTGATCGAAATTGCGTTTGAAGGAGAGCATTTCCATGTGTTCTCACCGAGCCCTATACCCCCGTGTAGTCTCACCGCCATGTCCAGCTCTCTACACCCCGCGCCGGGTGCGACCATCATTCGTGGAAGAGATTTAATATCAAGTTTGGAGTCGATGGGATAAGTTTTGGTTAGGGTGGTCGTGGAGAGGCTGCTGAGATTTGACGCATCTGGTGAGTCTGGGAGGGTGCGACGCCCGCTTTTCCGAGAAGATATCGGACGGCGCGGTCGAGATCCCCTGTGTGAAGGAACGGCACACAGGCCAGTAAAACAAAATTGTAAATCACCTGTGTACTTGGCGGTTAGCCAAGAGGATATCAAGGATCCGTCGACATTCATTTACCGAGAAGATATTCTAAGGATATTGGGCGACGAGGTACTGAGCTCGGGTGTAGAGACGGAACACTCGGTCGTTTACCTCCTCAGTGAGGTGAGGATTTGTTATTGGATAGAGGAGACTTAAAGGTAAGTGAGAGGTGAAGGAAAGGTGAAGGAAAGGCGAGAAGGAAGAGGAGGGTAGAAGGTAGAGGAAGGGAGTTAAGTGTGGTGGGACGGCCCACAGAGCAAGGAGAAAGCTTCAAAGTTGTGTGTTGGTTATGTATATATATTCACAAGAAGGCCAGGTTGAGGAGAGGAAAAGGTGAGAGAGAGAGTTGCAGTGTTGACGTAATGTGAAAACCATCCCGCGGTCGCGCCAAGCCGCCATCTGTTGTGTCAACCAATCGGATCGCTCCGCTCAGCTGCGCGGTATGTCGGTCCGCATCTAGCCATACCTAACTGTGTCTAGACTTTTTCCGATGTTCGCCACCTACCATCCAGACGCAGCGAAGTCTTTCGTCTACAACCCCTCGTTAACTGCCCTTTCCCTCAGTCTGTACCTCTCCTCGGCCTCCTGCTGCTCACCACTGACTTCCTCACACACCAGAACATACTCGGCAACAGGAAGCAACAGACATTCGTGGCTTCAATACATCCTCATCTCCATTCGAAAGACCCCGGAACGTGATCCTCGACGACAAGAGACTGGTGTCCCACAAATGACTTCCTCTTCTGCCTCCTCCTCAAGCGCTATCCTACCTCCTCGGTCAACCACTGACGACGATGTGCCAAGTCCGCCTGATTCCCCTTACCCCTTCTTTGCCACGAAGACCAAGATTTCCATGTCGCCCACTACCGCAGGGAAGCCGACCGTCGATGCACAAATGGAAAAATGGATTGCCCAAAGAATACAGCAGACGAGGAAGAAGGCCAGGGAGGAACAGCGGCGTACTAAAAAAACAAGATCCGTGGGGGCCAGCGAGGGCCACCAGATAATTCTCATTCACTGGATTTACGGCTCGCCTGTGCCCATATTCCAGTATGGGTTCGACGACGGATGTGCGATGACGCCCCGCGAGTTCTGTACAGCTGTCATGCGGACGGTGGCACGCGACCCAAAGCCTGAATTCGTCGTCTTCGATCGGGAACTTCGTCGGTACCTGGACACCAATTTTGATCCCAAGTCCCTTCCCGAGGACGTGATTGTCGAATTATCAGCAAAGTCAGCGGCGGAAAGTTCCCAAAGGCTCCAGCATCCCCCGTAACGTCTGGTGGAGGTGAATCAATCCTGGGGCGGAAAGATCATACCGTAAAAGCGCCGTGTGAGAGGTTGAAAATAACAAAGGAACAAGGCTCATGTAGCGTGCTAGACCAGAACCAGTCCAGAATCCAAGTGGAAGGTGAACCCTATGTCTCGTGTTTCTTTCTGTCTTCTCGTCTGTGAAGGTTCTGAATCCCAGCCAAATCATCGCCCACACCTCCGTGTGCCCTCCTTTTTTTTTACGGCTGGGACTTTCCGGGTTTCCAAACGAGCGCCCGGTTCGTCTGGTCCGATGTTCCTTCGCTTCCTTGTTCGTCTCTGGCTGGACTCGAATGACAACTTCGGAGTTTCTGGTCAGAGACACCTCTTCTCCTTTCGTTGAGAAACCTTGTCAACACGACCCATTGACTGCTTCTTCCCCAAGAAAAGGATTACAATAATCAAAACAGAACAAGAGCAAAGCAGGCGAAAGACGGAACATCGGAAACGGACGATGAATTATCCCAGGCAGACGAGTTGATCGTGTTGAGGGATTTCCAAACTCGAGAGACCTTGTCCGTGCACAGAAATCGAGTCACAAAATCGCTGCAAGTCCCGGAGCCAATAGCTCGGGAAGCCTGTGTACGCAACCGACCATACGCACACACAGAAATTGCCCGTCCTGGAGGCCGGGTTCATCGAATAGATGACACAAAAGCTCGGAACTGCTCCGCCGGAGATGATTTTTGACCATAACCTCGTGGCAACGGGTGCCTTCGCACTGGGGAATCAGATTTGACGCCTTCGGGGCGCTATATCGAGTTGACAAGGCCGGGAAGAGGCGGCTGAGAGTTGCCTACTTTAGAGAATGGGTACAGAGCAGGGAGGACACGCACAGTAGGTGGCCCCCAGGGTTTCGTCGCCAGAGAGATCTCTTCTGAGTAAAACCGTCGGTGCAGGTCTTGGGAACACCATTTTTGATCCGTGTTCTTTGGTCCTGGGCTGCCTGGTCTGGATTGCTGTCGATTGCTCAGCCGGCACGACGACTGGGTAACCGAAGCGACAACGGGGTCAAGAACTGGTTGCATAGCAGCATCAATCGGGGAGAGATGCTTTTATTTCCTGGCCGCTACTGCTATGGCTATGATGGCTACCGCGATAGCTATCACGATCGCTGCCTGCTTGCAGAGTGAACCCGACCCGACTCGGCTCGGCTGGATCGACATATCAGCTCCTTTCACTCTCCGAATACCTAACGGATACACCCGTTCGTACGCATCCTCCCAGCTCTCGTCAACCCAATAGTTAGTCCAGAATTCTTTCATCTTCTGCGGTTTGATAGAAATATCTATCTCCCTCCGAATTGCTGTATCGCCATAGGTTCCTTTAGAGATTTTCAAGAAAGGAAGATTTCTTGATGGTATCTCTCCGAACGCGAAAGTCTCCCGAAAAATCGACTCTGGGACACCAGCAGCATTCCGTTCCCACACCTCCCACAGTATCTTCGTTGCCCCAATCACCTTGGCGGTACCGCACCAAATTACACCGGTTGTCTCGTCTCTTCGGAATTCCTGAGAGACTTCGGTCGATACCGGAGATTTGAATGTTGGCGTTTCGGTCACTTTGATTAGAATAACGCGTTGAATATCAGCGTCATTATTCAAATAGAACGGAGCGAGATATCGGAGCTCTAGGAGAGATTGAGTCTGGTCCACTTCGATAATCGTATGATTTCTCCTATCGCCTATACTCTTTCTCCATCTAATAAATAAGTCGGGTATTTTTTGCGCTGATACGTAGTCTTCTGTGACCATCCTAATAGTTGAACCCTGACTGACCGATATCTTAGACCGGAGAGTGGATGTTAAGTTTGATCGAGTATTATACGCGAGTTGCGAAAGGAATTCAAGGACGGCATGGTGTCTGTTACTTCTCAGAGGTATAATAGTAATCAGAGAGACCGAGCTATCGAAGAAAACCCGAAATAATTTCCTAAGAGATGTCAGCGCGCCGCCAGACGAAGAGAAGTCGAGGATCTTAGGGTAACGTACTGTTCTATACACAGGTCAAAGTTAGAGTCTTCTTGCAGTTTCAACCACGACTCTCGAGAAATGGTGAATTTGATGTGTTCGTCGTCTGGCGTGAGATGAAGTCTACATGAGGCGACGTCTTCTGCGAGTTTCAGCACTTCCTGCAATTGATCAGAGTAAGTGGGTAGTGGAAAACGCGACTGATTGAGTAGTGGCTGAAGATTCGACTGTTGTGGTGATGATGACTGCGGCGCGCAGGACGTGTTACCATCAGAAGAAGAAAGCGAGCCGGGCGCCTGGCCAGGAGCGCTAGGCTTCAGCGCCTTGTTTGAGCGTGAATTCATCCTGTGAAGGCTGTGGCACATATGTCACATCAGATGGTGAAGATAGTAAGGCAGTGCGAGGGCGGACGCGTCTTTTGTGTGCGGAGGCAGTTGTATCCGGTCGAGTACTTTACATATTCATGTATAACAACGGTGGAGCAGGAATCACCTCAAGTGCATAATGCACCAAAGCCTTTGTTGATACTGGAGGCAGATCCACCAAGGCTGCTTTGTTGATCGGACACGGATGCACAGCAGTCTCTGCCTTGATGACACGGTGACTTTGTTGATGGCACTGCGATGTCTGCGAACAGAGCCCCACCAGGGCTTTGTTGACTGCGCATAAATGCAAAGCAATCTCTGCCTTGGTCACAGGGCGCTTTTGCTCGTACCTGCAAGCGACAACCGCTAGGGTCTTTTTTGATTGCGCACGGATGCACAGTAGTCTCTGCCTTGATGGTGAGTGGTCTTTGTTGATGGGACTGCGATGTCTGCAAACAGAGCCCCACCAGGGCTTTGTTGATCGAACACGGATGCACAGCAGACTCTGCCATTATGACAGGGCGTCTTTGTGAATTGCACTGCGATGCCTGCAAACAGACCTAAGTAGGGCTTTATTGACTGCACAGGGATTCACTCTGGCTTGATGACAGGGTGGCTTTGTGGATTGCACTGCGACACACAGCATGCTCTGGCTTGTTCTTGTGCCCCCATCGCGACCTCACCACAGTGACAGTGATACGACCTCACTATGGCCGTGATGCGACCTCACTGTCGACATCACATCAACCGAAGCAACCAAGCAAGCCAACAAGCAAGTCGCCGACTGACCGCCGGACCGCCACACTACAATCTCTCTCTCTCATCTCATCTCTCTATCACCTCTCTATCTTTCTGTCCGTCTTGCTTACTTATCCGTTCGCTTGTTTGTGGTCTGTTGTAGGAGTCGGAGTAGAAGTCCGAGTCTTAGTCTGTCTTTTCTCTCGCCCTTCTCTCTCTCTGCCTCTCTTGTCTCGGGTTGCTTTGTTGGGGTTACCCTGTTGGAACTCCGACCAGAGCCGAGCGAGCTAACGAGCCATCCAGCAAGCAAACCAGTCATGGGCATGATGGTAACAACATAAACATGAACATGAATATGAATGTGGACGAGGATAAGAACCGAGACATGAACAAGGATAAGGACAACAGGGTCGTGTTAGGTCAGGTTAGATCGGGCGTCCCGCCACGATCGAGTTTGAGCGGAGTGAAGCGCAGAGGGAAGAGAGCAGGGAGAGTAAGGTAAGAAAAAGCAAGGCAAGGCAGGCCTGGCCTCGCGTGTCGGCCGGAGCTGCGAGGGGAGGCGGGGGTGCGAACGAACGGGGCTTCGTCTTCGTCAGCCGCACCAGCACCAGCATACCGGTGGTGGCGGATGCTCGTCCTCTCTTGCCATCCCCCTTCGCCGAGCGACCGGTTAAGCCGCGCGTATTCTCATACTTGTCCGAGACAAACAAGTGGACGTGTCTGCCCTTCTCGAGAAAATGGGCCGACCCAACAAATGTTTCCCCAAGACAACCCATTCAAGCTCTTTTTTTTTTTCTCAAATTTCTTGGTGAAGAGCCGCTGTGACCGCCCGCTGACGGACACGACGACGGTTGCCTCTTCGTGTCACACGCTTCGATTTGGAGAAAGCTTCTGCTTCAAGATCTTCTCTCTCGTCCTGTAGGACCCGCCGCCAGTAGCAAGCTGGAGCAACCACCACATCGGCCGCTTCATTCTTCGGCGCGGTTCTGCTGTTATTCCGGGCACTGCTTGCTCTTTTTGTACCTTGTATTTGGGATCATGTCGATGGGTTCGGGGAAACACGCGGCTTGTAGGGATGGATGGGCGTGAAACGAAGAGAGAACGAAAAACAGGGAGAGAGAGTGTGTGTGGTCATCGGTACCAGTCGTCGCCATTCTACAGTCTCTCTCGACATGATGGTTCTTCATCTCGTGGCTGTCCAGGATCCAGACCGAGCCTCTTGCCAGAAAGGGACAGTCAACATCTCGTCCTTCATGGACCTTCCCATCGCATACACTCGGACTTTGATGATTGCGGATTCTCGCTTCTTGAGAGGGGTATTGGCGGAAACGACTGTGAGAGTAACGACCCAATCGCGCATAGTACCATATCGGTAAGCATTTACGCCCGAGCAGCCTGTGCCAACCACTGCCCCAATCTTCGCCCCCGGGCCTGGATCTGGTGGAAAAAACATGCCATATCCTTTGGCCCCTTCATCAAGGTCTTCCCAGCCCAGAACAGATAGTACGACAATATCAAATCCTTGCGGCCGGAATTCCAAGATCTTATCCATTCGTGCCATATCTATACATATTCCTCGTGTGGGTGCAAAGCGGCCTTCGAGACTGGTACCGCCTGGGCGCGCTGACCCGGGGATCTTTCGTTCGTGGAACACCTTCATGATCTTCGAAACTTCTTCAGTGGTCGCAGGATATGCAATGGCAAAAGGCCGTTCATTAGGTTTCGTCGTGTAGGAAGAAAATTCGAAACTAGAGTGCATGTCCAGGTCGTCGGGGACGGTCGGCACATTATCCTTGAGTATCCCGTAGATCAGGGTGGTTGATCAAGACCATTTTGATCTCTCCTGTAGTTCTTTCGGTAGGAGTCGTCTGTATTTTTATTGATGTCGGATTGGCTCGTTCTGTCAGAGCTCGCAAGACTGTGCGAATTGAACGCCTCCGTTTCTGGCCATTCATTTGAGACACATAGTCAAATCGTTTCCGCATTGCCCGGTCAAGTAAAGAGATTGCAAGCAACTCCACGACTGGCTAGTCTTTCAGCGACAGTCCGTTGCCAATTCTGCCTCGTTGCGTGGTTTCGGGGAGGTCCTCTCATCAGAACGGCGCCCCATCCCCAGGTGCTAGCATCAAGTCCAAGAACGATCGACCCAGCGCCTTCGTCATAATCAATGCCAACGAGCCGAGGTGCCGTTATCAAGGCGATCTTCAAAGCTTCCATTGCACCACACTCCTGTTGTGGAGCCAAAGTGATGAAATCTCCGCGGCGCAAATGTGCGTGCTAAAAGGTGCCGTTGTGTCACTCGCTAAACCTTCCTGATGAAAGATTAGAGTACACTCGGCTGACCTTCTTTATCAGTCTAAGACTTGTTCTCCCGATTCCCATGGAACTCCCTTGTTCAACAATCATTCAAACACACAAACGCGAAATGCACATCCTTCACTCCAGATCCGATGGTAAGCGTAAATACCCAGAGAGCCTTTTCTGACATACCACTATTCTGCTAAATATCTGCGTCAGGTGTTTTACCGGTTTGGACAGGTCTCACCCGTCTTCATAGTGTAGCTTCCACCATTTCCTCAACTCCGTGGTCCGAGTCAGGTCTTGCAGACATAGCCGAACCTTGTGAGCGGGACCCCGACGCTCTTCCGTGTCAATCTCGTACACTGTACGAATTGAAGTAAGGATGGGAAAAGAGCTGTATTGCTCAACAGGTCGTGTCCGAAGCCTGGGTATGATAGCCTCAGATCAAGGTGCAGGAGGCTGTTGTCAAGTTTCCCGTAGTGACACATAAACGTTCGATTGTTCAAGGCAATGAAAGACCACACCGTGGAAGTCACTTGTAATGCTTCCACGGTGCTGGGCTGAGAAGTTTGGACCTGATGAATTTGCGAGAGAAAATTGGGTGAAACGAAATTTCACCGGCAGCCGAGTCACCTGCTCATTCCCACGTGTGCTGGAAGGTTTTCTATCGCAACCTACGTCGATCCTCGGCGCTTTCTGCCGACTTTTCATTCGAATAAGTCAAAACTAAGTGCCACTCATCTCTTCAAGTTCGTGACAAAAGTACATCGTACCACCGTCGGAAGACTGGTGCATTTGCCATGGTCCCCCACTGCTCGTCACGACCCTGACGCGATCGCCGTCGTCCATCTCCAAGTAACGATCCCAAACCGCCGTATCCGTAAGAGCTTGGTGGAGGCGGCCGATTTCTCCTTCGAAAGAAAGACGGTCTGGGGAGCGCGACGGAGTCGTACCAAACTTGAACGACTGCATCTTCCCGTCAACTGAAATATCGCCCTGCCATTCACCCTCTTTCAGCAACACCCAGCGACAGAGATATCCAGTGACTTGCGTCACAAGGGTGGATGCGTTCAGCACCGCTACCCGCTCTCCTATGCATGCAATAGGGTAGATCAGGCGATAGTGCTCAATCATACTGTACTCTCGGCATGATAGAGCCCACAACAACAGTGCCACCTTAAGTTCTTTCCACACCCTGAAGCCTTCCGTGTTGGTGAAACCTTGTCGACCCATACAATGGTACATCAACATCACCATTTCTTCCAGGCGGAACTCGTGCTGCGGACCCTCGAATTGGTTGCGATATGTAGAATCGCTCGCGGTCAGCGACGTGATCCATTCGGCATCGGTAACTCGAACCATAAGCCTTTCCCCGTCTGAGAAGAGGATCAGCCGCTGTTGAGATCGGTTGTACGGGCCCCAGTCAGCCGGCAATGAAGCAGGCAGCTGCTGGATGACGTTTTCAAAGGAGGCATCTTGAAGGGACAATGATTTGTATTCTGGCAATTTGGTATCGTTCTCTGCTGGTTGCTGTGGACGGGGTGCCGTCATGGTTGGAGGTAGATAATGTTCAGTGGTAGTTAAGAGTTGACTTGGCTGCAGCTTGTGTCTGAACGGTTGATCAGGCCGTTGGCTGCTTTATATGTGTCTTCTCGGCATAGATGCCTCGAAATACAGGACCTGCGACTCAGAGCCCCTTTCTGAAAAAAATACGAAGGCGATCAGAGAGCAAAAGCCCCTGAACTCGGCGTATATTGTGGATCTAGACTGGAGTGGATCCTTGCGTTGAGTACTATTGCATCACGGTCAAAGATCGAATCGATGTGAACAGCCTCAGCAGGCAATGAATTGATGAAATTGCAATAGGAAGGACCATCTGGAAGGTTGGGGCTTCTGTGCCCGGCCAATGTCCCAAGTGGAATTGCTGGCAAGAGATCTGATCCCAACCAGGGGTAGTCCCTCAGGCATCAGGTTGATCTGCGACACTGACCAGGATCTGGAATGCCACAGTTTCGCCTGTTCTTGTCCAACACCAGTGGGGCCTTCAAGGGTAAGGTAGGGGGTAATTGGAGGAGGAATGACAGGGTTTCAGGCCATGCAGGAGTCGCTTTGAGGGTCCTGTCATCGAATGAGTTGATTCCACAGTTTCCATGACCAGTTTGCAGAGATCCTTTTACAGGGCTCTTCAGGGGTGAATTACAGACCCCAAAACAAGGAGATTGAGGCTGTTTTTACAGTGTTCATAATGCTATTGGTGGAAGGCTAGTTGGTGGCGGCGACGAGGTGGAAGCAAGATCAGGACCGGAAGAACTAAGGTCAAGATCCGGGGCGGCCACATTATGGGTCTTTTCGCGAACCAATCGATAAGCTCCGATCAGGCCCAGCCAATCGGCTCGTACCCTGTCAGTAAAGTTTACCGGTAATACCATCTCTGTCAGTTTTGCCGGCAAAAACAGCTCAGCAAACGCTTCGCTTCGCTGGATGATACGTCAACAGAAAGGCTGGAAAAGCAGAACGTCAAGTATTGCCACGAATCGGAAATTAAAACAAGGTGTGTGGCCCATTCTTTCATGAGTCGTGCTCTTAATTTGACTGCACACATCTTCCAAATTCATTTTGGCCCTGCTCTACACGACGAAGGATGATGGGGAACGTGGGTGGCACTGGCAGGGCACTTCGGAGACAGAGGAATATGGACCATCCAAACCCCTGACGCTATGGAAACCTTTTCCGGCCAGATCGATCAACGCTTTCGCCTTTGACTGTATGTGGACTGGCGCGTGTGCTGGGTGCTTTCTATCAAACGCCATCTGCACCTCGCCTGCATGAGGGTGGAGTAGGTCTCCCTGCAGTTTCAATGAAGCCAGGAACTCTTGAAATCTCCCCCAGGTCGGGCGCAATCACATAAGGACTGGCTTTCCTCAATGGCGTGGTCCTTTCACCGCTGCTTTTCTCCTTTTCCGTGACCATTGTTACTCACCGGTCAGCCAACTCACCATGGTCGACCGTAGCTTTGTTTTGGTTGTCCCAAATTTTGTCGTGGCTTTCGCGTTAGCCTTGGCCTCCGTTGGTCCCATTCGATCTCGCCTGATCAGCAAGGCCAAGTTTGATCTCTTCATCGGTCCACTCAATACCGTTGTTCAGCTATTCTTCGCGCTGAGCCTGATGGCGTTGGTCAGTCCGAATGTATCCCAGAAGACCGAGACAACCATTGTCGAACGTGCGGCCCTCTTCGTCCAAAGCACATTGCAGGTGTGTCTATTACTGGGTTCGCCTGCACCTCGATACTAATACTGTGCATAGGTTGGTCGTTTGATCTACCTCATAGTGGAATGCTGTGTCACGAAGCTTTGGATTAGAGCGCTGGTGTGGGTGTCCTGGCTCACTGTCAGCGTCGGAACTTTTGTTCTCTCGGTCGTCTTGTGAGTGGTCCGCCATTGGCCTGTCGCCGAGCCTGACGAGCAGTCCTCTCCGGTCAATTGAATTATGGGGATCCATCTCCTTCTCAGCCTGCATTGCTGTCAACGGCCTGGTCACGATATGGTTGGTTATGCGAGTGTTGTGGAAAATCCAGAAAAGGACTCCAAAAACTTGGAATCCGCTACGCCAGGCCATCCCGAGCCAGAACCTCGTCTACTTCGAAATCCTCCGCTCTGTTGTCGATATTGTGTTCGCCGTCGTCCCAGCACGCGAGCTGTGGTCATACAACGATTGGGTGCCCTACTACGCCGTAAGTTGCTCGCGACTCGTCGGTGGGTTGTTTCTGACGATTCGACAGTTGCAGATCCTTATCTCGACCATCCTGAGGGCCTTGGGTACTGTCCCCCAACTTCTACGCTTCTGGCTAGGTGTCAAAGCGGTGCCCAATCCTTCATCCGGCGAAAGAGGCGCGATCAGAGATCAGCGGGCCACAGGAAAGGAAAGTGGATGTGAGCTGGGCACCGGCACCGGTCTGAAGACCAAAAGCACGGCAGCGGACAAAGTTCCGCTAAAGCAGGCCATCAGTTTGCAAATGCTGCCTAGGAAGAGTGAAATGGACATCACGAACGTCTCGACCAGTCCGGCACAGTCAGGGTTTCCATCCGAAGTTCATCGTGAGATATAAGAAGCCCTCCCTTTCCGTCCTATTCCGCAGCGCTCAGTCTGGTGAAACCAACTGGACTTCTGCGCCCACTTGGAATGCGACGCTCACAACGTGGGTCAGAAAAGTTCTAGTATTCCTGAACTCAAACCTGTCACGGTCGGGGACAACCACAACGTCTACCAAAAAGCAGTCAGGAAAAATGATAGATATATATAGATATTCACCGTCTCAAGTCCCACGCACGCGCTTGATTGATCCGCGTAGGATCGATCACTACCACGCACTGCTCCCCTTCTACTTTTTTTCGTCCCGGGAGCTCTCGGATGGTCCAGCTCTAGAAGCACGATGCTGACAAGGTGCAGCCACGGAAAATGCACGGCCGTCGTCGAAAAGGTATTGTAACCCACCGGCGGCTTTCCCCCTTGCTCTCAAATTGCATCATGATGAAGTTAAATCAAAATGTTTGAATTGATCGTTTTCTAAAATAGACTGTGAAGCATGAGAACGTTGGAGACCCGCGAAAGGGTGAGGTGGTGGTGGAGGACCGTTCCTTTATCTTCTTAGAGCTATGCTGGGAGGACGATACAAATTGTCGATGGCAAAGAGGACGTTTTACTGTAGCGTTGGGGGATTGTATTGAAAAGGACACAGTGGATAAAAGATAATACGGGCTCACAGCAGTTTCATCCAACGAAGCATCGGCTGAACTAGTATTGCCGGCTTTTCTGGAGACTGGCTATTGATAGCAGTAGTAACGTGACTCGGCCGGATGTTACTTATTCCATGCCTAATCGGCCCTTGGACTTTATTTCCCTCTCATCGCAGCTACCGCCGTTTCCAAGTCAGCTTTCATTTACAACCCCGTCACCACGACATCACATCCTCATTCAGCAGTCTCGTCATGCTCGTTTAGTGCCTGCAGTCCGTTTGTGGTAATTCTCCCAAGAAAAGCCCTGCGAGCTGAGTCGAGGAACTGCAGAACTAACTGTGTCATAGGCCTCTCAAATCGCTTGCAGCCAGCCTACGATCTTCTCCTCCACTCGAATCAATCCGTGGCCCTCGAAGATCCTGCTGTCGTTGGACAGAAGAGGAAGAACCGTTGCATCACAGACCCAAGTCAGCCTCGCAGTTAAAGTCGGCGTGGTGAAACCCAGTGGGTAGTCATCCGTCGCGGCCAGTCGAGCATAGGTCTCCATGATTGCCAGCACAATACCTATTTGGCTCCAATACCTCTACGCTTTGTGAGCGGCGATGGCGACATCTCTGGTTCCCAGCAGGGAATCCTCAGGGCCGCCCCCAGGACCACCTGCCGGCCCACTGGATTCTTCAGAAGACCCTCCTCGTTTCAATGACGCCTTAAGGAAACCTCAGCTGGTTCATGCCTCACAGTCCATTTTTCAGATAGTCGATTCACGAGCTCTCTTCTTCATGTTGAACTCCACAGCTTCACCACCACTTCTGCCGTTGCGGCAAATCTCTCTGCCGAACGTCCGAGGTGCCGTTCTATTCAGTTGTGACTCGTGCAGCAATTTCACCGTCGAGGTATTACTAACTGAGCCCGATGCATTCTTTCTATTGGACGAACCGACAACAGTCTCTCCCCGAGACCTCTTTGACATGACGCTGTCCGGCCCCTCAGAGGAAAGTGATACATTCCCTCTACAATCGCCCTTATGGGAATGCCTACCACTACCATCCCATAAGTCTCCCACTACATCGAGTGCAGACCAAGCGAGAATCGATCAAGGGGCAACCGTGCCGTCATGGCCGATTCCCAGACCTACGCGGGCGAGGGTCGCCCAGAAGACAGCCTCGGGTCCCTTCGGCTGTTCACGGCCCGAGTGCTTGGGTGGCCGGACTTTCCCCAGTCCACGGGGTCTGCAGCGACACGAAAAAGCGAAACATGGCCCACGACTGTATCAGTGCTATTGTGGGAAGGCGTTCGCCCGGAAAGACCATTTGCAACAGCACGCGCGAGGCCGCCATAGGCCGCGCCGGGGAGGCGACCGGAAAAGACCGTGATTCACTGGGTAGCATTTTACTGTACTTTCAGCTGATCAACCAAAAGTATCAATCCTTGAAGAAGAGAATCCTGTCTGGCGCTTCGAGGCGGGTCTTAATAGGGGTTTCCGGGACGGGGAAGTTCTGCAGGTTTTAGATCGAGGAATTCGGCATTGTCAGAGCCTGGCTTCGATCGAAGACTGGGAGGATAGCTGGGGAAAGGCAAGGAGAAGGTGTTCCTCAGGAAATTGGTCAGACAGCTCAAGGACAAGAACATTTACATCATGTACCTCAATCACATAACATGGCACGTACAATACATGAGCGAGGCTACCTTAGTGCTATCTGTTCTCGTGCCACCCTCGTTGACTGCCGAAAAGGAATATAAAAGCTACCGTTCCGACACACTTTCCCACATCTCCTTCATTGCTTACCAGGCTTGCCTACCCGACGAACAAGCAGGAGCTGTCACCATGGCCCACGTCCACCGCCCTGCCTTCGAAGTGGTGCCATTAAAGAGACAGGGAAGCCGTCAATGACCAAAAGCGTGAAGGTGTTAGGAAAATGTAGCACAGTAACATCGTCTGTTTCCTTGCTGCATTTTAAGAAGAATCCTGAATCTAACTTGTTGGTGAATCGGTCTGGATCTCTTGGAGTGAGGTATAAGGCTGTCCGTACGGACTCTTAAGGAGTTTGAGCTCGCATTGGTCTGTGAGTAGGTCTGTATTGCCGGAGTTGCCCGACGAACGGCTGACTTGTCAAAGGTTTTGAAGGACTCGGTTTTCTCCTTTGAGAATTGGTGGCGTGTCCTGTCGCGCTCAGCACGTCCTTGTACTGGTGCGAGATTTTTGGGTGACGGGCATGCTCTTGTGAAAATCTCCAATATGTGTTCGCTGTCTTTCTCCTCGATGTTGAAGTCGAGGCCAGTCTCAATTTGGAGGCAATCCAAGGGAACTCTAGCAGTTGCGTAGTATCGAGAACGGCGTTCGTCGAGGGGGCTTTCGTGCTCGTCATCCATTTCGTCGTCACTGTACCCGTGAGCCATTTCAAACGATCTGGCGTTCTTGCCAGCCAAACTTCGGAGACCGTCAAATACCTGCCCTCCCCCATGTGGTCAGCTTCCAAGGTTCATACTTTGGATAGGCCGATCAACAATCCTGGCATCCTTCGTCTTGGAGGGGAAGTTGAGCCTCGTATGTTCGAGACCGCAGACAATTGCCAAGGCCGGCTTGCAGTAATAAGACTTGCCCTGCGCAGTCTCTTGTCACGTGTCACACAATAATGTTCAATGGTCTTATTTGCAGCACTCAGGCCGGACTGTCGACCATGGGCCACGAAAATCCTCTGCTGTTCCTCAATAGCGATCTATTCTCCAGATAACTGTCACCAATTTGCCAAACATCCCAGCCATCCAGTCTCACCCTCTGTCCTAGTAAGGATCCCCATTCAACCCAAGAATCAATACCGATAACGCTGACGCAGAGGGATCGGTCCAGCCGGGCGTTTTCGTAATGGTCATGGAGCTCGAGACCTGCTCAAGTGTGTTCGACGACCTGTCCCGCAAAGTCTTTGGCAAGCCAAACGAGCCCAGGACGATGATCGCTTCATTGAATCAAGTTCTCAATTCTTGGACCACCGATGGTGTGCACGACCCGGAGGTTTTCGAGGGTGTTCTGAAAACTGTTTTCGGCAATGACAAGCGCTTTTTCGGTGCTCCATCTGGTCCTGTCTCTGGGTATGGCCGTGGGGTGGTCGCGAGTTGTATTGCCCACCCCGTGGAACCGAGCAAATCGGGAAATACCCGGTTTCGGAACTTTCTCCTGCACGGCTTCATCCATAGTCTGTTGCGATTCGGAGAGACTCTAGGTCTTGAGAAATCCCGAGATCAATATCTGCAATGGGTGTCGGCGCTACCGCAAAAATGTACATTTCCACGTGTGAGACTTGTCCGAGAACGTTTGCGTCTACATGAAGTCCCGAGCGATGGCTCAACAAACTCTCAGCGGGATTCCAGCCATCATGAAATGGTTGATCAAGCAGCAGAAGCCCAATTTGCCTTGTGAAAGTCAACTCCATGCGATACCGGGTCTCGTTCGCTGCTCCTCTTGCGGCTTGCGCGCAAGGACCCTACACAAGTGTACCATGTTGAGAGCTGGTCTCACTCTGGCGAAATAGACTTTGCCAGCTGCTGCAGGTACTCCACAGTCAGTGCCAGTGTTATGCGCAAAGGTCTGTCACCTTATCGTGTGTCCAGGTGGATAATTTGGCTCAACGAACGTGTTGGACTCGAATTGTATGTCAGGATTTTGGCTCATCAATGAGGAATCAGATTCAAGGTTAGCCTCCTGCGTAATGGAACCCATGGCATAGCGCATTTGGGCCGCAAAAGAGCGTCGTGCTGCTTCTTGCTCCCTTCCCCGAGCATTCCATGCTGTTCTCCCGGCCGAGGATACCGTAGAGCTCAAGCGTCTAGATCCTTTTGAGAATTGCGCGATTGACTGCTCCCCTCTCAGCATCGTGCGGGCTCGCGACTTGATCTTGGAAGACTTCTTTGAGCCGAACCAGGAAGATGCGTAAGTACAATGACCTTTTCTGAGTCAGTGAAATTATCAAAAGCGTGTTCACCATACTCATGATAACCTTGCTGCATTCATGCCTCGTTTCTGAGGTGTTACACCGCACAGCGACATTCCTCAGAGGCTGGAGGAATTATTTATCGCTCGGTGCACACGGTGTCAAATGATGCAGAGTCGGATCACGGTAGCCAGTTCGACGGAAACAGCGCACACGTCGCTGACCACTTGTACACCCATGATTCCCCTTTCCTTGACCCCTATCAGTGACCAGGATCCTCACACCCACGTCCTCTCCCAAGGTCGCCTTCAAAATGCCCTCAACACTCCGAGACTGCCACGAGATGATATTATTTTAAACACATCCTGCCCTGCACGTACGGGGCCCCGAATGTTTCGATTCATCGCACCAGGTCAATGCCAGGAGTCGATTTGCCGATAATCAGGCATATGGCTCGGACGTTCGCAAATGCCTCTACCATTATTGCGGCCACGCCTATCCTACCGGCGAAATATCTAAATACAGGAACCCTGGTCAGATCGAGATCCCCGCCAAATTCGCATGCGTCCGACTTCTTCTACATGCCGTTGAATACGGCCTGCAGCTCGAACGTCCTGACAACGCTCATATCTGTCAAACAGGGAGCCTCCAAGTCCGAACACAGTCCCGATTCGGTCTGGGCGGTGGAAATGTCTTTAATAATACCACCGGCGGATCGTGTCCTGAACAAACTCGGATGAGATCGATTGCGAGGGGTTGGCGGCTCATCACTACGCAGAGACCATCGAGAGTCAGAGCCGGGTCGACCGCGACCAGAATCGGGCGACCTATGTTTACTACAAATCTGGACCAGTCCAACAAAACCAAATCGCGAGGGCATCGTGAATCGTGCAAGAATGGATGGCTACTCCCAGAGTTCCGTTCCAGCGACCAAACACAAGGAGTGTCTAAGAGTCAAATACCTTTGTCCTCGAGCTGGTCACACGCCAGGTCCGACAAACTCCCTTCGCTCCAAAGAAACAATCATATTCAATCACTTTGGTCCTACATTCATTATGGCATGTGATATGTTCTTTTTCTCCCTTTTCCTGTTTCATCTGGCGGCACGACCAGGCATCCGGTTTTACAAACTGGATATCTACGGACGTGGCAAACTGCGTACCAGGTTTTGCAGGCGATGGATCTCTGCTGTCTGACGGCGAATAAGCTCCTCTTTCCGCATCAGCTCATCCCGAAGATGCTGGATCACCCGGCCCTCGGCGCTTCCCCCAATGCCATCAATCGTATCCCTCGGTGCCACCTCGCTGCCTAGAAGCTTCTGTTGCTGCTGCACCAGCCCCTGTACTTCTGTCGCCGTCGAGATCTTTCTCGGCCGTTTCTTGGGCTGAGGTGGGCTCGTCGCCGCTGTAAGCTTTGCGGCAGGCTGCGAAATCGCTTCGTGTTGCGCTGGCGGTTCATGGTCTGACAACTCCTGCGGGTGTTTCCGGCGCTTGTGCTGCTCGAGGTTTTCCTTCCTGGCAAATCCCGTGCCCGAACTCCGGTTGCAGTTGGGGAACGGACAGAAGAGTGGCGGCTTGATGGACAGATGCATCTTGTGCACTTCCCTTTGGTGCCTTAGGAGCCCGCCTGAGTAGGTGAATCCGGGACGCAACTCGCAGCCGGCCTCCCCACACTTGTATGGCCTCTCGTGTTTGTCCATGTGTTTGTCCCACCGGCAGGGGTTCTCGAACGTCTCGTTCCTGCCCCGACAGTCGATGTGGTCGCAGATTATCAGGCCCTGATCGTTGCGAGGCGGTGATGCAGTGCGATGATAAGGCCTTGGGATCGTGACCGATGGGTCGGGCAGCGAGGGGACCACTTCCTCGGCCATGACGGCGACGTGCACTTTCTTCTGGTCGGGCGGGATGGTGGATATCGATGTGTCCACCTCTTCTATCCAACGTCAGCAGGTCTTCCAGGGCCAGAGATTGATCAGTGTGCAGGAGGGAGGAGAAGGTTTCAGACTAATCACGTGTGATTTGAAAGGTCCTGGAATCCGTCAGTTTAATTTCCACATTCCATAACTTAATCTGCAGGGGAGAGAGGCTATTCACAGATGATTTCAACACCAAAGAACGAAGATTTGGGTCGTTTAATGAACAGCTTGATGTTGTTGAGATAATGTTGTTGATGAAGTTATTCAGATGAAGTTGTTGGAACATTAAGTGCGTGCAAAAAGGTGCTGCAGTGCTACTCGCTAAACCATCCTAATAGAGAATCAGGGCACACTCGACTGACCTTTACTAGTCAGTCTAACAGTAAGCATGGCCCAATCAGTTGAACAGGAGAGATAGGTATCGTTTCGTGGTCTCGTTCTCCTAAGGCTCCAACCCTCCCCGCCTAAATAATATCGTTGAGATCGCACTTACTGAATCTTGCCAGAAAGGAGTCAGTGGGTAGCCCGGCTCTGGTGGTGCGGCTAGGAGATATTGATCAAGAACGTCAATACCAGCTTTCATTCTACTACCCTCTAACAAGATCAAACCGTGAAGTCAACGTCCACGGTGAAGAGAAAAGCAAAGAACGGTCCTCTGAAATCAGCCAAGTCGCCTTTGGCTACCACCTCTCCCAAACAGACTGCTCACAAATCCTCGCTTTCGAGCTGATAGTCACCCAGTGGTAGTAACAGCGCGAGTGGTATGTCTCGTTCTGCGGTCACAGGCCTGTCCAAGTCATTGAAACCTCAAAATCATCAGCAACTAGGGCTGAGTGCTGGCGTCCGACATGTTTTCCGAGCCATTTATTGAAAGATTGACGGCCATTGTTACATCATCAGTACTTTCGGGCAAAGATGCGGTGTGATGTAGACGTGGCTGGGGTGTCATGGCTCCGAGGTCCTGGTCTTCGGTGTGTTGCCCATTGATTGGAGACAAAGAGCGAGAGTCGCGGCAATAGCATTGAAATGAACTCCCCAGATCCCGTGGGCATCTGCAGTGAATGTTGCCCTCCATGATGTGCAGAGCGCCAGCAACGAGGTGAGGTGAGCACTACGTCGAGCAGTAAGTCAGTATGAGTTCGAGGATCCGAATCAAGGATAGGCGTCGACTGGCTCAGCTCACACACGGAACAATGTGGAGGGAAAATAGTCCGCCAATTTCTAGATCTTATGGGCCAACAATCCGACAAGATCTCTCAATGGCCCCGGAGCGTCGCTGTTATTATCAACGAACGAATACGCGGTTAAGACGATGACAATAATCCTATGAATCTCTTCTCCTCGAGGGTGATTGATATAGATGGAGCAGCCACTTTGGTTCGGCAAAAGCCTGTCGTCCATACACGGCTGTGAAGGTTGTCGTGATTCTCTGGTGCCTCTTGTTACCGCATGCGGCGTGAGAATGCAATGGCGGCGAACGAAATAAAGGAGCAATTCTGGACCTTTACCGGCTGGGCGCCATACACACAAGTGACGGAAACAATATCCACCCGATGGAGCAGACTTTGGCATCTACTCATTCCAGGGCACCTTATCACGGGAAAACTCGACCCGCAACCACGCCAGAGGATACTCACAGCCAATCGAACGTGGATGCAGCGGCCGCTGCTGCCTAGAGCGGTGAGGGCCATCACCCCGGCACACACGACTGGGGCGCCGTTGCTCACTCCCGAGCGGGAAGGGCACAGTAGGGCCAGCTGGGCATGACTTTAGGCGCCACTCTGTCTTCGCTGTACTTTTATCTTTAAGCCTCGCGTGCGTCCTTCCAGCTCACCTTTTTTCTTCACACAGCCTTACTCACGAAACTACACTCTGGGTCAATTCTTGATTGACTTCTTCTCCTTTCTATCGCTTGCACGACCTCAAGCTTCTGGAGAAACCACCATGTCCACCGCTGCACGACGCCGCTTGATGAGGGACTTCAAGGTACGCAGTTCCTTGATAGCCGGCGTAATGGATATGGGACTGCAACTCGGAACACAATCTCTTCCAGATGCTAACCCCTGTTCTTCTGTAGCGTATGCAGACAGATCCTCCCACCGGCGTGTCAGCCTCTCCCCTCGCCGACAATGTCATGACTTGGTAAATCACCCTGCCTCTCACCATCTATTCCACCTGTCTCTCCTCAGAACAGCCTTTCTCACAGAAACACTTAGGAATGCCTTGATTATTGGCCCTACAGATACCCCCTTCGAAGACGGCACGTTCCAACTCGTCATACAATTCGAAGAAACTTACCCCAATAAGTCTCCCGAGGTGAAATTCGTGTCACAAATGTTCCACCCCAACGTATACGGCACGGGCGAGCTGTGCCTGGATATCCTACACAACCGATGGTCCCCCACATACGACGTCGCAGCGCTCTTGACCTCGATCCAGAGCCTGTTGAACGACCCTAACACCGGCTCTCCGGCCAACGTCGAAGCGAGCCATCTGTACAATGAGAACCGGAAGGAGTACACCAAGAGAGTGAGGGAGATCGTGGAAAAGAGCTGGGAAGATTGAAAGAGCGAGTGGCAAAACAATCTGAAAGTCTCCGAACAGTTCCCTGTACACAGCTCCCTTTCCTTTTCCTTTGCAGCGACTTCATCATAGATCACCCGCCCTCACTCACCTTTTTTGTCCTCGCGCTAAATATTGATCCTCAGTGGCCGTCCAGCATCACTCATCTCGGAGTCTAGTACGCGAGTCTATGGGCGTTCTCTTACCTACCTGTTGGCGACCTGAAAATTGCCCCTCTAGCATCCCGCAAAGGCGACCCTCCTGCTCAGTGCTCTGGGTCCCGAAAGTCTGTCACGGATGTCTGTCCCTCTTGCAGCCTGCCCGACCGTTCTTGTTCTCGTTCTTGTTCTCGTTCTCGTTCTCGTTCCCGTTCTCGTTTCCGTTCTCGTTCTCGTTCCCGTTCTTGTGTCTGATCCTTCCACAGCCTCGCGGCCCCCGAACCATTTCCAAGTATCCCCTAACCCTCACCTACATGGTCCGCTCCCGTAAGCCACCCAAGGCGGACGAGCTGCGGCTTGAGGCTACAACAGAGGCACCTACGAGGAGAGGACAAAATCCGCAAGCAAGGGATTTATAACAGCACGACAAACAAGAATCAGGATCCGACTCTATGTCGCTCTGTCATGTACGACCCTCCTCCCATTCGCTCTATGCTCCTTCTCTTCCTCCTGTGTGGGTGTACCTCGAATGGAGGTATGTCTCTTCATCCCTGAACGTGGCCGCCTCGCCCGGTGAATGTGCCGGAAAGAGTCACTGTCCCCGAAATCGATGTGGCATGCCCTGACTGACCTCCACACCTTGTGTAGCCGAGACTTCTCGGTTCTCTATCTCCCAGGCCTCAACCCTCGCGAGGGGAGGTGCCCGGTAGTATCATGCCAAAGGACGATGGACGAGTAAGTTTAACCTGCTCAACAAGTCCTGTATTTCACTGACGAGCGCCAGTTTTCCAGATTGACGAGATGTGCAAACCTCCTTCCAAAGGATTGCAATCGACCGATCCCCTCGCGCGCCGACTTCCAAAGTCTAGTGAATGGAATGTCGACCAGTGATGCTTTTCCATTCACTAGCTTTGACAGTACGGCTCCCCAACTTTGAATCTTGCAAAGCTTGCAGAATTCTTCTTCTTTCTTTCCTTGATTCAATCTCACAGCTCGCTCTCTCGACCTCGTGTACTCATCGCTTTTCGATGCTGCTGGGTTGTCCCTACCAGATCTCGATGCATTCTCATTCTCATCCCTGACGATAAAGACACCTTTGCTCTATCTATTGCCGCAGTCTGAGGTAGAGCCCGATGAAGAGGATTGTCTTGTCTCGAAGGGCTCGGATGAAGCCACCGGTGTACAAAAGGTGAGAAGTTGGCAAATCCATCTAGGATGTGAAAATTTCAAAGTCACATGGCTGAGTGAGCGATGGACTGGGTGGCCTCACCCTCGTTGGAACATGCGTTGGCCCCACTCCCAGTGAATACATCTCTCATCCTATTCACATATATTTTGGATTTCCAGAATTTGTTCCCAAGCCGATGAAGGATCCCGTCGGAAAGTCGAACACAAATCTGTGTCTCTTTCCCACCGAGTTCAACATACATACAGTGACCGCACGAAGTACTGGGGATCAAAGATCCTTGGGGACGGACTACCATAACATGGTACAACGGCTTCGGCTCCTGGATGGAACAAAGTGGGAAATACAGAGATACAGGATTGGGTTCCTCTATTCTGGCCGCGTCCGGAGGCCCCATCTTCTATTTCTTTTTTTTTCCTTTTTTTTTCTTCTTCTTGGGTTGTCTATACGTCTGTTTTTCATTATTTTCGGGGGCACACAATGTTTTCGAATGTGTGTGGTGTTGTGTGGCTAGCCCTCAGATTGTACCGCACCTTCTTCAGTGCTTGGCTGGAGAAGAAGGTCTCTCACATGTCACACACTGACTCAGTTGGAGGTACGTATATCTCTGCATACATGCATGACTTGCTACACTTTCAGCTTGATGATGGTTCCAGCACTGTCAATTATTGAATTGGTTGGGGCCATTGAGCAAGATAAAATTTGCAGGATGTTTGGTAAAGACGTCGCTCATATGCACACAACCATTAACAGAGATGCAAAGGAACAAATGGGCAGAATATCCTTGATCGCAAGAACATCAGGAGTCCCCAGGGATTGATGCAGGGAGCAGAAGGCGCAGAGTCTGTAAGTAGGAATTGGCGGTATAAATGGCCGTTCACCACCTTCCCTGATCATGGCTCCACAGTCCACGGAAGAGAGTACGTTGTTGGGCGGAGACCACAGCCCTGTCCGGAGATACAACCGAAGCATGCCCGAGACACCCAGGTCAAGACAACTGTCGAGAGTCAACAACACAAGTGACAGTCTACGCCGGCGGAGATACTACAGTACTCGACCCTCGGGAAATACCAGTCCGGTCTGGATGCGGAACTCTGGTCTGCGTACACCGAAGCTATCCTCGTCGATGCTGATGGGTACTGTGTGCTGGATCTGGAAAAGCTGTTCCATCGTCGGCGTTTCCGCTGCTGGCGGGCGGGTTTCACGGGCGAGGTCTTGTGGTCAAAAGTCTTTTTAGGGCACGGGAGAAGTTCCCCGTCACGCTCCTTCCACGTTCGAGAATGGCACAACCTTGGGGCATATCCAATTGGGGGTGTGAGGGTTCTATGAGGACTCAAGTGGAGCTTCGGAGCCCTTCAAGTTCCGGAGGACATTGAAGTGGACCAAGATTTCATCGTCCTTCCGTGCAGCGGGGAATGTAGTGTTCCACCAACACATCCGACGTCTTGGATACGGCTCCAGAACACTTAGACACCATCATCTGTTGCATCCTTCGTGCAGGCCGATCGCCCAGCCAGGCAACCCATGGCCATGGGAAAAGCTGGTCAAGATGTCAAATAGTCAGGGCACGCACGGAGGGCGACTGGTCAGCGGTCATCCGGCCAAAGCAGAGGACAAGACCAACATTCAAGGGGCAAAGTTGGCGTGATGGACGCGTTCACCGTGGTCGCATTTTGGTAAATCTTATTTGCGTAAGCCGTGTGGTGTTCCAGGCCGTCCCCCCTCTGCTCCTCGGGCTGTAAAATCTGGAAGCGCGAGTGTATCCCAAATTCCGGCTTCCTGCGAGACTCGATGTCGTCAACGGGATGCATGTAGATGCATGAGGTTCGGAATTGGAATTTTAGACGGGTCATGTCTCTCCTCTCCATCTCGAGCCGCAGAAAAACTATTCGACATCAGGCCTGTCGCAGCTATCTCACACTATGCTCAATCGTTGTCATCAACCTCAGAGCCATGTCACAAGTGTTTCCAATTAGGCCAACAAGCGCGAAATTTTATATTTCAAAGATAATTGGAATGCCAGGAAGCAGACAATTGACTATCCGAAAAAGAAATGTCGATATGCCATGAAATGGATTCCCACCCCCATTTGCAATCTGGACTTCCTCTCCCATCTTGTGATCAAGCCAAGACCCGTTTGGATGAACAACCTCTGGGCAGGCGGTGTGTCCTTATTGTCCTTGTCGTCCTAGTGAATGCTAATGCTAACTTGTCCGGTCGAAAGGGACTGAGGACGTATCGACTGGAACAGTGCTGGTAAGTACTTTTACCAGTGTCAAGACTTGGGTGTGCAGTAGTGACGTCCACGACGTAGAAGTGACCTGTGTAAGGGTGATGAAGCAGACAAATGACGACGGCTTGGATCTCAAATGTAAGCATGTTTAGTCAACGCCGCTGGGTCGAGCTCTCCAGACTCCTGACCCGCGTGTATTGTGTTTGAAGGCTGTCTCCACTGGATCCGAGTCCCGCTGGAATGTATTCGCCAGCAGAACCGAGACGAAGAAAAGTGCGCTTTGGTATCACGTTGTGAAAGAAATTACAACGTGACTCGAACCCTTCCAGAATATTGTCCCATTCGTGCATCATAAATATGCTGCCCGATAACGGAACAGATTATTTTGGGCCATTTCGATCACTGGTCACGAAACCCACAAGTCGTGGCTGGGGGCGGCAACCACAGGGCGAATCAGCCCGACAACGGGCCTTCCAGGCTTTGGCACTCGGAATTAGCACTGACGCGTCACTGCTATATTCTATCGCAGGGAGCCATAACGGTGCTTTGACCACCAGAAGACTCTGGGTCAAAGGCACGCGAATCCTATGACGGACGACAAGAGTTCAGAAGGTCGCTTTACAGGCTACGCCTGGTCGGCGTTGAGGATATTGAGAGTTGTGGGTATGGACAGGAAAGATGATGGAGAGATCTCCCTTGCGGCGAGGAGTCAGAAAGAGATGTTGCCATCCATATCTCAATCAATCCGAAGGATAAATTCTACCCCGACTGCTATCGAAGTCCATAATCACTGTTCTTGTCCTCGCTGTACGCATATCCAGCTGGGATGAATCGCCCTGAGATTAGGGTGGAAAGTCGAGCTACCTCTCATCAACGGACAGTACACTGGCACCGGACCTTGCGGAATCTGCTCTTCTCCAGAGCTTCTTCCTATCACCCGGAAGGCAACATGTAGTGTTTCTCGAATTCGAGGTCTCGTCATAGAGGGCAGAACAGAGCAAAGCCGACGGCAAAGTTCCCAGGGTGTTGGTTGAGCTTCGAAACGAACGGTTGTCGCTTGTTGCCACGGATGAAGATAGCGATGGAGGATTGGAGCGAGCTCCGCTCGATTGAGATCTCGCACGTCAGATGTATGTTGGGGGTAGAACAAACATGTCCTGATTGTATGAAGTATCCAAATTGTGTGAAGTATCCATTGATTGATATGATTCAAAGGGCAGCCCCAATTTCCGATGAAGGTCTGCTCTGCGGTGCATACAGGATGATCCCGAAATCAATAAGACTTAGGTGCAGTCCTCTGAAGAATCGAGGAGAGGCGCGGGAAGTAGAATTCGGCCAGCCTCTGGAACTGGCTGAGTTCCGTGCAAAACTGTGCGAAAGCGTGCTGCCCCTTGCCACTAGGCTTCCCGCCTGCGCATGGGTAATGTACATCAACCGTCGCCCACCTCTTCCCTTCTCGCTCTGTCAACCTCGGCTAAGGCGCAGTTTGGTGTCCATCTTCCTCGATGCGCGGCGCTCCTCTCCCCTGTAATTGCAGGGTCGCATTTACCGACCCCTCACCCAACCTAGACATGATCGTGGGCCGACCGCGAAATTCAGAGCTGCACGGCTCGAGGGTAGGTTTGTAACTATGCAAGGAGATTCTTTACCACAGCCCTTTATCAATGCACTTCGTGTCCGGGTTTCCTGTCTTTCTTCGCCATGTGACACACCGGCATCTGTCGAAAGCAGCTGCCGGAAGAGTAGGCCTGGTTCCGTTTCTTTCTTCCTGATGGAACCTTTGTCGCTATGTCGCGAGCTTGCGGGCCGCAATGGCATCAGAGAGGGCCGGCACCCGTGCATCGGAGGGGAGAGAAGCGACTCGATGGTAAGGCGGAAGGGAGAGGGGTGGATCAGTGTCTCGGGACTGGGAGGAACGAATGTCGGCCGGGGAAGTGCAGGGGAATTCCCTCGTCCTCACAGTGGAGCACTTTGTGCACGAGTGCTCAGTCTGTCGAAGGGAGAACTGCAGATAGGATGGGAAGGGGTCAAAGCGACAGGAAATTTCGTGGGAGCGCCGGGGCTGGGTAAAGCAGCAAGGGAATCTTGTCCTCGAGATATCTGCTGGCTCTAGTTGGACGTTTCGATAGATGCTGGTCATGTGGGCGCAGGCGGTGGGGGCTGCGCCAATCGTACGGCGGCCAGACCGTTCTATCCGGCGAAGCGTCAGCTGAGCTGATATTACCACATGACGCGGCCGGATGTTAGTCCCATTTTACCCGTTCACCCGTTCACCCTTTTGCCCGCCCTTTTATTTCCCTCTCACCGCCACTTCCAACTCAGCTTTCAACGACATCAAATATTCGTCCAACAGTCTCAGCCTGCTCATTTGAATATCATCCAGCTCGTCTGTGGTAACTCTCCCTCAAGAACACCCCTGCGAGCTGAGTTCTGAAACTAATTGTGTCACAGGCCTCTCAAAACGCTCGCAGTTCGTCTACGCCCTTCTCCTCTCCTCGAAACTCTCTACCCGAAGCAATCCTCAGTCCTTCAAGGCTCTGCTGACGTTGAATTGAAAAAATCGATGGAGACATACCTGATGCCCAGCAGGCAATCCGGAGGATCCACCCCAGGACTACCTCTAGGGCTATTAGACTCTTCAGAGGACCCTGTTCACTTCGATAATTTGTTGCCGGCAGAGTTTGATGAATTCAATGTGTGGAACGAACCTACAACAGTCTCTTCCACAGGCAACCTTCAAGTGAAGTTATCCGGACCCTTAGAGGGAACAAATACATTCCCGCTCCCATCGCCCTGGTGGGAGTGTCCACCCTCACCATCCCATCAGTCTCTCACCGCTTCGGGTGCAGACCAAGGAGAAACCGTGCCACCAAGGCCAAATCCCAGACCTGCGCGAGCGAGGGTCGCCCAGAAGACATCCTCGGGTCTCTTCGTCTGTCCACGACCCGAATGCGCGGGTGGCCCGGCTTACACTACACGAGAGGGTGTGCAACGACACGAGAAGATGATACATGGGCCACGAATGTATCAGTGCGTATGCGGCAGGGCGTTCGCTCTGAAAAGCCTTTTGGAGCGACACCAGAAAGATCAACATGGTCCACCAATGCATCAGTGCTTTTGCGGCAAGAAATTCCGTCGGAACTGCAATTTGCTGCAACACCAGACGTCGCAACATGGCCCACGAGAGCATATATGCTCTTGCGGCAAGGCGTTCGCTGTGAAACGCTTTTTGCTGCGACACCAGAAGGAGAAACATGGCCCACGAGAGCATATCTGCTCTTGCGGCAAGGCTTTCGGTCTGAAAGACCTTTTGCAGCGACACCAGAAGGATCAACATGGCCCACCAATGCATCAGTGCTATTGTGGCACGGCCTTCCGTCGGAGAAGCAATTTGCTGCGACACCAGAGGGACCAACATAACCCACGACCGTATCAGTGCTCTTGTGGCAAGGCGTTCGGTCGGAAAGACGGATTGGAGCGACACCGGAAGGACCAACATGGCCCACCAATACATCGGTGCTACTGTGGCAGGGCTTTCCGTCGGAAAGTCAATTTGAAACAGCACGCGCGAGCCCACCTCAAGTTCCTCCAAGGAGACAGCCGGGAAACCCCGTGATTCCTTAAGTGCTTGCTGCTACGGCGCCAACCTGTCTCTGATGGGCAGTTCTCGGATGGCTAGACATAATGTCAGAGAGCCTTGGGGTGGGATCGTTAGACGAAGAGTCAGAGGGTTGAACACGTATCTGTATTGTATAAAGCTGTCCTTGAGACATCGACTTCTCGCACTGTTGAGGGCCTCTCCAGCAGTGCGAGAATAGAGGTCCTATTTATCTCTTTCTGTGTATACCTTGTGGGGGCCGACTTGGCATTGGGGGCCGTTGGCCCCATGGGGGCCATTCGCCCCATGGGGGCCAAATGCCCTTTTCGCCCCATGGGGGCCAAACACCTGATGGGGGCCATTCGCCCCATCGGGTGTTGTCGGCCGGGAAGCGTATTGTAACAGTCGTTGTAACAGCCCTGCTTCCCGGGTGACAATTATCCCCCCCCCCGAAAAGGCTTCGTCCCGAAGGCCTCCTATCGTTGTAACAGTTATTGTAACAGCCATTGTAACAGCCAATGTAACAGTCACAATCGTTGTCCTTCGAAGTCTACTATTGCTTCCTGTGCGTGTAGCAGGTGGGCTGTAGGTTCCCATGAGTCGTCTACCTCCGAGTATCCTTTCCATCTCACGAGATATTGACGTCCTTGTCGTGTCTGTCGTGTATCCAAAATCCGATCGACTTCCCACTCGTCCTCTCCTTCAATCTGTATAGGCGTAGGTTTCTCTTGACCCTTTCGCTGGCGCCAGGGTTCCAATAGGGAGACATGAAAGGTATCGTGAAGTCGTCCATATTTCTTTAGTAGTTGCAGAGTATAGGCATTGAGACCAATTGCCTTCAGTATCTTAAATAGCCCGATATATTGGTCTGCTAGCTTCCTACTAGCCCGCTGGAGTCGTATATTCCGTGCTGAGAGCATGACGAGGTCTCCAGGGTTATAGGTCTTTGCCTTTCTCTTCTTGTCATATTGTTTCGTATATCGAGTTGTCATGCGTTCCGCATGCGATAAGAGGGCTTTTGCCTTACTTATTGCTATCTCAATCGCTCTTGCTTTTTCTGCGGCGGTATGGTTCTCTCCTTCCTGGTTGGCTAGTGCGACGTTCCGATGTATACTCGGTTCGTACGTCAGTACCATAGAGAACGGTGTTTACTTCGTTGTCGCGTTAACAGCTTGATTACTCGCGTACTCCGCACTAGGTAGTAGCTTAACCCAGTCATTCTATTGGTAGTTCACGTAACATCGGAGGTAGCATTCTAGTGTTTGATTTGCACGTTTAGTCTGTCTATCGGTCTGCGGATGGAACGCGGTTGAGAATCGCCTGCGAATCGCTAGATAGTAGCATAGTGTTCCCTAGTATTTTGACGTTAGTATTGGGCCTCGATCACTTACAATATCTTCCGGTACCCCAAACCGTACAAAGATCTCTTAAATAAGTATGTCCCCTAGCTGTTCTACGGTAATATTAGCATTACAGGGGATAAAGCGTACTATTCGTGAAAACCGACACACGACGACAAGTACCGAGTCGTAAGCGACTCGTATGCGTGCCGACGGTGGTAGTCCAACGATAAAGTCCATCGAGATACTCTGCCACGGTCTCGTAGCCGGTTATAGAGTCTATAACAGTCCGTAGGGTTTGTACCTCTTCGCCTTCATCCGCTAGCAAATCGCGCACGTATCGCAGTATTCTCGCACGTCTATCCACATATTTAGCCATTAGTAATATCGCCGTATCACTTCGAGTATTCGGTCGTGTCCAAAATGACCATCTTACTACGGATCGTCGTGGTTGACTCGAAGGATTTCCGCGCGAATAGCTGGTGCCTTTAGCACATAGACGGCATAATCGTATCGGACAAGACCCTCTTAGTCTATTGTCCACTTCCCCTTCATACGTCCATACGGTACTATACCCCTAGGGTACTTGCTCCACGCCTGCGATTTGCACTAGTTGTCGGTACTCTACAGTGTGAGGAATTCCGTAACCAACGCGTTAGGAATCCTACCCATGACGTTAGGGACAGGCACGACAGCCTCGTCGTCCTGAATCGTAATAGGTCTAGTCTCATCACCTTCTCCCGACTCGCTCGAGTCCGAGTCGTAGGGTATTGTAGAAACGGGCGAGATATCCTCTATCTCGTCACCCGCCTGATCGAGTTCATGTCCGCGTCCGGACCCTGAAGTCTAATCAAGAGTATCTGGTAATTCATATACTTCTCGAGAGCGACCCGCATACGGAATTGTACAATACTCGCTCTCCGCCGGAATCAAAGATCGTCTTTGCATTCCGCGCGTCACTACCCCTAGGGTAGCGACTTTTTCTAACGTCTCTTCCAGTGCCTCCTCTGCTCCTTAGATTCGTTTCCGTAGTAGCTCAGCTAGAGGGTTTCCGACTGGATCCGTCTCGTCCATATAGTCAGGTCTGCGTGACAATCCATCTGCCACGGGGTTATCTTTACCCCTCCGGTATTCGATGACAAAGTTGAAAATACTGAGCTTTTCGGCCTATCGGGTCTGGCGCCGATTTAGCTCCTTCGTAGTCATGAAATATCTCAGATTTTAGTGATCGGTTAGGACTTACGTGGGAGTCGCTACCGATTCAAGATAGTACCGCCATTCCTTGAATGCTGTGACAATTGCGAGCATCTCTTGATCCGGTCCCCCGTAGTTCAATTCCGCTTTGTTCATCTTGCGCGAGTAGAACGCAACGGGTCTCCACACGATTCGTCCGCCATTACCTGAATAGGCCTGGGAGTAGACGCCTCCAATAGCGCGTCCGGACGCGTCAGTCTCGACACGTCCTACCCGTTCCGGATCGTAGTAGACGAGGAGGACATCCGGAGTAAAGCATACTTTTAGTAGGCGAAACGCCTCCTCTACTCGTGGAGTCCAGATAAAAGGGCCTGTCTTTTTCCCCTTGACTATCCCGACTAGTAGATCTGATATTCCAGCTGCGATCTAGCTATAGTTCCGTATAAATCCGCGATAGAAGTTAGTGAATCCAAGGAACACTTATATATCGCGATAGGATTGCGGTACTGGCCAGTCCTAGATTACTTGCACCCTTCGAGAGTCCATCTTGACACCTGTAGTGCTGACGATAAATCCAAGGAATTCTATCTCAGTCACATAGAAACGACACTTCGAAAGCTTGATATATAGCTTATACTGTCGGAGCCTTTCGAAGACGAGTCGTACGTGTTCCGCATGCTCTTCGACGGTTTTACTGTAGATAAGGATATCGTCTAGATATGCCACACATATCTCGTCGAGTAGGCCGTCCAGGGCCTCGTTAATATAGGCCTGGAAAGTCGCTAGTGCGTTCGTAAGCCCAAAAGGCATAACCGTATACTCGAAGTGGCCATATCGTATACGGAACGCGGTTTTCTATTGGTCCTTTTCTACAATAGGTATTCGATGGTATACATCCCTGAGGTCAAGCTGCGTATAGACTGCGGCTCCGCCGAGCCTATCAAGCGTCTCGCTAATCAGTGGTAAGGGATGTCGATTCTTAGTCGTGACCCGATTAAGCCCCCGATAGTCTATACAGAGACGGAATCCTCCGTCCTTCTTTGGTACGAACAGGATAGGCGCTCCGGCGGGTGACTTACTCTTCCGGATCCATCCCCTAGCCAGGAATTTCTTAATATACTCGCGTAGCACTTTGAGTTCTTCTGCGCTGAGAGGGTAAATTGGTCCGTACGGGATATCTTTCCCTTCTTCGATAGTGATAGTATACTCGACGCGTGCGGATATCGGTAGTTTCGCGGCCTCGGTCTCGTCTGCTACATCGGTATAGTCCCGTAGGTAGGCTAGGAGTTCTTCTGTAACTTGCTTTGGGCTATCAGGTAGCTTGGTTACTGTAGCGACTCTGATCATTCCGATCCCTTGAGTCTTGCCTAGTCGTAGGATCTTCTTTAGGCTGACTTCCTTTATCGCCTCTGCGTTGTACTCGTGCCGATGGGTCCAGGTGGCAGTTCGCCAGTTGATCACGGGATTGACTTCCTTCAACCACGGCCGCTCTAGTATGATATCGAATCCTTAGATATCAGTAGCGACGAGGTCGTGAAACGCCGAATAGCAGGTTCCGCGGATATCGGTTGCGTAAACGCGTAGAGAAGTCTCGCCGTAGATTCGGATAGCTCGTCCGTCTACGCTATAGGCTCGAGTTAGCGTTAGCTTTGGCGAGATATCTTCCTCTACCAACACTCGCTAAGAGATGAAGTTAAGTTCCGCGCCGGAGTCGAGTAGCACGCGTAACGTACGTTTTCCAGCGGGGAAGTCGACTTTAACTTCGCCCATAATTAACTCTCCTTATTTTTCTATTATAACGCCTTTTATAACAATCCCTAGTGTTATGGCGGCGCTAAGAACACTAGGCCTCATTTTTTTGCCTTTTTATCCTTTTCCTTTCGCTTACTATTTGTCTACGATAAGGGTGCGGATAGGTGACTATCCTCTTGGTTCTTCTTAGGATAGTCTCGTTAGAAATGCCCCTTCTCGTGGTAAAGGTGACATTTATCGTCGGGGCCTACCAGACGCTTCTCTCTCTTATAGGAGGACCTTGGTCGGCGGTCTTTCTTTATTTCCGTGTCAGCTTATTGACTGGTCATAACGGGGTTATCCGTAGGCGTATCGGTGCGCTTGCGATTCGCCTGCGACCGTCGACCTCCCCTTTGGCCTTCGTACGTCCGCGCCAGTTCCTCGTGTCGTTGTGCGGAGCGTAGGACAAGTTCCTAACTAGTAATCTTCGGTAGCTCCCGGAGTATAGCGAGTTGAGTGTCTGGTCGGAGGGCTAGGAGGAATTCCTATACATATCTTTCTTCCTCTTTGAGGGTAGCCACGTCCTCTCGTAGACGCGCCAGTGCCTCTAGGACTTCTCTTGCGCTTTGGTTATCACTCTGATGGTAACGCCATAGCTTCCTAAGTGCGGATGCCATGCGGTTCGCAGGGTCTTGTACGATATCTCGTAGGAATTCTGAGAACCCTATCCAAGTGGTGGGTCTGAGCGACTCCGGTTCCCTTAGCCATCGAGATGCCGCGATATCGCCTAGTGAAGTGGCTGCCTGGGTAATGCGCTCTTTGTCTGAGAGGCTTGGGTAGATACCGAATCGCAGTTGCCATGCGTCGAGGTAGGCACGGAGCTCGCCGAGGCTTTGTCCCTTGAACTCCTTAGGAGGGTTCGACTTGAGATACTTAGTCGCGCGGTCCGTAGGGTCGTCCGCGTTACGCTTGCGACTTGGTGGCGTGGTGTCTTCTATCTGCACCGGATTGTTTGGTGTCTCACCAGCCAGTTCTCTTTCCATATTCTCAATCTCTTCAAGCCGTCTTTTCTTAAGTACTCTTCGCTTTAGTTCTGCGTGACGCGCCGCGAGTCTAGTCGCGTTGAGGTCTTGAGTTAGTTCTGGGGTTCCGCTTGATTGAGTGGTTTCACTACTCTCGCGGTCAGGTGGCGAGTAGTGCGCTTGACGCGTGCTTGCCGCAGGAGGTTCGGTATGTTCCTCGTCGCTAATAGTAGCGTAGGACGCGTCTCGTGAGCTAGGCACGGTTGGTCCGCCTCCGCTGCGGTGGCGTGTTGTTGGTGCCATTAGTGCTTCAACCGAGAGACTATATCCGTCGTCAGGATCCTCGAAACAGTGCGAGAAGAATTGTCAGAGAGCCTTGGGGTGGGATCGTTAGACGAAGAGTCAGAGGGTTGAACACGTATCTGTATTGTATAAAGCTGTCCTTGAGACATCGACTTCTCGCACTGTTGAGGGCCTCTCCAGCAGTGCGAGAATA